ACCAAGAAGGACGTGGCATGGACTTGGGGCGCCAACGAGGCAGCTGCGTTTCTTGCGCTGAAGAACGCTGTTACCTCTACCCCAGTCCTGCAGCTCCCGGATGCTTCCAGGTCTTACCGCCTCGAAGCAGACAGTTCGGACTTTGTGACCGGTGCTGTCATCTCGCAGCAGTCCCCCGTGGATGACAAGTGGCATCCGGTTGCCTTCTTCTCGAAGAGTCTTAACGAGGTCCAGCGGAACTACGAAATCCACGACAAGGAGATGCTTGCCATCGTCCGCGCCTTGGAGGAGTGGCGACACTTCCTCGAGGGCGCCGAGCACCCCGTTGAGATCTGGACCGACCACAAAAATCTGGAGTACTTCCGGAAGGCCCAGAATCTCAACCGTCGTCAAGCCCGCTGGTCCCTCTATCTGTCTCGCTTCGACTTCACCCTGCACCACCAACCTGGCCGCCTCATGGGCCGCCCGGATGCTCTCTCGCGCCGCCCCGACCACGGAGTCGCTTCGGACAACGCAGACGTCACACTGCTGCGCCCGGAGCTGTTCCATGTCCGGGCCTTAGAGGGTCTTACTGTCTCTGGACCCGAGGCCCCTCTCCTGCGCGACATCCGGGAGGCCCTCGCCGGTACCCCCGACCTGGAGGAGCCCATTGTGTTGGCAGCACGTGAGCTCCTCAAGGAACGCGGAGTTCGCTCTGCTCGGGCTGCGGAGTGGCGAAAAGAAGGCGGCCTGCTCTACTTCCGTGGCAAGCTGGTGGTTCCACGCAACAACGACCTCCGCCGACGCATCCTCAAGCAGCACCACAACACCCGCGTCGCAGGGCATGCCGGCCGCTTCAAGATGTTGGAGCTGATCTCTCGGAACTACTGGTGGCCCCAGTTATCTCGACATGTCGGCCGGTATGTGGCCACCTGCGACCTGTGCTGCCGAACCAAGGCGCTCCGCCAACTCCCAATCGGGGAACTCCATCCCACGGAGGTCCCTTCGGAGCACTGGGAAGCGGTGTCGGTTGACTTCATTGTGCATCTGCCAGACGCTCACGGGTATGATGCTATCATGGTCGTTGTTGACATGCTTGGGAAGCGCAGCCACTTTATAGAGTGCCATACCCGGCTCTCCGGTGAAGGTGCCGCCAGGCTTTTCTACAAGAACGTCTGGCGCCACCATGGGCTGCCGTCTAAGTATGTCTCTGACCGCGGCTCCCAGTTCATAGCAGAGTTCACGCAGGAGCTGTGGAAACTCGTCGGGGTCTCATCGGCAATGTCTACCGCTTGGCATCCACAGACGGATGGCCAGACCGAGCGTGTGAACCAGGAGCTCGAGCAGTTCCTCCGGATCTTCACCAGCTACAACCAGGACAATTGGGACGAGCTGCTTCCCGCTGCAGAGTTTGCCTACAACAACCATATTCACTCATCCACGCAGCAGGTCCCGTTCATGACAGATACCGGTCGACTCCCTCGTATGGGCTTCGAACCGAATGGACTACGCTCAGCTGTGAACGAGTCGGCAAACGACTTCCGCGACCGCATCGCGTCTGGAGTGGCAGAAGCCAAGTCAGCACTGGTGAAGGCAAAGGATGAGTACAAGCAGTACTACGACCGCCAGAGGGTCTCAGCTCCAGACATCAAGGTCGGAGATCGAGTCTGGCTTGACGCTTCTGACATAGCAACAACGCGCCCGTCCCTCAAACTCTCTCACCAACGGCTGGGTCCCTTCAAAGTCACCCAGGTTGTTGGGCGCGGTGCTTACAAGCTTGACCTCCCTCGCCGCCTCTCTGGTCTTCACCCGGTCTTCCCCGTTGTCAAGCTGCAGCTCGTTGAGGACGACCCGTTCCCAACACGCCCGGCTCGCGAGGAGCCGCCACCTGTCATGGGCCAAGGAGCTGGCGAGGAGTGGGAAGTCGAAGAGGTCCTGGACGCCAAGATGCGCTACCGGAGCATTTGGTACTTCGTGCGGTGGAAGGGCTACGATTCGTCGCACGACCAGTGGGTTAAGCACTCTGATATCTTCGCAGAGGACGCTATAGCGGCATTCTACCGCAAACACCCCAACAAGCCACGCATCATTGCCGCCGCCATCTTCGACTCCCTTCCGTTCCAGCACCCCTCTGCCACCATCCGCACGTTGCGTCGAGGCGCCGCAATCCAAGGGGGGGGTGATGTCAGGGGAACCCCCGCTTCGGACCGCTCTGCCTTCGATCAGGCATGTGATTGCGCTCGCGTGACCTGTCAGCTGTCACGCGCCGCGGCCCGGACTGCCGCGCCAAGCGCTGATAGGCTGGCTACCAGACGCGCTCTGCACCAGCTCTGTAAGAGCGTATTTTTGCGCTTTTACAGAGTTTACTCTTGAACCATTCGGTGCATCGTGTCGCGGTTGACAGTGTTGCGCTCAGTAGGACTTAAGGGTCTACTGCCCAGTCGACGACTGTGGATAGTGTCGACGATAGCAAGGCAGTCAGACCACTACTGTGGAACTGGTCTTATGAGTCTACACCAGGCTCAGGGCCATTAGTGACGAACGCTTAGACCGCGACCATTCCCCCAAAAAGGGATCTGTCGTTGCGTCGACTTCTCGAAAAGGGTCATTCTCTGCAGATGGGAACTTGGGCTGAAGGGCTGAGCAATGCGCGACGTTCTCAATAATAGAACTACTACTGGACAGGACTTGGCGTTACGAGACTTAAACCATCTTGTCGCGGCAACTCCCGGTTTTGAGTTGGACGTTTCCTCAGATCATGCCACAACGACGACTTGTCACATGTCAGGATCCATTCGATCACGGGACATTGAGGACGCGTCGCGGTGACACTCCCAAGTGCCACGGCGATTCGCGTCAACACCCAAACACACTAGAAATCGACACGGCTAGATCCGTGAACCGAACCATGTGGGGGACGACTGGCGTGCCTAGGGCCATACGGCTTCTTGGGGCGCCCACGTTGGTCTCACATGCCAAGATATACCCGTTGGCCAATCCAGCACGTCGTATTCCAAAAGTATGACGCGGTGAGTTGGCCCACATCAAAAGTATCATATGGACAATGGGGCGGGGTCCTGATCACTCAGGACCTGTCCGATCGTTCAACTTTTCAATTACCCTAAAAGGCAACCAATCTTAGATAGCGTAGCTACTATGCAGTTGTACAGAACTTTACTAAGCAGCGTCGTAGACAGTATAAGTAGCACGTCGTCTCTTTGTATTAAAAAGCTTTCCCCCGGACTGTGAATCACTATCATTTCAGATTGTTTTGTACAATTTGCGTGCCGCGTGATTCCACCCTAAGGAGTTCTGCCATCCCTGCCCGGTCGCGACGAGTTGCTCCCTGAGCACTTGTAGCTACTGTGATTTGAGTTTGAGTTGAGATATCAGAAAGTCGGGTTCGCCGCATCTGGTATTGTCGCGGCATTTAGTGTCGTCGCCTTATGGCTTTGTTGAGATCGTTCCACACCTCTAGCTTGGCAGTGCATCGACTAGTTGTGCTCGGGTTGTTTTGGTCAGTTGGCAGTGCGTCGACTTGAGAACTTTGGTTCCACACTTCTTGCTTGGCAGTGCGTCGACAAGTTGTGCTCGGGTTTTGGACATTGGATATTGGCTGTTAGTTGGCAGTGCGTCGATGCGGCATTTTGGTTTACTAGTTGGCAGTGCGTCAACTCAGTACTTTTGGTTGTGTCAGTTGGCAGTGCGTCGACTTGATATTTGGGCTTTGCGTCACCATCTGGACGCTGTCGCTACAAGGGATCTTAATACTTCGTATTAAGTTCTGACTTGTTATATTGTTGGTTGTGGATTGGATTAGTGTTGGTTGTGTTTGCATAGAAGATATTGGTTGAGACACCACTGTTTGCTATATATATATATCCTTGTCGTCGACTTCGTCTTCCGCGACTATTGGATCTGCGTCTATTGAGAGCTGTGATACTGGTGTTCTGTCCACCCCGAAGCCCTTGCATCTTTCACACACTGAGAAGCTGATTACGAGGAGTGTGAACGTGTTTATATTTGGGTTTACTTTCATAGTAGATTCACTTGTGAGCACGCCCTCAGCATTTCAGCGCTTCTCTCTGATGGGCACATGGTCAGCTGTCCCATCGTTCCCACTGTCTTGGTTTCCTATTGTTGTCATAGTTCAGCCACTTTTCCATCTTATCTTCGACGATCTTATCTTATCTCGGCACGGTTTATCTTATCACGGATCACGGCATCAGACGGCCCGGGCTAGGGGTTCGAGGGATTATCCTTATCGATTCAAGGCTGCGCGACATATGCTCCGGAAGGTTCTATTACAACCCATGACCAGTGTTCCATGCGGTACATAGCCTTATGACTCATTAGTTGTAGATATGACTCAGACTGGACTTGGGTATAAATACTGTAGCTACTTGGTTGTATTCTCCAGTCTTCGAATTCACTTCTCTTTTCGACTTCATTTTTTGGGTTGATTGTCACATAATTCGAAGACTCCCCTCATACCCTCCTACCTCATACCTCTTACCCTGCATCCCGCACCGCTACGCCCGCTATATCCTCTTAACCCTTATCAACCAACTTACCCTTTTACCGAATCATCTAGTCGTCCTCCACTATCGCAGTGAAGGGTTCATATCGAGCAAACAGCACCAGGCCACGGGTAACGTTGAGCCCGACCCAAGCCTTACGGTAGCTACAAGGAGTGCTGCGGAGACCTTCGGGAAAACGCACCTCGGGATCATCGGGCACGTGAAGAGCTAGGCCCGGGATCTTTTTGCTAGCAAAAGAACCTTTCCTCGAGTGCTTGTACAGCACACGAATCCACCATTTCGTACCGATTCCCATCATCATCTGGGAGTCCATCCCCTCCCCCCATCATACCATCGTCGCCCGATCTGGCGCATCAAAACCAACCCGGGCCCTCCAACCCCTACCTCGCCCTTCCGCCGCCTGAAGACGACTTCCCCGACCTTGACGAGTTACCCTCCGAACAACCACCCTCGCCCCCACCTACCGTACCTGCTCCTACCATGTCAGGACATCACCGCATCACCCTCGCCGCCAATCCCCCCTACTTCGATGGCGACAAGTCCAAGTACCTGGGCTTTGTGGACGCGTGCACCACTTACATTGGTGCCTATCGGTCAGAGTTCTCACTGGACGAGACGAAAATCCTCTTCGTCCTGTCCTACCTCCGCAATGAGAGCGGCACAAGCTGCGCCGCCTCAAGATGGGCGATGAACTGGAAGCAGCACAATTTCGAGGGCTTCCAAGGACTAAAGGCGGGAGTCACCGCGACAAGCTTCTTGGAGGAGCTTCAGAGGGCCTTTGGGGATTCTAACGCAGAGCAAGTCGCTGCCGCCCGACTCATGGCCCTTCGCCAGGGCAGACGGTCCTTCGCGGACTACATCTCTGACTTCGAAATGCTGGCTGCGGACGCGGGGTACAACGTGGTCGCCTTAACCGATGACAAGGGCGAGTACAAGAAGGGGGATCAGGACAACATCCTCATCGAGTTCCTCGAGCGCGGACTCAGCAGCGAAATTGCAAGCCGCCTCTACAACACCGGTGTTCCCCTGCCCAAGGCATATGGTGCCTTCAAGAATTGGTGTGTCAACATCGAGGCGAACGCTCTACGCGATCAGCTGCGCAAAGCATCGCATGCGCAATCCGCACCACGACCGCCTCCCCAATTCCGCCCGCAGGCAGCCCCAATGACACCTGCACCCGCCCCGGCCCGACCCGCTGCCAACGAGCCAGTTCCGATGGAAATCGATCGCACCCACGCCCGCGGCCGCAATATCATCTGCTACAACTGTCAGCAGCCTGGGCACATTGCGCGGAACTGTCCGGAGCCAAGGAAGAAGCGCACATTCTTCAATCGGGCCACGATGTTGGAAGAGATCGAGAACGGGGACAAGGACAACGAGTTCCTCAAGGAGATCGCTGAGAAGCTGCGCGAGAAGGGTTTTTGAAGCGCTCCACTCCTCTAGCCAAGGAGGTGGAGCGTCCGGACTATGGACGTTTTTCTATACTTGTTTCGATTAGAGATATGAACGATTCTCCTCATGCATACACGATCTCAGACTCCCTACGTACTAATATTCATGATTTTCTTGTTGCTGATATGGAAAAGGAACGTCAAAAGAAAATAGCTTTAAATAGAGAGTATTTACAGAGTAAAAAGGATCAGAAAGCTGCGGATAAATTAATTTTGGACTCCTACGTATTTATGGCTCGTGGAGAAGGAACCACGTCAACAAAGACCGAAAAGGGGAGCATCGCTCCGGAGGCTCAATCCTTGAAAAAGGAGGAAGCGCCCAAGGAATCTGCCGAAATCAGGATTCCAGAAGCACCCAAACGCACAAGGGTGCCGGATGCCGTTCAAAGGAAATGGGCAGCCGAGAGACAGAAGGGCCAGCAACCCAGCAGACTGGCGCAGGAACTGCGCAACTACCAGGCCGAAAGGAAGAGACATTCGATGGATGTGTATGTACAGATCACGGGCCTGGACTCAGGAAAGACGCGCGGAGTCAAGGCGCTACTCGATAGTGGCTGTAGCACCTGCTGCATTGATACCGACTACGCGCGGGCAGAGAAGCTGGATATCCAAGAACTTCCCCAACCCATTGTGGCTCGTAACGCCGACAACACCGAGAACATCAGCGGTCAGATCACGCATTACGTCGACCTAAGGATGAAAATCGGTCCTCATGTGGAGACACGCACGTTCCTTCTGACGTGTTTAGGGAAAGCTCGGATCTTCATCGGTCTTGATTGGCTGACAGAACACAACCCCGAGGTAGATTGGCAGGAGCAGACAATGAGGTTCAGTCGATGCCCAGAGCGGTGTCACATGAGGGGTCACGAGGAGCATCAAGCAATGATCAACATGGATGCGATTGACCTGGACGCAGGTGCACCGGATCTGGAAGAGGGAGAGTCAATCCTGTTGATCGACTTTGGGAAGGAGGTGGATCTACGGTTGAAGGAAACGCCGGCGCAGAAATTCGCAGAAGAAGCGGAAAGAGAGAAGGAGAGAATGACCGAAGGGAAGATTCCGGATCAATATCGGGAATTTGTCAAAGTATTCGCCAAGGAATCGTTCGACTCGCTGCCAGACCGACGGGCATGGGACCATGCAATCGAGCTCAAACCTGGTTCCAAAGCAGTGGACTGCAAGGTGTACCCACTATCACGAAACGAACAGGTCAAACTCGACAAGTTCCTACAAGAGAACCTGGCCAGCGGAGGGATCAGGCCATCAAAATCACCCATGGCATCAGCATTCTTCTTTGTCAAGAAAAAGGATGGCTCCCTACGCCCCGTCCAAGATTATCGAAAGCTGAATGAGATGACAATCCGGAATCGATACCCACTGCCGCTGATCTCTGAACTGGTCCATAATCTATGCGGCGCCAAGTTCTTCACAAAGCTTGACATCCGGTGGGGATACAACAACGTACGGATCAAAGAGGGCGACGAGTGGAAGGCTGCGTTCCGCACAAACCGTGGGCTGTATGAGCCCTTGGTCATGTTCTTTGGTCTCACGAACTCCCCGGCAACCTTTCAAAATATGATGAACGACATACTCCGAGAACTGATCAATGAGGGCCACGTGGTAGTTTATCTTGATGATATATTGATCTTCACAGAGAACTTGGACGAACATCGGCGGATCACGAAACGAGTACTCGAACTGCTCCAAAAACACAAGCTGTACCTGAAACCCGAAAAGTGCGAGTTTGAACGCACGGAAATCGAATATTTGGGTGTGATTATTGGACACAATTCGATGCGGATGGACCCAGTCAAGATCAAGGGCGTGATGGAATGGCCAGAACCAAAGAGCATCAAACAAGTACAAGCCTTCCTAGGGTTCACAAACTTCTATCGACGCTTTGTTCGGGGATATGCGGAGATTGCCAAACCATTGACACGGTTGACAGGGAAGGCAGGATGGGCATGGGGTGCAGATGAGCGTGCAGCATTTGATGGGTTGAAGAAGAGAATCGCAGAGGATGCGGTCCTAGCACTGCCAAACGACACTGGCCAATATCGTCTGGAAGCCGATGCTTCGGAAGGGGCAACAGGAGCAGTTTTGAGCCAAAACCAAGACGGCATTTGGCGCCCAATCGCATTTATTTCACACGCATTGACCGAAACCGAGCGAAATTACGAGATCTACGACAAGGAAATGCTCGCGATCATGTTATCACTCGACGAATGGAGGCAGCTGCTCCTGGGAGCCACGGAAACATTCGAGATCTTCACTGATCATCAGAATCTCGAGTACTTCCGAAAGCCGCAGAAGCTCAATCGACGACAAGCACGATGGATCACGGAGCTGGCGGAGTTTGATTTCACCTTACGACACCGACCCAGCGCACTCAACCGCAAGGCGGACCTCTTGTCTCGACGAGCGGATCACGATCAGGGCAAGAACGACAACAAGGACGTCACGCTACTGAAGCCCGAGTTCTTCCGATCACAAGAAGTCACATTCGAGGGACAGGATCAGCAGCTAATCGATGAGATCAAGGCCACTCGATCAATTGATGGAAGCGTCAAGGCGGCCTTGGAGAAGTCACTCGCTGGATGGAAAAAGGAAGACGGGCTCATCACATACCATGGGAAGCTCTACGTACCAAGGGACGAGGAACTGCGAGACAAGATCATCGGGCTACACCATGACACACCCTTGGCCGGACACGCTGGAATCAACCGAACGCAGGAGATGGTGGAAAGGAACTACTGGTGGCCAAGGATGGGGAACCAAATCCGGAAATACATCCAGACGTGCGAGGCGTGCCAGCGGACCAAGACCAGGAGAGCAAGGACAGGGACCCTGCACCCGCATGCAGTCCCAAATGCGCCATGGGAAATCATCTCCATGGATCAAATCGGACCCCTACCGGTCAGTAACGGGTATGACGCAATTCATGTGTGGTGTGACACCTTCACCAAAATGATCCACGTCGAACCAATTAGTACTGACATCAGCAGTGAAGGAGTCGCACGATTAACCAGGGACCGAGTTTTCCGCTACCACGGGATTCCCCGCAAGATCATCACTGACAGGGATTTGCGTTACATCAAGGGCTTCATGAAGGAGACGAATCGGATGTTGGGCGTGGAGATGAACCCGGGGACAGCATATCACCCGATCACGGATGGGCAAACCGAGCGCATGAATCAGGAGATCGAGCACTATCTCCGCATATACGTCAACTACCATCAGACGGACTGGTCGGAGTGGCTGGGAATGGCGGAATTCGCATATAACGACAAAATGAACACGTCTACCAAAATATCACCATTCTACGCCAATCACGGATATCACCCATGGAAGGGAGTAGAGCAGCGGATGGAATCGAGAAACGAGTCGGCGGAGGAATTTGTAAAAAGAATCAAAGAAATACAAGACGAAGCAAAAGCAGCATTGGAAAAAGCAAAAGAAAAAATGAAAAAATACTACGATAAACAAAGAAAAGAAGTTCCGGAGTTGAAGGTTGGGATGAAGGTGTACATAGAAGGGGAAAATATCGAGACGGACAGACCATCAAAGAAGATGAGCGACAAAAGATTGGGACCATACGAGATACTGGAGAAGGTTGGAGCGGCCGCATGGAAGCTGAATCTGCCGGATACGGACCGAAGACACCCCGTGTTCAACGAATCACTGTTGACACCCTATCACGAACCACCCCCCCATCGCCGAGAGAAGAGACCCGTAGCCAAGATGATCGGAGGAGCAGAGGAGTGGGAAGTCGAAGAAATCGTGAAAGAGCGAAAAGTCGGCCGAGGAAAACAGTACTTGGTCAAATGGAAGGGATGGCCGCACAGCGAGAACACCTGGGAACCATCACGCCACCTTACCCACGCGAAGGACGTCCTGAGAGACTGGCAGAGGAAACAATCCAACCCAGACACACGCATTCGCCTCCTACCAACTCTCGAAGCTGGACACTGGGACTATCTTATTCATCGCTATAAACCCAGGGATGAGCGCCTCCCCTATCCCCAACGACAACTCTTTGACCCTTACGAGAACGTCTTCACGCCCATTGGCCTAGTCGATGAGGACATCGACCCTAGAGAGGGGGTAATGTCATAGTTCGGCCACTTTTCCATCTTATCTTCGACGATCTTATCTTATCTCGGCACGGTTTATCTTATCACGGATCACGGCATCAGACGGCCCGGGCTAGGGGTTCGAGGGATTATCCTTATCGATTCAAGGCTGCGCGACATATGCTCCGGAAGGTTCTATTACAACCCATGACCAGTGTTCCATGCGGTACATAGCCTTATGACTCATTAGTTGTAGATATGACTCAGACTGGACTTGGGTATAAATACTGTAGCTACTTGGTTGTATTCTCCAGTCTTTGAATTCACTTCTCTTTTCGACTTCATTTTTTGGGTTGATTGTCACAATTGTTCTCCAATGGCCATTGTACTTATTGTTCCCATTGTTCTTTGTTTGTTGCTGCGCGCTCTATTGTTCTTGTATCATATACTGTATGTGAGTGTATGGATGCAACGACCTCCGAGACCGTGACGTGACGCAACGGTCCCAGACATGCGACAGGCCCTTCATGACGCGTGACCGTCGCCTCCCAATGCGACCATCATGCCATCAGCTGTCAGAGTCACGTGTAGGTAGACAAAAATAATATTCATGAAACACGATTGGCCACTCAATCGACTCTTTTGCATCTTATCATGCCGCCAAAATCAGCATCTAAGCCAGTCACAGGCCCATCTCTTGATCTCATGGCTCGAATCCACCATCTGGAGTCACTCATTGCTGGATTACCCGAATCACTCCCCGAGAACCTCTCTGAATCCTCCTACCAGTTCTCCTTCGACGAGGAGAAGCTTGCAGATCGCGGCTACTTTGGAGAAGTCAGCCATGTAATTGAAGTGTCATTCCAGACTCACACGCTTGAGCGTGGTGCTCCAATTCCATTCCCGCAACGAGGGCCAAGCTTGCAGCCACTGGTTCCTCTGCTGAAAACGGCAATCAAATTCATGACTGCAAATGAACGGGAGAGCTTCCGGACTGCATGGTTAGAGCGGTTGATTGCAGGAGCAGTGAAGAGTGGGGCAAAGATCGAACCGCGGAAGAAAGCTGTTGGGGATAAACGTGCAGTTGAGCAGAGAGACGAAGTCGACGAGATTATACTTCTTGAAGGACCTGCAAAGAAGAAAGTACAAAAGGTTAGCTAGTGACTCATCAAACCTTGAAACAACTCATCTGTGGATCCAGAATACCAATCCATTCTCTCTGGCAGCCACTCGAGCAAAGGCCCATCCTCCCGTCCCTCAGTTCCTCAAGGATGCTGTGGAAGTGAGAGACGAGGCTTCAAAACAACCTCGGGCCACACTGGAAAGCTTCAGTTTTAAGCCTGGAGCGACAGCCGAAGATACCGCTCAATATTGGGCAAAAGTGAATGCCGATTCGAGGATGAAAAGAAGGGAACAAGCAGAGGCAGATGAGAAAGCAGAGGAAGAGAGGGTGGAGCGCGTACGGGAACAGAATCGAGCTCGTAAACGTGCACAGAGGGAACGTGAAAAGGAAAAGAAAGCAGCAGCAAAGGCGGCTGCGGCTCTGAATATCAGCGAGGTTCTCATGCAGACCCCAAGCAGCGACGCACCTCTGGAAATCTCCAGTGTCCCTGAGGTCTCCCGTGCGGCCACAAATGAGTGGAAGGTGGTTCGAAACGGAACAAAGCGTGGTGTCGTCAAGAATCAAGTGTCGAAGCGTGTGTTTTGGCAGCACCCCTTCCTCTGGATTCTCATCGTGCAGGCGGTTCGCATCAGCTTTTGGTCTGCAGAGGGAGCTGCAAAGTATCTGCGCACCAAGTATCCCACCCTTTTCGATGCACCAGGGAACACCATCCATCGGGGAACCATCTATCGATGGATTGTGAAAGGCGAGAAGCGCTTCACGGATGCTGTGCTGGCAAGGGTGAAGGCTGAGCGGACGCTGGCAGGCAGTGGGCGCGTTGGAGTCTTGACACCGTATCCGCATGTCGTGGAGAAGATGGTGGAGACACTCAAGGGTGTGCGAATTGCCGGTTGTGCCGTAAATGTTCCCATTGCACGCGGAATCATGATGGCGATTATCACCGACTTGGTGCCGGAGATCTGGGAGACAAAGTTCTCATGCTCGGAACGATTTGTACGGTCTTTCCTGGAGAGCACACTCGACTGGACCACTCGGGCAGCTACGCGAGCTGCAAAACATATCCCGGACAATGCATCGGAGCTGTGCGAGAGAACTTTCTTCCGCCTTGTTCACGCGATAGAGACGGAGCACATTCCAGCGAAGCTCATCATCAACTACGATCAAACCGGAATGTACCTGCTGCCTAACAACAGTCAGACATTTGAGCAGCGTGGATCGAAGCAAGTCTCTGTTGTGGCAAAGGATGAGAAACGCGCGTATACACTGGGCATTGCAACGGCCGCCGATGGCTCTATACTTCCTCTGGAACAGGTCTGGAGTGGTTCGACCGATCGCTCGCTCCCGAAAGCAACAGCTGACGGATTTGCGGAAGCCAAAAGTCGTGGCTTTCATCTCACATTTGCTGCCAGCGACAAGCGCACGAGCCACTTCAGTACTGTCAAGACAATGAAAGAGCTTTTTGAACGTATCTTCCAAGTCTATGCCAACAACATTATCAAGGACGATCCCGATCTTGATGACGACCAGAAATGGATCATCTACTATGATATCTACCCAGTTCACACGTCGAAAGAACTGCGTGAGTGGATATACAGCACGCTTCCCAACATCATCCTCGTCTTTGTTCCCGGAAACTGTACTGGGCTGCTCCAGCCCCAGGATGTTGGCATACAGCGTGTTGCAAAGCACAAGCTGCGCCAGGGCCTGATGAGCTTCCTTGTTCAATGCTATCAGGCTCAAACCAGTACCGGTATCCGACCAGAGGATGTGAAGTTCTCCTCGTCAATGCCTGTGCTTCGCGATGCATCCATTCGGCCATGCGTGGATCTCTATGACTGGTTAAAGACCTCCGAAGGCCGAGACCTCATCAAGCAGGCGTGGGCAAAATGTGTTGTCCCTGACAAGACATATGATTTGTCGTACGAGACACTGACAAGTCGTGCTTCCCGGAAGGCGCTTCGCGAGTATCTCAAGACCGACCGCATACTTGCTGACGAGATTAAGGCCAGATGTGGAGCCATTGATCTGCCGGACCTGCCAGCTGATATTACAACGACCAAGGAAGTAGACGAGGCCGATCTGGATCGCGATGCCGAAGGCGAAGGACTTGTGGATGACTCGGCATTGTCTACCGAGGCCGTAATTGCTCACATCTTCTCAAAGGACACAGCGGAGAAGGCTGATGGGCATGCTGTTCGATCTGTGCTGACTCCGACAATAGACGAGGAGGACGTTTGGGCCTATAACAATGCAGGGGAGAAATGGAGTGTTATTGGACCACCCATGGAGGACGAGACTGGTCAGTAATAGCCCAAATGTATCTAGTATCAAATAATTTCCTTTTTTGGACGTCACGCCGCCCCGATGGCGACGAGACCCTCTGGGACGTGTGACACTTGAGGACTTCTGCGACGCGACGGACTAGACCGTGACCGTGACCGTTGCATCCATACACTCACATACAGTAAATAGTGGCGCCTGGCAAGGAGAATCCCCAACACGGTTTCACTTTGGATTCTCCCTTGCCAGGTATGCCGGTCTTGTACCTAGCTACCACTATTGACACTTTGGATTCTCCCTTGCCAGAACTCTGAGATCGGGTCTCGAGGTTGCCCTTACATAAAACCAGCTATGTCAAACCTCCGTTCGGTGGCTTGGCCTTCTTGTAAGTGGCTATCATTCACACGGAGGCATCGGAAATCCCGCAGTCGTTAGGATTTGGGGCATGAATCTGTTCTCTGCTGACGGATCATTGTGGCGCAAACATCATCGCATCGTGGGACCAGCATTCGGCAACGAGCTGTGAGTCGCCCGCTCACTCTCTCGCGAACGACGCCCATGAGCCATCAAGCTATGAGCTAGTTTGGGAATCGACTTCCCGGATCTACGAGGACATGGTCGAGAGCGAAGGTGTCATAATTCGGCCACTTTTTATCTTATCTTCGACGATCTCATCTTATCTTGGCACGACTTATCTTATCACGGATCACGACATCAGACGGTCCGGGCTAGGGGTTCCAGGGGATTATCCTTATCAATTCAAGGCTGCGCGACATATGCTCCAGAAGGTTCTACTACAACCCATGACCAGTGCTCCATGCGGTACATAGCCTTATGACTCGTTAGTTGTAGATATGACTCAGACTGGATTTGGGTATAAATACTGTAGCTACTTGGTTGTATTCTCATGTCTTCGAATTCACTTCTCTTTTCGACTTTGTTTTTGGGTTGATTGTCACATAATTCGAAGACTCCCCTCATACCCTCGTACCTCCTACCTCCTACCCTGCTCCCTGCACCGCTACGCCCGCTATATCCTCTTCACCTTTATCATCCCACTCACCCTTTTACCGAATCATCTAGTCGCTCGCTGCGATCGCAGTGAAAGGTTCATATCGAGCAAACAGCACCAGGCCACGGGTAACGTTGAGCCCGACCCAAGCCTTACGGTAGCTACAAGGAGTGCTGCGGAGACCTTCGGGAAAACGCACCTCGGGATCATCGGGCACGTGAAGAGCTAGGCCCGGGATCTTTTTGCTAGCAAAAGAACCTTTCCTCGAGTGCTTGTACAGCACACGAATCCACCATTTCGTACCGATTCCCATCGTCATCTGGGAGTCCATCCCCTCCCCCCATCATACCATCGTCGCCCAATCTGGCGCATCAAAACCAACCCGGGCCCTCCAACCCCTACTTCGCCCTTCCGCCGCCTGAAGACGAGTTCCCTGACCTTGGCGAGTTACCCTCCGAACAGCCACCCTCGCCCCCACCTACCGTACCTGCTCCTACCATGTCAGGACATCACCGCATCACCCTCGCCGCCAATCCCCCCTACTTCGATGGCGACAAGTCCAAGTACCTGGGCTTTGTGGACGCGTGCACCACTTACATTGGTGCCTATCGGTCAGAGTTCTCGCTGGACGAGACAAAAATCCTCTTCGTCCTGTCCTACCTCCGCAATGAGAGTGGCACAAGCTGCGCCGCCTCAAGATGGGCGATGAACTGGAAGCAGCACAATTTCGAGGGCTTCCAAGGACTAAAGGCGGGAGTCACCGCGACAAGCTTCTTGGAGGAGCTTCAGAGGGCCTTTGGGGATTCTAACGCAGAGCAAGTCGCTGCCGCCCGACTCATGGCCCTTCGCCAGGGCAGACGGTCCTTTACGGACTACATCTCCGACTTCGAAATGCTGGCTGCAGACGCGGGGTACAACGTGGTCACCTCCACCGACAGCAAGGGCGAGTACAAGAAGGGGGAACAGTGTAAGGGCAACTCCTGCCAGCCCGAAGGAAGAGAGCACACAGCACACAACAACCTCACATGAGTCTGAGCACAGAGGGGGATCCTTAGAGACTATCAAATACAAGGGAGGTATACTACTCACCTGAGCACAGAGGGGGATCCTTAGAGAACGGTTCAAGGATCCATGTGCCCAGGTGTCACACTATATAGTCAGCTGTGACAAGTGACTGATGATGATGGGATATCACTGCCATGGAACAATGGCAGATGACAAGTAGATAATGACAAACCCAGATAAGATAGTGAGTGGCTCAGAGGGGCCAGTGATGGCCAGCTCCTGAGACACCAACAGTGGAAGGCCACACTGGAGGAGCCCAGCGGCCAGGCCAGTGCTGGGCCGGCCAGTGGAGACATTGGAGGCGAGGACCAATGCCCAACTGGGAAGAGGGGTGGTGCGGATGAGCGCAAGGGCATCTGGTACGAGCCTGTACGGCAGTAGACCACATCCGCGGGGAGAAGGCCGAAGTGAAGGGGGAGGAGTGCATACGGCAGTAGCACTCCCTGGTGCAAGGAATCGGGCTTGGCTAGACCGCTTGCGGGGATTCGAGGGAGATGGCCGGGGGAAGAAGGGAGAGGGCGGATGTCGGCATGGATGGAGATGAGGATTGGAGGAGGAGGAGGAGGCTGGGTGATCAACAGATGAGCAGGCACGGGTCGGCAGAGAGGGTGCAGTGGGTCACGTGCATGGTCACGTGCCCAAGGAGCGCGGCGTCCCCTGACAAACAGGACAATATCCTCATCGAGTTCCTGGAGCGCGGACTCAGCAGCAAAATTGCAAGCCGCCTCTACAACACTGGCGTTCCCCTGCCCAAGGCATATGGTGCCTTCAAGAACTGGTGTGTCAACATTGAAGCGAACGCTCTACGCGATCAGCTGCGCAAAGCATCGCATGCGCAATCCGCACCACGACCGCCTCCCCAATTCCGCCCGCAGGTAGCCCCAATGACACCTGCACCCGCCCCGGCCCGACCCGCTGCCAACGAACCAGTTCCGATGGAAATCGATCGCACCCACGCCCGCGATATCATCTGCTACAACTGTCAGCAGCCTGGACACATTGCGCGGAACTGTCCGGAGCCAAGGAAGAAGCGCACATTCTTCAATCGGGCCACGATGTTGGAAGAGATCGAGAACGGGGACAAGGACAACGAGTTCCTCAAGGAGATCGCTGAGAAGCTGCGCGAGAAGGGTTTTTGAAGCGCTCCACTCCTCTAGCCAAGGAGGTGGAGCGTCCGGACTATGGACGATTTTCTATACTTGTTTCAATTAAAGACATGAACGATTCTGCACATACATACACAATCTCGGACTCACTACGTACCAATATTCACGATTTTCTCATTGCTGATATGGAAAAAGAACGCCAAAGAAAAATAGCTTTAAATAGGGAATATTTACAGAGTAAAAAGGATCAGAAAGCTGCAGATAAATGAATTTTGGACTCCTACGTATTTATGGCTCGTGGAGAAGGAACCACGTCAACAAAGACCAAAAAGGGGAGCATCACTCCGGAGGCTCAATCCTTGGAAAAGGAGGAAGCGCCTAAGGAATCTGCCGAAATCAAGGTTCCAGAAGCACCCAAACGCACCAGGGTGCCAGATGCTGTCCAGAGGAAATTGGCGGCCGAGAAACAGAAAGGCCCCCAGCCCAGCAAGTTGGCGCAGGAATTGCGCAGTTACCAGGCCAAAAGAAAGAGGCATTCAATGGACGTATATGTTCAGATCACGGGTCTGGACTCAGGAAAAACGCACGGAGTCAAGGCGCTGCTCGATAGTGGCTGCAGTACCTGCTGCATCGATACCGACTACGCATGGGCAGAGAAGCTGGATATCCAAGAACTTCCCCAACCCATTGTGGCTCGTAACGCCGACAACACCGAGAACATCAGCGGTCAGATCACGCATTACGTCGACCTAAGGATGAAAATCGGTCCTCATGTGGAGACACGCACGTTCCTTCTGACGTGTTTAGGGAAAGCTCGGATCTTCATCGGTCTTGATTGGCTGACGGAACACAACCCCGAGGTAGATTGGCAGGAGCAGACAATGAGATTCAGCCGATGCCCAGAACGGTGTCACATGAGGGGTCACGAGGAACACCAAGCAATGATTGACATGGATGCAATCAACCTGGACACGGACGCACCGGACCTGGAAGAGGGAGAATCAATCCTGCTGATCGACTTTGGAAAGGAGGTGGATCTACGGCTGAAGGAAACACTGGCGCAGAAATTTGCAGAAGAAGCGGAAAAAGAGAAGGAGAGAATGACCGAAGGGAAGATTCCGGATCAATACCGGGAATTCGTCAAAGTATTTGCCAAGGAATCATTCGACTCACTACCGGACCAACGAACCTGGGACCACGCAATCGAACTCAAACCAGGATCCAAAGCAGTGGACTGCAAGGTTTACCCGCTATCACGAAACGAACAGGTCAAACTCGACGAGTTCTTACAAGAGAATCTAGCCAGCGGACGGATCAGGCCATCAAAATCACCCATGGCATCAGCATTCTTCTTTGTCAAGAAAAAGGATGGCTCCCTACGCCCCGTCCAAGATTATCGAAAGCTGAATGAGATGACAATCCGGAATCGATACCCACTGCCGCTGATCTCTGAACTGGTCCATAATCTATGCGGCGCCAAGTTCTTCACAAAGCTTGACATCCGGTGGGGATACAACAACGTACGGATCAAAGAGGGCGACGAGTGGAAGGCTGCGTTCCGCACAAACCGTGGGCTGTATGAGCCCTTGGTCATGTTCTTTGGTCTCACGAACTCCCCGGCAACCTTTCAAAATATGATGAACGACATACTCCGAGAACTGATCAATGAGGGCCACGTGGTAGTTTATCTTGATGATATATTGATCTTCACAGAGAACTTGGACGAACATCGGCGGATCACGAAACGAGTACTCGAACTGCTCCAAAAACACAAGCTGTACCTGAAACCCGAAAAGTGCGAGTTTGAACGCACGGAAATCGAATATTTGGGTGTGATTATTGGACACAATTCGATGCGGATGGACCCAGTCAAGATCAAGGGCGTGATGGAATGGCCAGAACCAAAGAGCATCAAACAAGTACAAGCCTTCCTAGGGTTCACAAACTTCTATCGACGCTTTGTTCGGGGATATGCGGAGATTGCCAAACCATTGACACGGTTGACAGGGAAGGCAGGATGGGCATGGGGTGCAGATGAGCGTGCAGCATTTGATGGGTTGAAGAAGAGAATCGCAGAGGATGCGGTCCTAGCACTGCCAAACGACACTGGCCAATATCGTCTGGAAGCCGATGCTTCGGAAGGGGCAACAGGAGCAGTTTTGAGCCAAAACCAAGACGGCATTTGGCGCCCAATCGCATTTATTTCACACGCATTGACCGAAACCGAGCGAAATTACGAGATCTACGACAAGGAAATGCTCGCGATCATGTTATCACTCGACGAATGGAGGCAGCTGCTCCTGGGAGCCACGGAAACATTCGAGATCTTCACTGATCATCAGAATCTCGAGTACTTCCGAAAGCCGCAGAAGCTCAATCGACGACAAGCACGATGGATCACGGAGCTGGCGGAGTTTGATTTCACCTTACGACACCGACCCAGCGCACTCAACCGCAAGGCGGACCTCTTGTCTCGACGAGCGGATCACGATCAGGGCAAGAACGACAACAAGGACGTCACGCTACTGAAGCCCGAGTTCTTCCGATCACAAGAAGTCACATTCGAGGGACAGGATCAGCAGCTAATCGATGAGATCAAGGCCACTCGATCAATTGATGGAAGCGTCAAGGCGGCCTTGGAGAAGTCACTCGCTGGATGGAAAAAGGAAGACGGGCTCATCACATACCATGGGAAGCTCTACGTACCAAGGGACGAGGAACTGCGAGACAAGATCATCGGGCTACACCATGACACACCCTTGGCCGGACACGCTGGAATCAACCGAACGCAGGAGATGGTGGAAAGGAACTACTGGTGGCCAAGGATGGGGAACCAAATCCGGAAATACATCCAGACGTGCGAGGCGTGCCAGCGGACCAAGACCAGGAGAGCAAGGACAGGGACCCTGCACCCGCATGCAGTCCCAAATGCGCCATGGGAAATCATCTCCATGGATCAAATCGGACCCCTACCGGTCAGTAACGGGTATGACGCAATTCATGTGTGGTGTGACACCTTCACCAAAATGATCCACGTCGAACCAATTAGTACTGACATCAGCAGTGAAGGAGTCGCACGATTAACCAGGGACCGAGTTTTCCGCTACCACGGGATTCCCCGCAAGATCATCACTGACAGGGATTTGCGTTACATCAAGGGCTTCATGAAGGAGACGAATCGGATGTTGGGCGTGGAGATGAACCCGGGGACAGCATATCACCCGATCACGGATGGGCAAACCGAGCGCATGAATCAGGAGATCGAGCACTATCTCCGCATATACGTCAACTACCATCAGACGGACTGGTCGGAGTGGCTGGGAATGGCGGAATTCGCATATAACAACAAAATGAACACGTCGACCAAAATATCACCGTTCTATGCCAATCACGGATATCACCCATGGAAGGGAGTGGAGCAACGGATGGAATCGAGGAACGAGTCAGCGGAGGAGTTTGTAAAAAGAATCAAAGAAATACAAGACGAAGCAAAAGCAGCACTGGAAAAAGCAAATGAAAAAATGAAAAAATACTACGATAAACAAAGAAAAAAGGTTCCGGAGTTGAAGGTTGGGATGAAGGTGTACATAGAAGGGGAAAATATCGAGACGGACAGACCATCAAAGAAGATGAGTGACAAGAGATTAGGACCATACGAGATACTGGAGAAGGTTGGAGCGGCTGCATGGAAACTGGATTTACCGGACACGGACCGAAGGCATCCGGTGTTCAACGAGTCACTGTTGACACCCTATCACGAACCACCCCCCCATCGCCGAGAGAAGAGGCCCGTAGCCAAGATGATCGGAGGAGCAGAGGAGTGGGAAGTTGAAGAGATCATGAAAGAGCGAAACGTCGGCCGAGGAAAACAGTACTTGGTCAAATGGAAGGGATGGCCACATAGCGAGAACACCTGGGAACCATCACGTCACCTTACCCACGCGAAGGAGGTCCTGAGAGATTGGCAGAGGAGACAATCCAACCCAGACACACGCATTTGCCTCCTACCAACGCTCGAAGCCGGACATTGGGATTATCTTATCCATCGCTACAAACCCAGAGACGAACGCCTTCCATATCCCAAACGACAACTCTTCGACCCTTACGAGAACATCTTTACACCCATTGGCCTAGTCGATGAGGACATCGACCCTAGAGAGGGGGTAATGTCATAATTCGGCCACTTTTTATCTTATCTTCGACGATCTCATCTTATCTTGGCACGACTTATCTTATCACGGATCACGACATCAGACGGTCCGGGCTAGGGGTTCCAGGGGATTATCCTTATCAATTCAAGGCTGCGCGACATATGCTCCGGAAGGTTCTACTACAACCCATGACCAGTGCTCCATGCGGTACATAGCCTTATGACTCGTTAGTTGTAGATATGACTCAGACTGGATTTGGGTATAAATACTGTAGCTACTTGGTTGTATTCTCCAGTCTTCGAATTCACTTCTCTTTTCGACTTTGTTTTTGGGTTGATTGTCACAGAAGGATGGATACGCAATTCAGGAGGCTTTGATGTTGAGGACATGCATGTTCTCATGACCAAAGTGAGTGTCCTGTGCGATGCAGATAAACGCTGACCTTGTCCGCCTGTCATTCAGTTGGCATTTCTTGTCATAAGCACATGTGGATTCGGGTTTCAATCGGACTGGTCAGTGTTCCGAATTCAAACGAAAGCTGCGAGTGGCCAACGACTAGATCAGGCTGACCCCAACCGAAACCGCGAACGAAACTTTCCTCTCTGTGCAGCAAGCGCTAGAAATAGTCGCAACCAACTACATGATGTTTATCTTTGTCCCCGAGTTCATTCTTAATTTGCCACTTCCCCAGTCAGGACACATGCTTCTCGAATGAAAGTTTCCTTCATCCCTAGCGTATCGCAGATTCATCAAGATCAGAAACGCCCGCGCCATGCTGATGGGATTCATGTTCAAGCAGGTGGCTGAACGGAAAGCGCTGATTGCGGCGGGTGTGTCGAACAATGACGCTTTCACCCTTCTTGTCAAGGCGAACAAGGAGGAAACAGGCAGTCGTGTGCTGGACGATAGCGAACTGGTGACTGCGTTGCGCCTTGTGTCACCAGTTCCTGCATCTCATTGACGTAAATCGGGAATGTTTTCCTGTTTTTGTTTGCAGGTCACGGTCAGTGCACAGAATCTTCTGGGCCTCGGAAGCTGATGGACTTACCAGAAACGACGGCGCGCTCTTTGATGGCGACACTGGCTTGCATCGCACTCAATGATGAAATTCAGACCGAGGCGCTGGATCAAATTCTCGAAGTCGTGGGACCAGATGGCAAACCTGTGAGCAACCCGATATAGTACATGTTTTTAGCAGTTGATTTCCTGCAAATTGCCGGGAGTTCGAAGACTGCAATAAGCTAGATAAGGTTCTCGCGCTCTTCTACGAAGCCACTCGCATGTTTCGTGCGTCTGATTCAGCTGACATTTGACCCAGTGTACTCAATAGCTCGCAGCGGCAGCACATCTCCTGCTGAGGCAGGCTACAGAAGACAACGTGTTGCTTGTTCCCAAGCCCGTCGGCGAAGAAGGCACAATCACTGTTCCCATTGCCAAAGGCACGACATTCATCGTGGACATGGTGGGCGCTCGTGAGTATCTCTGAGGATCTCGCGTACATTTAGATCTTATCTTGGGCAGAGTACAATCCTCGCTACTTTGACGAGCCGGAAAAATTCAAGCCCTCGAGATGGCACGGTCTTCCGCACCTCAGTTACCACCGCCATCACGCGGTTCTCCCCCCGCGGGGTACCTACTGGGTACCCTCAGACGTCTTGCTGAGGGTACCCAGTAGGTACCCCCTGGCAGGGGGTGGGGGGGCCATTTAGTCGATTTAGTAGCGGGGGCATATGCGGGGGTCAGGAGGAGGGGGGGTGTATGTAGCATGTGACTTGTCCATAAGAGCAGGTAGCTGGGCGGGAAAAAAAAAATCCAATCACATGACGCGCTGCATGGGCGGGATGGCGGGATAAAAAAATCACGTGATGCGCTGCACCAAATATTACCAAAATGCTGGCAGGGGTTGGCGGCGTCATTGGTGGGGTCACTACCACCCCCCCGCACACCATGGCGGGCAGTGGGTGCATTATCACGTGACTTTTTGGGCGCCTTTTTTGCAGCATTTGGCATGATTTTGGAAATGCTGCTTGATACATTGCATGCTGTGGCAGACAATGGGCGCAAAATCACGTGATTTTCCGCCAAAAAAATGGAAGACTCCCCAAATCATCCCAGTATAATTTCCATAGGTAAATAGGCTAGTTAAACATGAACTTGAGCTTAGAAAAACCAAAATGCACCCTGCACAATGGGATTGGTGACACACTTGATCCCATCCTTTGGCAGGGCCTGCCGCAGGGGCTGCCGCGGGGGGTGCCGCGGGGGGTGATGCGGGGGCTGCCCCAGGGGGTGCTGCGGGGGGGTGCTGCAGGGGCTGCCCCAGGGTTGGTCTGTTATGATCCATTTTTGTTCATTGAAGATCTTGTAGAGGTGAGCAGGGCAACAGGCCAACTGGGAATTTATAGGAAGACATTGAAATTGATGCAGGGGTCAGATGCGGGGCCCACTGCAAGGTCTACTGCAGGGGCAGGGGTGCATTATATCAAATTTCGATGTATCTATTCTGGCCATGGCCATAGAATGTCACATAATTATCCTTCAATTTGGCAGGGGTTTCTTGGTATGGTCTGCAGCTAAAGATATTTGATTCCCTTGTGCTTTAGCAGAGCCTGGGATATTGAAAACATGCAATAGCACCTGTATAATCTGTTTATGTAGGGTCAAATACAAGTTATGATTTGTTCATGTGTTGACCGGCAGGGTGGGTAGGTTGGCTGCACTGGGTCCACTGTCATCTCATTGATTTTTTGGTGCGCTCATTCTACATACATGGCTATTAGTCAATTGTTCACACTGTTAGCACAGTGTAATCTTACCCTGCGGCACATTGTACCACATGTCAAGTACACATTGAATGTCTCACTTCCTGACTGGGACTCATTGAAAATCAGAAGTTCTGTGATGCTTTGCAAATGATTTTCTCAAGCTGCAACATGAACAGATGGAACATAGCGGATTTGACATGCCCTCAATTCATTCCTGGGTCGTATATAAGAGGATGAACTAACTCACTAATAAGTTGTCTCACAATAGCCAGAGATTGAGCATGAATTCAGATTTCATATACAAAATTCTTTCCACTTAGAGCTTGGATACTTGCAAGACAAACTGCAGAAACATACATGATTGCTTTTGCTACTGGGACTGTATACGTTCTTGCCATAACTCACTGCCTGCAACTCTACCTGCACCCCCACTGGCACCCCTGCAGGCACCCCCCGCCAAACTGGCACCCCCCACTGCACCCCCGCATGCACCCCCGCCAGGCTGACACCCCCTGCCACACCCCCCGCTGCACCGGTGCCTTGCCCCTGCCATCTTCTCATATGTAAGATTACATAATCTGACAGCTCGGAACACGTCAAGTCACCAGCCAATCAGAACCTGTATAAACGTCGTACCTAAGTGTTTCCTGCTCTTCTGACACTGTTTCTACAGTTATGCAGCTGAAAACCATCGGAATAAGGTCTCCCTATGCTGTTCTTGTTGAATATGTAGGTATTTCATATCATTTGTCCATCCAAAATTCGAAACATGAAAACAGTTCACAGTTGCTCAAGGTTCCTACATAGATAATGGTTCAACATAGTTCACTTTGGGTATTGCAAAAAATATATTTTCTACAAATGAACAACTCAATACAGCTGAATGATATACCCCTTGGCAGTGTCTGAAACAAATTCTGAGAGCCCTGGACCCTGGAACCATTCAAAAACTTGAAATGGGTCCGAAAAATAGGGTCTTGATAAACATGAGATAGGGGCCAGTTTGAAGAGATGTAAGCCACTGGTCATGTTCAATGTGGTATTTGACAATGTTTCGGTGCCTTGCCCCTCACCAAATGGCCTCCTTTCCCACCAAAAAGTGCACATACACACTCAAGCTTATAAAATCAATTGTCGGCCAGAAACAAGAGCAGGCAAGTTGTGTCACTGGAATTGGGTAAAGGTAACCTGGAAGTCACTCGGGTTGCAGTACAGAAGCTTTGGAAAGTGATCCTGTAGTTGATCCACATTGGGTAGGCTGGCAGAGGCTTGGGCACCCCCCGCAGCACCCCCCGCAGCAGCCCCCGCGGCAGCCCCCGCGGCAGCCCCCGCGGCAGCCCCCACCATCAACCCTGCCCCAGCCCCTGCAAGGATTGGATGGACAAAAGTGCTGCCTAATCAATTGTTAGTGTTCACAGTATTATCACATCCATTAAAGTGTCTAAATGGTGTGTAGACAAGGAATATGAAATCCATCAATCAACAATCCTAACACCTGTATCAGATATCCTGAAAATGGAGAGGAAGATTTGGGAGCAGACAGACTATCGGAAGCAAACAGACAGGGACAAGGAGCAGTAGCTATTCCTTGCAATCAATTTGGCTGCACATGGAAAACTCCCTTGGGGGATTTGCCAAACAAATCAAGTTGCGCATTTTTCAAACATTAAATTCGACCTAATAGCTTGAGCAGACCATGCCCAAATGTACCAAGTTATAACTTGTATTTGACCCTACATAGACAGATTATACAGGTGCTATTGCATGTTTTCAATATCCCAGGCTCTGCTAAAGCACAAGGGAATCAAATATCTTTAGCTGCAGACCATACCAAGAAACCCCTGCCAAATTGAAGGATAATTATGTGACATTCTATGGCCATGGCCAGAATAGATACATCGAAATTTGATATAATGCACCCCTGCCCCTGCAGTAGACCTTGCAGTGGGCCCCGCATCTGACCCCTGCATCAATTTCAATGTCTTCCTATAAATTCCCAGTTGGCCTGTTGCCCTGCTCACCTCTACAAGATCTTCAATGAACAAAAATGGATCATAACAGACCAACCCTGGGGCAGCCCCTGCAGCACCCCCCCGCAGCACCCCCTGGGGCAGCCCCCGCATCACCCCCCGCGGCACCCCCCGCGGCAGCCCCTGCGGCAGGCCCTGCCAAAGGATGGGATCAAGTGTGTCACCAATCCCATTGTGCAGGGTGCATTTTGGTTTTTCTAAGCTCAAGTTCATGTTTAACTAGCCTATTTACCTATGGAAATTATACTGGGATGATTTGGGGAGTCTTCCATTTTTTTGGCGGAAAATCACGTGATTTTGCGCCCATTGTCTGCCACAGCATGCAATGTATCAAGCAGCATTTCCAAAATCATGCCAAATGCTGCAAAAAAGGCGCCCAAAAAGTCACGTGATAATGCACCCACTGCCCGCCATGGTGTGCGGGGGGGTGGTAGTGACCCCACCAATGACGCCGCCAACCCCTGCCAGCATTTTGGTAATATTTGGTGCAGCGCATCACGTGATTTTTTTATCCCGCCATCCCGCCCATGCAGCGCGTCATGTGATTGGATTTTTTTTTTCCCGCCCAGCTACCTGCTCTTATGGACAAGTCACATGCTACATACACCCCCCCTCCTCCTGACCCCCGCATATGCCCCCGCTACTAAATCGACTAAATGGCCCCCCCACCCCCCGCCAGGGGGTACCTACTGGGTACCCTCAGCAAGACGTCTGAGGGTACCCAGTAGGTACCCCGCGGGGGGAGAACCGCGTGATGGCGGTGGTAACTGAGGTGGTCTTCCGCCAGATTCAGAGCAGTTTACGGCCTTCAGTGTCGGTGCGTCTGCCAATACCACAAATTTTTGTGCAGTTACCTATTAAGAAATATTCTAGGCTCTCGGGCCTGCATCGGCCGCAAATTTGCAACTGTAGAGGCAATCTGTTTCTTGACGCGTTTCATAAGAGACTGGAAGGTGGCACCACTGCTGGCTCCAGGCGAAACTAGAGAACAATGGCGAAAACGTGTCCTGGATGCCAAAGTGCTGCTTGCGCTCGGGATCGAACGACTTCCGCTCACACTGGAGCGGAGAAAGTTGGCGTAAACAGGGAGTTCCGAATCACACGTGATCGCGTTTGATGACGCATTGATACATTTGATCTCGATATCTCAATTCACGCTCTGTACTTTGCTCTCGCTTGAGTGTGGACCGAATATTTAGAGGATCCTCTCATGAACTTGGCACGCCCAGATTAACCGGTCTAACACAAGACTCAACCATGTTCGAACTTCAGACCAGAAATTTGACGTCATAGGAGACGCGTGGGAATGTGTAATTTCGGGAATGTCAACACCGATGCGATCCCACGAACCATTCATCTCTCACCGCGACGATGTTGGGACTGGACGCTAACCCGACGACTTTGCTGTTTACTCTGGCTGCGGGTATTCTGACCCTCCGGCCTGTGATGAGATATCTGCGTTCCTATGTATGTCAGCCTCGGAATACTAGCTCAAGATAGACAAGTCACCAATCTCATCCTCGCTCCAGCCTGAGAAGGACATCCCAATCGTGTACACTCTCTTCCAGCCTTTTGGGATACCTGGGGTCCTTCTACCTACGACCCGTCGCTGGACGACCGGCTTGGATTGGATGTGGATTCGCAGGGGCCAAAGTGCGTTTCTCAGGGGCAGCACAGGAACCCATTTCGTGACTAACGCGCCCAAGCCTACACCACGAATGAGACAATCCGCCTCGTACCCCTTCTGGCGGGTGACTCCGAGCTCTGGACTTGCGATATGGATGTCGCGCGGCAGACGGTTGTCGGCAGTCACCGCTCGAGTTGGGTCAAGCCCGCGGAGATGAGCCGCCTCTTACTGTGAGTTGATGCCCCCAGCGTCTTGCTTATTCACGCTGACGCTTGCGAAACACAGGATTTGGGGAATGAACATCGTCGCCGCCGACGGCCAAGTCTGGCGCAAACATCGACGTATCATGGGACCAGCGTTTGGAACCGAACTGTGCGTTGGCGTGTCCCTCAAGTGCCACCGCGTGTGAATGCGAAGATCAGGTACCAACTCGTCTGGAAGGAGAGCATTCGGCTGTACCGGGAGATGATTTCCGTTGAGGAGTGGGAGAGCGAGAGTGCGGCCAAAGTACCGGTTGTGCAGGAATTGACGCTCAAAGTAGGTGGCCCGCTTTCTCTGAAACCCGATGTCTCCCGTCCTCAAACTCGCGTAGTTCGCCTTCCTGGTCATATGCCGTTGTGGATTTGGTTTCCCAAGCTCTTGGTGCGTCGTCGTTCGGGTGTACCCTGCCACCTGATGTAATGTATACCATGCAATGCAGGGCCGATCCTCCCAAATCTTCAGACACGGAGATGTCTGCACAAGAGGCATTGCGCATCGTTTCAAACTCACACATGATTAAGAATATCATGCCTCTCTGGATGCTGCGACTACTGCCCTTTCCAAAGTGCGTCTCAGACTGCGCTCTTTGACCTTGCCACAATTCTATCACAAGGATTCAGGCCGTTCGCACTGCACACGATATCTTCCTCCAGTTCATGCGATTCCAAATCGATGCCCGGAAAGAAATGGTCCGCGAGTCTGAAGTGAATGAAAAAGATGCGTTCACTATGCTGATCCAAGCAAACGAAGATGAGGCAGGAAAGAACCAGCTGGATGAATCCGAGCTGGTCAGCCGACATACTCTTATGTGACATCGCGCCAACTGCCAGTTATAGATCGGAAACATCTACATATTGATGTTTGCAGGACATGGTTGGTACCTCTCCCGCTGTGATCGTCCATTAATCTCAAGGTTCATGATGATCAGAAACCACCGCACAAAGCTTGGCTTCAACTCTGGCGTATTTGGCTCTCGACGAAAGTCTACAGGATGAACTGTTGAACCATATTCTTGATGTTGTTGGCCCTAGTGGGGACCCTGTTCGTGCTCAAAAATCTTCTAAGCTATCTCTAATGCCGTTCTTGACAACAGGTTTACGAGGATCATCACAAGCTCAACAAAATCGCTGCCGCGTTTTTCGAGGGTACTCGCCTGTTTCGTGCGTCACGGGACTTGTATGATCCCATCTTATCTGATGGCATCATAGCTTCGGCCCAAGTGCTGATCCGACAAGCGACTGAAGATACCTTGCTGACAGTGCAGAATGCTCTCGGCGAGGAGGGGACTCGCAAGATTCCCGTCACCCAGGGAACCCTAGCGATCGTGGATATGGTCGGTGTCCGTGAGTAACCCGTCCATCACAATTACACGTCAATGGCTACTGACTGCTCTCGAGAATACAATCCCCGTTACTTTGAGGATCCGACTGCGTTCAAGCCGTCACGCTGGTATGATTTACCCGTCGAATCCGATATTTTTTCCGGGTTCAGCGTTGGTACGCTTCTGCTTCTCGTCTGACAGTGAAACAGGGCCCCAAATCATTTCTTGCAGGACCTCGAGCGTGTTTAGGACGTAAATTCGCCACCGTCGAAGCCATTTGCTTTCTGTCTCTTCTGATACGGGATTGGAAGGTTTCTCCACTGCTTAACTCCGACGAGAGTATCAGCCAGTGGAAGGCGCGGGTGCTGGATGCGAGATTCGGAATGACCTTGCGCATTGCGGATGTCCCTGTCAGGTTTGAGCGCCGCAAGCATGGATTGTAAATGACTTTTATAGTGTTTGTGGCTAGCATATACCTTTTGACGGGTTTGTTGACCTTGAGTTCTTGATCCGTCCGAAAATGAACTCGGATTATGGATTCATGCGAGACTGAGTGTTGGACAATCCTGTCTGATTATCTTGGATTCGAACTGAGGCTGCATCTGCAGGGTGGATTACTACTAGCAGCTGACAGTTGTGGCAGCAGGAAGGGATACTGATTGACGCTAGATTAATTGTCTCTGAGGAACGACAATCTACCGGCATTCTGTCAATTTAGCTGCAATTGGTCGGGGGACGTGCAGGCTGTCCTCTGAGCGGTATAAATATGTTGCGAGGGATAGCTTGGCGTGGTCTCGACACTACTCAGCCTGGATTCCAATGATCGGGGTCTCCGCCCATACAAAACTTGACACTGCCGGTGCGAGAATAACCAACTAGTGCATCTCATGCTTGCCACCTATATCTAATTCCACCCACAGATGTCAGCCTCGACAAGGACGAGGACATTCTGGGGCTTTCTCTCCGACCAGATTTTCTCACCCATGAATTGCACGTCTTCTGGTGGTTTACGTGGCGCGATTGGTCTGCGAGTATGATTCCCGGATCAATCTACACGGTCGCTGCCCTCCGTTCTCTGGACGAATCGTTGTCCCTCAGTTCCCTTTCGCGAGGTCTCGCGAGATCTATCATCTACTTCCTGTTCTTCGTCTATACCTTTTGCCTCGCCAACCAAATCACCGGCGTCGCTGAGGACCGAATCAACAAACCCGATCGGCCACTTTCATCCGGCCTGTCCTCGATCAAGGGTGCTTATGTGCGACTATGTGTTTCGATCACAGTACTCCTCGCCCTCGGTGCGGCGTGGGGTGTGCTCCCGTGGGCTGCGCTGTGGATTGCCAATACGCTGCACGCGAGTTTCTTCGACGGGGACAAGCACTGGGCGACGAAGAACCTGGTCTTCATGAGCGTCGCCTCGTTCTGCATAGTGCAGGCCGCATGGGGCATGGCCGCGCCGATCACCCCGGGTGTGCTCCGATGGAATCTCATCTTCAGCGGCGCTTTCGGCGCGGTGGCGAGTGTGCAGGACTTACGCGATGCCGAGGGTGACAAAGTCACCGGGCGGAGAACTCTGCCCATCATTCTGGGCGACGCCTTCCGTTATGGTATGGCCGGCGTGATCTGTGTCATTCCCGGAGTCTGTTGGCGACTCGGCTGGCTCAATCACTCGCACTGGATGGTCGCATACTGCGGCATCGGGCTGTGCATGGCCATGTTCTACATGGCGTATCGTGTCTTTGTTGGCTCCTCCGCGCAATATCACCACAAGACATATATGGTGCGTGATGGGTTATACAGAATTCTTGCCGTCAAGTCGGGCTAAATTTACCCATAGATTTTGACCTACATCTATTGCGGCTGTGTTGCGGTGCCGATGTTGTTTCCATGATTTGGACATGTAGATTATGTTTTCGGCCCGTATCCGTAGTCCATCGCATTAATATTATTATACCAACGGACGCTATCCAGCGACATGACTGTGCTGTTTGAAATACTAATGACATGGACTTCTTTGGCCAGGCCAAGAATTTCGACGAGTTTGGCAAGTCAAATCATTCCCTCAGCTGCACGCACTGATTAAAATAGCACCCCAGTCTAAAACAACATCACGTGTCGGAGTTAAACATTCTGTCACGTGTTTCAAGTGGCAAAAATTCTCTTCTCCCCTCTTCCCCATGTGGTGTCCAAGACCTTCAAGGTCCGGATGCTGGTTTGCGTGATACGCACCCATTGTAGATGCCGAACTCCGTCCTCCTACTTCAGAGCTTGAACCACTATCAAATTTATTGACATGTCCAGACAATATGCGCAAACTAAACGTGCCTGCCCCTTCTTGCCCAGCTTGCTCTTCGACTTCACCTCTATTTTTGACTGAATTATAGCTACCGCCGCCCAGGGGCTTTGGGCATGACAGCCTTGATCGTTCTACTCTTTTCAGGACGCTTACAGCAAGTTATTGCATAGAACACTGGATCTGGATAGCTCAACGCTTAGCTTATGCTTGGCAGCGGTCTTTTCGAAACTCCTACGGTCAACGGCAACCGCTCACGGCGCTGCTGCCGAGCCCCTTTTGATATTGATAGTCACCATGAGGTGGCAGCGAAGGCATCAAGAGACCGAAGAGCTGACAAGCCCAGAGCTCATCAATCATCTATCGTTCGCTAGCGTATGTTCTGCTTCCTATCGCCCACCCATGCTGTCGGCTCATGCTCCCTGTCAACCAGGTTTTTATAGCGACTTTCCCACCCGCAACCATTTAAGAAGCCCGCACCCAACCATGTTCTCGTCTGCAACCACCCCCTCGAATGCTGAAAGAGGCTAAAGGTGCCAGTTGGACCGCTCTCCCTCCGTCTCGCATGCGGCCCATCTGACCATTGAGCAGACTCGCAGGCTTTGGGGCACGCCGCTCTGGCCGAGAGAAATCTCGAAGGCACCCTTGGGCTCGGGGTAATCGCAGAAGTGATCCAGCACGAGCTAAAAGTCTTCTGGGGCTTCACGTGGCGGGACTGGTCCGCAAGCGTGGTTCCCGGTGCGATGTACACACTGGCTGCGCTCCGTTCGCTGGACAGTGCGCTGACGATCGACGTGGTGGCGCGCGGAATCGGGCGTTCGGTCGTGTACTTTCTGCTCTTCATCTACGCATTCGACTTGGCCAACCAGATCAACGGCGTGGCAGAGGACAAGATCAACAAACCCGATCGACCCATCGCGTCAGGCCTGTCCTCGCTCAAAGGCGCGTATATGCGCTGGCACGTCACCAACGCCATACTCCTCTTTCTCGGGGCGGCGTGGGGAGTGCTGCCGTGGGCCGCGCTGTGGATCATCGTGACCATCTACACAAGCTTCTACGGCGGCGACAAGCACTGGGCGACGAAAAACCTGGTCTTCATGTCCGTCGGCTCATTCTGTGTGCTGCAGTCCGCTTGGGGGCTCGGAGCGCCGATCGGACCCCAGACGCTGAGATGGGACCTGATTCTAAGCGGGGCTTTCGGGATCGTTGCCAGCATCCAGGACATGCGTGATGCCGAAGGCGACAGGATTGCAGGGCGACGGACATTGCCCATCATTCTCGGAAATTCCTTCCGCCCTGCCATGGCAATCGTCATCTGCGCCATGCCGGCCGTGTGCTGGAAGCTCGATTTTCTGCGCCGCTCGCACTGGATGGTCGGGTACTGCGGGGTGCTGCTCACTCTCGCCATGTTTTACATGGCCCAACGTGTCGTGCGGGGTTTCTCCGCTCGCTATGATCACAAGACGTATATGGTATGTCACCCACATGCATCCTGTCGCATATGCTCACCAGATGCCATGATATGCAGATCCTCACGTACATCTTTTGCGGTTGTGTGGCAGTTCCGATGCTTTTTCCTTGACGGTCTCGATGCAGGTTGTCAACGGTATGTAGATCTCTTTGGTTTTTGATCGCCGTGATGGACACTTGGGTGTGTGATAGACTATTCTAGTAATGTAGGGATACATGGATTGTAACATGTCGGACATAATACACTTATTTATTCTCTCGTCAGACCATCAAAGCGCAAACCGCTGAGGTTGTTCCATGAAAGGAGTTGTGCCCAACACTGGACTGAGCATGGGAACCGGACTGATCTCATCGGGACTATAGCTTTCCTTGAGCCGTTTCCAGACATTCTTGAACGTGGTCGCGCTGCCTTTCTCGTGCAGCAGCACGATGGCCGAGTTACATCCCGGTGGAAAGGCTGCACTCGACGACACAGTCCTGTTCGTCAACATAGTCCCGCGCGCTTTCGTCGAGGTCGAGGCATTAAGAACCCCATTGAGATTCGGAGAAACAAGGTGGCCGCTCGGAACAGACTGATGCTTCGTCGCAGAGCAGTTCGGTGCGGCAGAGAACTCGACACGGAACTTGACGGGCTTCAGAGGAACAACTCCAGCATCGCTCATCTCCTCCACTTTGCAGCGTAGAACCAAAGCCAGGTCTTCATCCACGTAGATGTCCTCCACGTAGCTGAACCCGCTGCCTTCAACGATCACCCCCAATCGCTCCAGCAGCAGACCGACCTCTCGACGCGTCTTTTCTAAACCGTCAGGCGAGTAGATCACCCCCGTGCCCGGTGTCAACTGGGAGCTTCCCCTCCAGCTGAACAGGTTAGAGAACCAGCCCTTGAATTCGCCAACCACAGGTGAGGCTAAACGGGACGCGCTAACCCCGGAGTCGATGGCCGGGGCAATGTTGCCTGCGGTAGACAGCGATAACGGAGAAGTGAGAAGTGAGAGCGTCGACCGTTTTTGCTTCAATGCTGGAAGCGTGGAATCTGTATTGAACATATCCGTTCAGAGTCAGATGTCAGGTGGAAGACTTGTCAGACGCACGCTTTGCCCTTCTTTCCTTGTCTTTCCTCCACTTGGGGTCCATATTCTCCTGGAACACCACATTGCGACCCTCATTGTCCAAACCCAAGCCGCTTTGGAATTCATCTGCACCGACGTAGCTCCAACCCTCAGAGACGCTCTGGTTTTCCTTATCCTCGCGCGGGGATCGCAATTGACGAGCAGCAGCGGAAGCAGCAGCAGCCTGTGCTTTGGCCAGTCCGTTCAAACGTTCAGCAACAGCGTCCATCGTTTTTTGCAGCTCTTCGTTGGCGGTCCTGGGAGCGACCAGGAGTGGCAGATTCCCCTCATCGGCGATGTCTCGCTCCGTCTCGACAGCAATCGCATCGCTGCTCAGTCGCAGACTGAGATCCAGATCCACGCTCAAGCCCAAGTCTATGTCCACCTGCCCCAGTGTGCTCTCCGGTGCTGCAGGAACTGGTGTCGGTACCTGCGTAATACGTGGCGGAGGAGGGGCTGTGCGAGTGCTTTGGCCCATGGTCACATTGGGAGGCAATGTGTGCACGCGTCTGGCGAGTGGCGGTCTCGGGCAACGAATAGATGCAGAAGTGGAAACAGGCCGAGCAGATGTTCCGGTCTTCGACGGAACACTGCGCTGTATTTGAGGACGGGGTCCAACAGGGGCTGATGTACGATCCTTGGAAGAAACGCCGCGACTCATCAAAGGAGGTGCGAGGCCGGAGACCTGCGGAATCGGGGCAGTGGTCGAGCGCTGCCGGGTCCTGGGCACCGCGACCTTGTTCGTAGGAACGAGGCTGTTGTCTCTCGCGCGTAGCGATTCTTCGCGGTATTGACAAAGAAGAAAATAGAATGCTTTAGCGTGCACTCCTTGTCCCGCCGGGGAGCAGAGGTCGCGCTTGATGGAGGTGCATTCCGCATCCGTGTGACGGCCCCAGATGATGCGGAGCGATTCAAGAAGATCCACGTCAATGAGAGATGGATGTCCGATGGGCCGGGCAAGGGTGCTGGGAGACGGAGGAAGTGAGGGAGTCGGCGCACAAAGCATTTTTTCAGGGCTGGGCGTGGTACACAGCCATGGGTGAGAGAGGATCTCAGGGATCTGTATTTTAAGGGTGAGTGTGCAAATTTGCGGGCAAGGCGAGCTGCGTACGGTAATACGGTTGGAAACATCGACAACAAGCATCCGGGACAGGAGGTCCATTGCTAATGGGTCGATCCAAGCAGGCATATCATACTTGCCGCTCTTGACTTTAGAGAGAAGGATTTTGACGTTCTTGTCGTCGAAAGGAAGTCGTCCAGTGAGAAGCGCATAGAGAATAACGCCACAGCTCCAGATGTCTGTCGCATTGCCTTGATACTTCTCGCCGTTGACGATTTCGGGACTAGCGTAGTGAGGAGAACCGCAGCTGGTTTCGAGCTCGAGCGAAGGAGGGGCGAAGGCGGCCATACCCCAGTCAGCGATTTTGATGATAGGAGGAGATAGTGAAGCAATTAGGATGTTCTCGGGCTTGAGATCGCGATGGATGATAGAAAATGTGTGAGCGTAGTTGAGTCCGTAGATGATCTGTTTGAAGTATTCCAAAGCCTCGGCGGGAGGGAGACGTCCGCGGTTGACAAGAAAATCGAAAAGCTCGCCGCCTTGAATGTACTCCAAGATCAAGAAGAGCTCGTTCGAGCCCTCGTAGACGTCGTATATGCGCATGATATTCGGATGGTTCATCAGCTTCATCATAGTGATTTCTCGGTCTATGCCTAGGCGTTGTTTCTCGCTCTTCGCCTGTTGTGTTGCCAGAGAAGCACGCGAGTTGACGAGAGGCGCGAGAGGGAGGATCTTGACGGCAGCGAGTTGTCCAGTAACGCGATGCTTGGCTATCTTGACGCGACCCGACGCACCCTTTCCGACGCACTCACCAAGGACCCAGTGACCGATTTCCTTTGGATCACTAGGAAGATCGAAAGCACTGACACCACCAGCGGCGGCCGTCTCTTTGGCCCAGCGAGTTCCCAAAGGTGTCGCATACTGAACGGGAGGGGCCCGAGGAGGGCTGCAAGAGACGAACGCCATTGGGGAGCGAGATAGTTTTGATGGGTCAAGATGAGGCACCTCCGCACTCTCCTCGACTAGGCGAGTCGATGAAGGTCAAGAGCAAGGACGCGGACGCGTGTGGCGGTCAAGTGATGTCAGTGACGGCTGGCGTGTCATTTGACACGTGATATGTACGAGATGGCCGCCGTTGATCATGTCCAAATCTCTGGAAGACCTCCAGATTTCAGATTCGATTGTTACTTATCACTTATGTCACCGGGTTTTTAGATTCACGATTCCTATCTGTCACCGAAAGAAATGGAGTGCACATTCATATCCACAAATCAAGTTTCTCAGTTCTCTCTAAGCTCTGGATCGTGATCCCTCGTTGTTTCGTCGAACCACACAGCTACCCTAGGCGGGACCGGGGAGGCGGATAGGAGGACACAGCTGGCCGCCGTCAGGACAGTGAGGGATTTGAGTCTCCACGGTACCACCTGGATGGACGAAACATCAGGCGAAATGTAATACTACCGCTGAGAAAACACACTCACGATCGGTGGTCAAAGTCGGGAATTCATAGTAAGGGCAGGCCTGTTGAATATCCCGCGCGTGTTTGGTGGCAGGGTAGCTGAGTGGGTAAGCACTTGATGGAAGCGAGGTGAGTGGACGCTACCTCGCTGGTTTGTTAAGAGCCGGCTTCGGAACGGGGACAACAGCAGAGCAGTCGACAAGATCTGAGCGTCTCGATCCCAGAATCGCCATTTTTGCCATGGCAGCTTTGAAACTGTATGCCATGTAGTCTTGCTCATCTAAAAATGATGGCGTAAGCTTGCGGCGCATGCAATCAGAACGATGAGATTTGCCGATGAAATTTTGCCAGTAACAAGCCGTTCGCGGGTCACGAGCAAACGCAAAGTCGGATTGAAGTCGCATTTCACCCGTGTTGTTCTGATAAGTCAGTGGTAGAGGCGACATGACTTCTCCAGGGTTGTTACCAGTCCCTGGATAACCGGTGCCTTTGAGCAGAACCTCAAGGAAGATTTGGGTATCAAAGTCAAACGGGGTCGAATCAAACGGGGCTGCGATGAGAGTCGTATCAACCTTGTCGGCACGGGCAACAGTGTGACTGGCGAGCAGAGAGACGACCTCGAACGGAGAGAAGTTGCCGGCATCAGCGAACCGATTGAGGATCTTTGTCACAGAGTCTGCGGGTTCCTATTTCTCGTAATCAGCATGCAGCCAAAGAACATTCGGCCGAAAACACGAACCGGGATCAGACCGTCGATGGCAGGAGCTACTGCATTCTTGCGACCGGCCAGGAATTCCAGCCGAGGAGCACCCTATATGCAGCATCAGCGATGGCTTCTCTCAGGTTTTGTTATGCTTTACCGGGCAGTTTCCAACTGCGACTGCTCCAGCAAATTGAATCAAGTCTCCAGCCGAGACATTGTGACGATGGAGAACGGGGATCAGGTTATTGATACTGTTATCGAGACCGTCGTTTGCACCGTAGAAAGGTTCAACCTGGATCTCATAAAATGGAGCACAGAAGGATAAAAACAATAACATACTGTCGGGAAGAGGAGCATACTGCCATCCGCTCCGCCACCACTGCGAGGAGCGAGTCAGTCAGAAGAGGAAATCTACTACAGAGGAGGAGTAGACTGAACGCTGAGGCGCCTAGGGACTGGCTGATGGCGATCGCATCGTCTAGATCATGGAAATGGTCAACATCATTATCACTCGAGAAAAGAGCCCTAGGACGCACGGAAGGTGAGTCGAAGTACCTCGTGCGCATCTTCGCTACAGAGATTCTCAAAGACGTTCTCTTGGAGGTCTTTGACGATCTGAGAGAGGAATTAGCGCTCTGTCAAGATCAGAATCCACCGACCAACAGGGATGAAAGCGCAGCAGACGCTGCTTGGGACGAAGGTACCATCGGGACAGATAACAACGTCGGGCGTCGGCGCAGTAGAGACTGGGACTGCAAGAGCGGCAAAAACAGCGAGCGCGAGTGAAAAAGCCATTGGATCTGACGAATGTCGACCGCTGCAGGAAAATAGGACCCGGGGATGAGAACCTGGCTCTTTTTCTCGCCTTTCAGCATGCATTTTATACCATTCCGACTCGATTTTGGAGGAACAATGTCTCATGGATCGTGAAGCCGAATCAAGAGAAATACCACGGGTATCCGACCCTCCCGAGCCGTTTTCGGAGCCGACGCTCAAGTTCATTAGGGACCCAGTGCTGCACACCATTAGGACACAAGCGATAGCCTATTCCACGAGTCATCCTCGTCACGTTGTCGCACTAGATTCGCACTCGCAGATGGGCCAAGCAATCCCAATAATGGTAGTCGTATGTGCCACCGATGGCGATGTCGCCCTTGCGTCTCAGTGCTTGCCGTTTATCTATGCAGGAGCATAAATCAGAGATCCGAGCACTTGGAGTCGGCCTACTGCAGCACAGGCAGCGTAGTATACAACTCACATCGCGTGCATTGTCTTGATTAGGCGCTTCAAGACGCGCGAGATTCAATCGATCCGAAACCTGCGGCCTGCGTGCGGAGGCCTTCCCAACAGAAAAGAACTAGAGCGCGGCACTCCAGAATCATGCTCTTGGTCGCTGTCAATAACCGTTTTGACCACGATACACTGCCGATCTTCCGGGTCAGTTCCCGTCCGTTGCCCGGGTGTTAAAACACCGCACCACCAGTGTACCGGAAGACATCTATGTCATTGTTTGGACAGCGAATGGTGGCCGTTGTGTGTGGCATGCATGCACGCTGCAGGCTTCTGATAGGCAGTCGAGAGGTCACCCGCGTGCACAGTGTGCAGAGAGAAGCGGCTCAGACCGTGGTGGTTCTGCCGGTTATGGATGTAAGTATTCCGAATTGACTTCAAGAGCAGCGTGAAGCAGCTGAGAGTGATTCGAGTGCAGTGACCTTCAAGTTTGCGGCTTTAAGCGGCTTTCGAGATTAGATCGTACCCCGACACGTGATGAGAACGTGCACAGAAGGTTGAACGTTGCTTTCTATGAAATTCAAGTTCATGTCAGGGCATACGTAGGAGTACAGATCGAAAGACATTGTGCACAGAAGCGCTTAGTGCTTTGAGCTCTGAACATGTGAAGAGTTGCAGAGTAGATGTCGCTTACCGTAGGATACCCCAGCTGCAAGGTTAAGGTTAGACCGATCGTCGGACCAGCGTCCGAGTTTCCGACTACCAGCATCCAGCCTTTGCTCTGGGCTCCGTGCGTCCTGTGGGTGTCCCATAACTTTCCAGATGCGAGGTTTTCTCACAATCGACAGATGCAAAGGGCCGCATGGCCCCTCATCTCCCCCAGAAAGCCCTCTAGCTTTTACCTCCGTCCTCACAACAGAACATTTGTCGCAACGGCCCGGTACTTCAATCTTTCGGATGGATTGGATGAAGGTGCGTTGCTGCATGTTAGCCGGACGATCCCAGTGCTGATTTATTCAGTCAATGGGTCCTCATTGGTTGGCGCGTTACAACGTCCATCACCAAAGACCACCTCACTCGAGACAGACTCGTTACCACAGAAAGCGCATCTTTTTGACGCCCTCTCCTCTTCAAATAGCGCGTTGCAGGGTCTTCCCCAATCTTCACTCGACATCCTCGCCCAAGTCGACCGTACTCTTCCGGCTATATTGGGAGAAGTCGAAACTGACTCGACATCCATATTCGAGGACTGCACCTCAGAAGAATATACGGTCGTTGTCAACGCCTTCCACCCCCCCGCTCCGACCTCTTCCCAAACTCTCGAGTCTCTTGTCTCCCAGGAGCAGGATTATACTCGAGCGCTGCGTCTACTGGACGAGTTGCAGGCCGTAGGGACTATCATCCCTCGTTCACCTATCTATGCAGACGCGGCCGTCGCTGTCTTGAATGCGACTCCCAAGACGGAGGACGAGGCAGCCAACCAAGTACATATGTTGACCCAGTGGGTCTCGCTCCTCCCTGGTGCAGAAGCGCCGGAAGCATTTCGCTCTGTGTGGGAGCACTTGTGCACTTCGACTTTGGACTCAGTCCGAGTCTATTCAGCGCTTGCGCTTCTCGGTGTCGAAAAAGGCTTCGCGAATGAGGTTTCTGCGACCGCCATGCGTCTGATCAGCACGCAGGGCGACCTGTCGAGCATCAAGTACGGCCTAGAGGAGATCCCCATCCGGCACGAACGATACCTCAAAAACTCCAGATGTACCCAAGCTATACCCAAGTTGGTCTCCACACTTCGGACGCAGATCCTGTCAGTCGCCATCCAGACATTGGCGAGGGAAGAAAGATTCGACGATGCTATACAACTTGTGCCAGATCCACTGGAAACGAATCTGCATGCCACTCCCTATGCGTACAACTATCTCATCCACAAGTTGCGCGCAACGAAGAACGACGCCTATCTACCTTATATCCAATTTGTGGCACAGCACAAGTCCGTCGCCCGACTCAAGTCAACGGCAATTCGCAGGTGCCATCCTGAACAGCTTGGGTTGTGCATCCGGTCGCTCGCACATGCTAATCGAACGGATCTGGCCACCGTTCTCCTAGAAGAGGTCGTCCACCTCCGAGTCCCGATAGGCCTTCGCACCTACACGTTCCTGCTGGAAAGGCTGAGGGCTGCGTCGGGTGACGATGTTGTCATTCAACGAATTGCAGAACTTGCCGAGTCGGCGCAGCCTGACGATTCGAGCCAGAGTCCCGACTTCGATTACGGCAAATCCGTTCAGGTGCTGACACGATGTTGGTCACTAGACGATGCTCTTGCACTAGTCTATCTGTATCATCAAAACACCCCCTCTCCGCTCCGTTCCATCCTTAACAAACTGTTGTGGAGACTGTCCGCATCCTTTGATCCTGCATACGCCAAGGACATTGCGAGGCTGACCAAGCTGGCCAAACCACCATCAAAGTCGGTACCGGAGCCATCACTTCAGTACTGCTTGTCTCTCAAAGCAGGCCAAACTTCTGCGTCTGATCTAGCAGCCTATCTGCGGCTTCTGAAAGCGCGTTATCAAGCGCCGAACCCGCACGGGATTCCACAGGTGCATGTTGTATCGCATTTCCTCCATCTGTGCCTGGCCAGCGACCGGCTGCGTGCTATATCTCTTCTGCGCAGTGTTGCCTTCAAGCGGAAGGCGTCTAGGCTCTCGTTCATCATTGGGCAGATGGTCTACCAGGAACGCTGCGGCAGACCTGATCTCGTGCTCAGGATATTCGCTTCCCATTTCCATCTGTCTGGCGTTCCCCGGGACTCTGTTTTGCTTCAGCTCTCGCATCTGCCGGAAGTGGATCCAGCGGACTCGATTTGGATATCTCGTCGACAGGTCAAGCTCCATCCGCGGCCGGAAATCACCGCTGTGGTTTGGCGGGCGCTGCTCAAATTGATACAGGACCACAGCTCTCTGGAGAACCTGTATCGCTCTTTGCTGGGGGCAGCCCGGACGGGAAATGCGGAGAGCCCGGTCCAGGCTGGTGGAATGACAACCGTCCCTCTCAGGATACATCCTCACGCAATGACACCCTTCATCCGACGACTGGAAGATGCCTTCGGGGGCGATCGTGGGGTGCAAGCGGTTCGCGAGATGATTCAAGCTGGGGTTCGACCCACGATTGGACACTGGACCGAATTGGGTCGGCTGTATGCAAGGAGAGGCGATGTCAAGCAAGTCATGACCGTATTGGATCAAGTCGAGTTGTCTGCCACCCAGAACCTTCTTGAACTCGACGTCACCTTCTATGCCAATTTGATCCGTGCATTGCTCGATCGGAACAGCGTCCGAGAAGCACAAATCGTCGAGCAACGGTTGCTGGCGAGCTTTGAACATCGTGCTGAGCCGGAATCCAGTCTAAGTAAATTCCTTCATTCGCTCCGAAGGGACATCCAACAGGCGCAGGTGTGTTGATTGTTCTTATGTCAACTGCGCCTCGATTGACGACTGTTACAGGTGAGAATCGGAGATAGGGAACAACAGAAAAATGTAAAAAAGACTACATAATACACAATTCATGCCAAATGCAGAATATTGCCATCGGGGACGGGTCCGCCTGAGCCGTCGAAAGGCACGCCAGGTGTGATGCCAAAGGCGAGGGGGCCTTGATTAGTGGTTCCCATCGCTCCAGGTACGGCCATCATCTGCATCGCTGACATCGCACCTTGGACGGGCTGCCCTTGGGCGTTATGACGGGCGATCTCAGCTTTCGCATCATCGATGACTTTGCGAATTCCAACTCGTTCCTGGACCAGGGCCAAACGCGCACTTTCCAGGCCTCTCCGCTCCTCCTCGAGGATGGACTCGAGCTCCTCGAATTGATTCATCTTGACTTCCAGCTTTGTCAATGTCAGTTTGATCAGGTTCGCTAGTGACGACCGAATCTGGGTTTCTTCAGCGTCGGCAAGGGCAGCGGCAGCCTTGCCGGACGACTTGAGGGCTAGTTCTGCCGCGCGCACAGCCTGTGAATGCGGCACAGCGCGTTTGCCACCAGTCACAATCGGCGCGTCAATCGAGTCCGTTTTGGAGTCTTCATCGCCCACACTCGTCAGATGCTGCAGAGCAGTCTTGGCACCCTCCGCAGCCACACCAGGGGCGACGACTCCCGCCAGAAACGCGACTACACTCATCACAGGATTGTCCGCTTGTTCGAAGGGAATCCGCCCATGCCGCAATGGACCCATCGACGCTTCCGTGGCCAGATACGGGTCCTCGATGGGCAGAGAAAGAAATTTGCGCACGCAGGCTTGTGCATTCCGGCTCCCAACATACTCTTCGACCCGGCCCCAATCATCATCGTACATTTCCACTGCCTCGAGCAGAAGGAGCACCTCTGCGTCCGTCCAGTCATCTGAAGCTCCTGGTGTAGCCACACTAAGCTTCACAAAGTCGCCGCTGAACATATGCGATGGGAAACGGCCGTCCAGATAGCAAGGCGAACAGAGCGAGAATTTTTTGTCCTTGAGCGAATGATAGCGTGTTTGCGTGCAGTCTGAGCCACAGGTGTCGCAAGAATACAGACCCGTGGCCGGTCCTTGCGTAGAGCTCGCCCCATTTGCAAGGTTTTCGGCTTCGGCTGCGTCGATGGACCGTGCAGATTTGTTCGAGGTCTGGTAGATGCTCGAACGGAGCTCCAACGATGCTGGGGTCGCCGCTGGCTTCTTGGCACCATTCACAGCAGCAGCTCCGGGATTAGCAGGACGTGTGCCGGGATGCAGAGACTGCAGACCGCGCGGTGTGTCGAGGATGACGCGGAAATGGCCCGTGAATGGTGGTGCCAGGGCCGCCGGCCGAGAGTCTGGGTCGATCTGTTTTAATGGGAGTTGAGTATGAAGAGACCACGAAGGACGAAGAGACACACTTGATAATTGATTAGTCCCCATTGCTCTAAGAATGCATGAACACGCATGATGGCGCACACGTCGCCGGCAAGATTTCGACGGCAGGCGGTGACCGTGAGGTACTCCACAGGACGCAGTCTATATGTGTTGATCATGAAGTCGCGGTAGTCTTTGTATATGGCGGGCGTTTTCGAGCGGTTTCGCGAATTGAAGAACTCGGGCAAAGCGCGCCGCTCGACGGGATGGATTTTCGACATATCGAACCACGCAGAGAACGAGGGTATAATCACCTCGTGTGTCTGCGCGGCAAGATACTTGCGGGCCTGCTCTTCGAGTCGTAAGCGGGTGGCTTCGAGCTGGGCAGGGTCTTCGTCGTCTTCATCGTCATTGTCGTCGCCTTCATCATCGCCGCCGTCACCCATAGAGACATCTCCACTATATTCATCATCCCCTTCAGTTTTGAGCTGCCTGACGCGTCCCCCATTCTCTGGACGACTGGTCCATTCTTCAGACTGGAGATTCGCGATATCGGTGCTGGGAAGGGGTTCGAGTTCATTGCGCTTGCCGACAGCATTGTCCAAGTCAACGGGGATTGCCCCTTGGTCTTCGTCTATACGCATGCGCTTCGAGTCCGAAGCGCCGGGAGAAGGAGAACCAGCGCGTTTTGGCGAGTCCATGATGTTGGGAAGTGCAGGCTTGCTGACAGGTAAGCAAGTGCAAATAACTTGCTCAGCCACATGCTAGGTATCGATATCAACCCGATGCGATGACCCAATTCGTGCAAGTAGGACATTGGACTGTTCGAGCACATGCTACCTACTTTGGTAGATTGCGGTGTGTTTCATGACACGAATCTTTAGGATTCTCCCTTGGTGGTTTCTGATGGAAACGATGCCCTGAATGTAAACTAGAGATAAGGAGCACAAATTTGTTGATCTTCCGGTGTCAATTCGCGATTGCGATTTTGTTGACACGTAGATTGCAGAGGCTACCATTGCGACTCTCCTCGCTGAGTAGTGGTAGGAAAGCTCAAGCCTCAGCCCGTTGTCAAGGTCGGGAGCACGTGCCACGGCCTCAATCAGCCGCGGTTTGCCCATTTTGTACTGGTCATCAGGATTGGGCTTCTTCTTCACACGACCCACTTACTCCAACAACTCGCTCTCATTTGCGTCGCAAGGGCCTTCGAGGCAGCGGCAGCTTCACGCCAATGGCGATACTAACAGCCGTTCTTGCTCTGTGCGCCCCCCTCATGGCCAATGCCCTCACTTGGTCTTTCACCAATGCGCCGACTCAATGCGCAAACCTGTCGGTATCGGTCAACGGCGGCACTCCCCCGTACAGGATCCTCATCATACCCTTCGGCACGACCCCCTTGAGCGGAGGCACCGAAGTCCGCAAAATCCTTGACGAGGCCTTCCCCGGAAACTCTCCGAACACCAGTTTCCAGCTCAATTACCCTGCAAACTCGCAATTCGTCGCAGTTGTACGTTGACCTTGCTCAACCGAAGGTCTTAACACTCATACGCATGCCTACCAAGGTGAGTGATAGCACTGGGTTCGGGTCTGGGGGCACCAGTGTCAACTTGCAAGTGGCGAATTCGAGCGATAGCAGTTGCTTCAATCCCAACCAGAAGAGCCAACCGACCTGGGTATTCTCGATAAACCCGCTGAACAGTATCACCTCTTGTCAACCCACACGGCTCTGGTGGGACCCCTCATCCAATGCACCTCAAGGGTACGTTCATCCGATCGCGGGACCGGTCATTCACGCTGTCCCGTACGGCTTCTTCCATTTGGCATGTTTTCTGAATTCCCGCTATCCAGCACGCCTCGGTTTGAAGGTGTTATCCCCGGCGGCATCTCCTTCGATATACCAGTGACGACGGAGACTACGGTTCCTCAGCAGGGCCTCGGGTTTAATTGGACAGTTTCTTTGGCACCCATGACTACCGTCATCCTCGTAGGCGGGGACGATCGGGGCTTTGGAACAGCCGGCAGTTCGCTCTACATCGTCGGCAACAACATTCAGAGCGATTCGTCTTGCCTCAATAGCAGTAGCCCCAGCTCCACACCAGGCGCACCAGCGGGTGGAGTAGCCACCAGCACCAGTTCAAGCACCAGCACCAGCACCAGCACCGGATCTTCTAGTCCGAATAGCTCTCAGAAGTAGGCTTCATTGACTATCTGTCCTTCCATTCTAAAGTCAGTTGTGTAGAAGCAACGGTAGTAACGTGGGAGCAATTGTCGGTGGGACAATAGGCGGCCTTACGGGTCTCGTTGCGTTGTGTCTGGTCGGTTTGTTCCTCTACCGGCGACGAAGGTATCACGATGAGGAAAAGAGAAGGCCACGTCCCGATCTTCTGAATGCAGACGAAGGAGACGATGGCGAACAGTCTGGGAACGAACTGCCGCAGTTCTATCGGCCAGAGCCATTCGTGGTGCCCGATCCGACGCGGGCGTCGCTGGGAGGATTGACGGAGGACGAGCGAAGGACGAGCGGTTACCTGACAGAGGAGGGGCGTCCGCTCAGTGGCTACTATGCCGAAAGCCACGCAGGAACTCATGATCCATCCATAAGCATGAGTACCGCGACGAGGAAGACGGGAATGCGGCAAATGCGACCAGTCAACATCATCCAGCATTCCGACGCTGGTCCCAGCCAGCCCCTTGTCGGGGGAGAAGATGATGAGCCCGAAACAGTGGAACTACCTCCTGCATACACGAACATCCCGTCGGGAAGCACGGCCCCGCCGCCTGTAGAGTCTTGACCGTGCCATGGATTGCCACGGTATGTGGCGGCTGAGCTCGGAGATGGTTTCGTTGACCGCATTCTCATGACATTCATTTCTTAACATGTGGACATATCTGATATCCCAACTCGTCTGCTTTCGCCTGTGGATTGCAGACGCTGTACTACTGTATCGTGACCACATCTCCCTCACACCTGTCATCTAAGTACCATATCCTCCAATTCAATACCTTTCCATTGCGGTCCGATCATGCGCGCTGTGCACTGCATAAGGAACGGTACATTCTGAGTTTACATCTCTTTTACGGCACCCATGCTTGAGTACAAGGGGCTGTCAAAGTAGCTATCAGTCTTCAGTACCAAGTACAGCCATCAAGCATATGGATGCACAGCTTTTCAGGTCCCTCATGTTTTCCTGGAACTGTCAGGATGCACTCAGCAGGCACTTGAAACATTGGAGCTGAGCGACAGAACTTCTCACGACGCCAAACACACAAGGTCAATGGTGACTGGAAAACCCAGCTTTTCAGGGTGCCGCATAGAATGTGCCGCAAGAATCAGAAACAGGCTTGGGATGGTGCACATAACGGCTCTCCACTCAATTTACATGGAGGATTTACATAATTGAGTCAAGGCTCTGTACAATCAGAGTGGAGCTTCAATCCACATGTCAGGTCTCGCATCTGAGCTCCAGACTATTCACAGGTACAAACCGTTGGAAACGCCAGAAACGCGTCGTGCGCGAAACCGGTCCAACAAGTGAAACCCGTGATCGCGTTCCTCAAAAGGCATCTGCTTACTTACCTGAGTGCTACATGCTTCGCCAGCGTCTCCGGTGCATCCATCGCCGAACTACAAAGCCCACTATCATTTATCGCCATGGCCAATCCTCTTCCCTTCCGTCCCCCTAGCATGATTGGCGCTACAGCGTCATTCTACGACCCATCTGACCCCCAACAGTGGCATTACGCCGCCGCCCAACAGCAACATCAACAGGGCTCGTTTGAATTCTCATACCCTCCCCCCAATACGTCCTACGATGAGTTACTGGCCCAATTTTACCAAGCTCAAGCTCCAAGCCAAGTTCCGCCGCCGCCGCCACCTCCGCATGCAAATCCTCAGTATCCGCGCTATACCCCGCCCCCCGACTCCGCATACCATCCGGTCAATAAGCCAGCGAATGAACGACCTCGCAGTGTGAACAATGCTCCACCGACTTCGGCACCTGCTTCTGATGCTTCGCCCCCCTCGAGCACTTCACGGTCGAAACGAAAACGTGTTGCCAAACGTCCTCCGCCACCAGCAGATCCAGCCTATTCTGATCTCAGCGGGGACTCAGACGATGGCTTCGTTTCGTATAGCGGAAGTGCACCCATCAGCGTGGGTATGGGTGGACTGGGCGTCCGCAGTAAGGGTGCACGCCTGTGAGTTTTTGCTTTCTCCCCCCTGCCTGACCATTCCTGATCTGTTCTCTGCTCGCTCGATTCTTTGCCTGCCTTCTTCCGCCACTGTTCTGCTCCTCTCCTCGCACATCGTTTGGCCGTGATCCCCCCGCTACGCCTATCTCACGTTACACGCTTGACCGTTTTGGGCCGCGCGGCTTCCTGAAACGCACATCACTTCACTTGCGACGGCCCATCGTTCATCTTCTTCCCCGCCCTTCGCGTTTGGCCCTTCGGAACGATTGTCTTCCGTCTGTGGCGCCTTCGCCCTTCTCCGCGGTGATCCTCTACGCGCATAAACTTTCACCCCGGCCCGAACGACGCGACCACCACCATTATTATGTTCCGCTGATCGATTGATCTTCAGGCCTGGAGCATGCACGCACTGCAAGAAATTGAAAATGAAATGCGATTTCGGGCCTGTGCTCGGCGGGAATGCGGAAAGCGGAGGTGAATCGCCGACCGTTCGTGGGGGGGTGAGCTTACCAACCACGCTCTAGAATTGGACAATACTTGCAGACGATGTCGTGCGCATGGACATGTGTGCATAGTGGAAGGGAGGAAGCCAAGAAGTGCACCAAAGTGAGTCCGCGCCTTATTCCTTATTCTCAATTTCCTTCTCGTTGCTCCTTCTTGCGGTTCTGCTGGGGACAGCTTGCACTTTCCTTTGCGTCATTCTATATGTCTGCCGTGGAAGCTTCAGCGGCCCCAACAGTGCTAGCTGTCGCCCATCCTGGTCATGTGTCGGGCAGGCTGCGTGGTATTCGGTGGCTGCGCGTACCTTTCGAGTGACCACAGGCGTCAACGCGGTAGGTTGACGCGCTGAATGCAAGGAAGCGCCTTGGCCTCCCGATTGCGCAGATAGCGACGTTGACAACATTCGCGGTGTCACTTGTTTTGCACTAAGCTCAAGGGACACCGGGTGGAATATGGATGGATGTATGGCAGTAAGACCCGGCACGAAGCATCTTAAGTCTTCTGGTGCTGTGCGCACCGGAGATTTCGCGTCCGGTCGGTTTCATCACGTCCGTGTTGTTGACAACATACTCTCTCACGCACGTCCGGTGGGGAGGAATCGGTGCTCTTATATTCCCCGGGCACTTGGCTAGGAGTCTTTGTTCGTTCCTATGTCCTGGCTGCAACCGGGAAGCTCGGATGCGGTGATGTTTGGACCGTTTCTTGCAGGCTGGACGTTCGCGGCAGGTACCTGACCGTTTTGCTTTTCCCGATTGGGAAGCAGGCGTTGCGCCATCACCGAGAGATTTGAGTGTATAAGAGCTGAAGGCTCCAAATCCATTCGGCCTTCCACGATGTATACGTCGGCAACTCTAAATCTGGCTGACGGACATGAAGAGAGTGATCACCGTCGCCGCTCATCTTCCATGTCAACAGCATCCGACTCCGATACCTCGTCTCCTCTGTTCTCGTCTCCTCCATCTTCTCCCGCGTCGTCGAATTCGGACTTACCTTTTGTGTCCGAATCTAGCAAACGTGAGTATTTGCTGGCCCAGATTCGCCAGAAGGATGCCATCATCGAGTCACTGCTGAAGCAGGTTGGTGTCTCAGTCACTGGCAACGACATTTACTATATCCGGAACATTTCAGTTGCACAATCCTTACATCGCTACTCCCCTGTCGATTGCATCATATCGGATGGCAACTTCGCCGTCTGATGCAACTAACCGCAACATTCTGGCCTGGTTGGATCGACTGCAAGCAAGTGTTCGCGCTGGATCCGTCGAATCAAGCGCATCCACGTCCTCGAATCCGTTCGCCGGTGCCTCTCCAGCTCGTAAACCAAACTCGGGAGGCTTCGCACAGTCGGTCAATCGACACTTCCACGCTACACCTGAGGACGATGATTCAGAGGACGAGGGCCCCAGTAACGAGGACGAGGACACAGACGATAATGAAACCGAACTGGGAGAATCATCTGCGCTACCGGATGCCAGTGTCCCCATCGGACTGATCGCAAATTTGAGTCTGAGCAGCAACCGTGGAAAGGAGAAGAGGGGGTCGTCGGTCCCCGGGGATGGATCCGAGGATCTAGATGATGACAATGTCGTGAGCATGCTCTTCCTTTCCACAGCCCTGGCTCTGCGTTCTCACGCTTCTTTGCAGGGTGTTGCCAATGCTGCGTACTTCATGCCGGGTCCAGCAACGGATCTGGACAAACGGGCGCAGCTGATCGAACAACACAGTCCGCCAGAAATTCTTATCCACGGACTGGTTGTGCCGGAGGATGTGGATAGACTATTTGAAATGTGAGCTTTGTGTTCTCCGATGAATTGTTTCCAGTCTGACCTGTGCCGTGCAGATTCTATACTCGTGTCAATGTAAGCCTAGTATAGTTGGGTTGGTTTGCGATATCGTTCTCAACATCACGCTGCGCAGCCGTTTGTTGCTCTTCTCGATCCCAAGTTGCACACGCCTGCATCGACCTTCGCGAGATGCCCATTCTTGTTCACCGTTAGTGAGTACCGGGTCAACTTTCTTGCCACCTCATTTCTCACGCGCTCTAGTCTGTGCCATCTCGTCACGATACTATCCCGAAAAATCGGAAATCTATCCAATCGCTATGCACTTCGCTAAACATTCGGCTGCAAATGCATTGATTGACGGTTGGAAGTCTGTCGAACTCTGCCAGGCTTATATTCTCATGAGCATCTTCGCTGTCCCGGCCCGAAAGTGGGAAGAAGATCGATCATGGCTTTACACTGGGCTTGCCATCCGGCTCGCTACGGACTTGAATCTGCACCAAGTGCCGAGCAGCAAGGCTTTCATCAAGGGCAAAGGGGTCGAGCGGGAGATGAACGAGAGGGAGATACTCAACCGGACCAGGGTGTGGATGATTTGTTTCAATCTCGATCGCTCGACCGCGACACAGTTTGGAAAACCGTCCACGATTAAGGAAGATTAGTCAGTCATGTCTCGTCTCCACTTGAAAATCGACTAATTGTCGGTTCTACAGCATATTGCGTCATGGGAGCGACGACTGGTATAAAAAATCGCCATACAATTCAACATTCGATGTGCACATGTGTTGTTACACGGCTCTCCTTCTGCTCGTTGCGAGATTCCACGACGATATCTTCTCCGATCCCACTTCGCCCAGTGGGCTAAACAAGGTGCGTTTGTGCGTCGAGTCATTTATGAGGACCCGCTGACAACCATCGTAGCACGTGGATTTCCACTCCGTGACCCTCGCCCACGATGCCAAGCTCGAACGGTTCACTGAAGAGTGGGGGCTTCGTTTGGCCCAGGATTCTGATCCGCATGACCGAAAGTGCCAGCTACGGTGCAAATTGTTCCCTTTGTACGTCTTTTTCCGGTGAGCGTGTGGCGGACTGGAACTTACGTGCGGGAAGCTTGGTATCGTACTCGCGGCTGGTCATGTTCTCGTTTGGGTTCCAGCAGGCCTATCAACGCGGGCTGCAGCCTGCGGACCATATTTTCTTTACGAAATGCTTGGATTCAGCCCAGGGTGTTCTGCGGGGGATGATCGATGGTCTGGCTCCGACAGGGTTTATGCGCTATGCCCCGGATGGTGCGTATTCTCTCTTTTTCTTCTGCTTTATTTCTTTGCTGAGACGGTGCGTCCAGGCCACTTCATCTTCTCTGCCTTCGCGTCGGCGTTCCTGCTCAAGCTTCTGCGGCCGGAATTCTCGCATTTGATGTCCAAGGAGGAAGAAAACAAGGTGTACGACCTCATCGGACGGCTGATCCAGACGCTGAGTTCGCCGGAGATCGCGATCGACGATCGGCATACTCCCAAGTTGTATGCCCGCTTTTTGGCGGGGCTGCTCTCGAAACATCGGAGGGACGGTGCGACGGTTGGACGATTGCAGCAGACTCAGTCGATTGGCTCCTCCGGAAAGGCCGGCTACGTTGCACCCTCATCGGCGTACAGCACGAGGGTGCCTATGGCTGGTGCGGCTGCCGAGACCTCCGGCGCGTACATGATGTATTCTGAGCCGCTGGCTGGGGGATCTGCCTACCACGGCGGAACGCCATATCCCAACTCTTCTCAGTTCCAGGCGGCCCAACCGGAGCTAGAGTTCCAGTCGCAGCCAGTCCAGTTTGGGATGGACGTTGAGTTGGGTGCGGGGATGGCTGACGAGGAGCAGACGCTCGCGGGAATGCAGGCTCTGCAGAACCCTGCGTGGTGGGAAAATATGATGATGCCTGGTTTTGTGTGGCCCGACTCGTCGAGTCCCGGATCGACGGGGAATACCTCGAATGGCTCGCCGTCGCCGTATCAGGCTCCGATCCCGATCTACGGCAACGGACACCTGCACGCGGGTGCGTTCCAGGAAGCTCCCCAGTTTATTGCTTGAAATCGAGTCGTGACGCTGCTCTTTTGCTATCTGTTTGCTGTTTTGTATCACAGGATCTTGGGTGTTTAGATGTGTCTGTACAATTTACGTGTATGTGGAAATGTTTCACCTGTTTGTCCAGTAAACCAGACGAGTCGCGGTCGTAGGCTCCGACTCCCTAGAGAGACATGGTGTCACAAAGACTCTGATTGCATCTTTTTCAGCAAACATGTATGTAACGCTAGAATCCAGAGGAAGAGCCCATATGTGTCACGCCTAATAAACCTATCATCTTCCCTCCACAACTGGAGAATGCGCGAGACCCCGTTGGGGTGATGGAGAGGAGTGGTCTGCGCCCGCTGGGTCACGAGACAGAGGCATGCCATTGTTGCAAAAGGAGACGGGGTATGTATGCGGTTCACAAGGCCATTCCATACTGATCGATGAGCACATGAGGAGCGAGCAAATCTCCGTCCTCGATGCAGCGAGAGTTGTTGGCGGAGAATCCGGGCGAGCACTTGTTGATGACGCACTCGCCCTGGACGCAAGCGACGTCGGCGACCCCCGCGAGTGAGGTGCAGTCTGTCCCCGAACCGCCATAGGAGCAACCTCCGCCTGCGAGAGACGATGAGCATACAGCGACAGAAGCTCATAAGTCGGACGCACAGCTCTCCAAGTCCGACTGGATGTCGATGCATTCCCACGAGCCGAGGCTCCGGCCTGGCACCCGGCAGGCGCGCTGGCCGCGGAAACATCTGGGCGGACGGGCTGACTCTCTTCGGCCCAGTCCGCTGGTAGAACACCCGTTGGGATAAGACCCACAGACAGAGTTGCAGACCGTGGACGGGGCAGGACAAACACAGGCGTTGCTAGTCGCCATGAAGCCGTTCTACAATCCCGTCAACGGATGTCGGAAAGGGATTGCAATGGATAACTCACCAGGCACGAGAACGCACAAGGTATGGTGCTGGTGCAGATTCCCGGGCTGTTGAGACCGACCCCGTTTGTGGGGTAGATACATCTGCCGACTGCTTGCGACGCGGAGTTTATCTGACATGCATGTGTCTGGTCGGGTCAGGGCTCAGTACACTGCGATATGCTCACGTATTGAGTGAGGATGGCGGTGACCATGGGGAGTCCACCAAGATTGACCCCTTGCCGAGCGACTGGATTTGTACTGATGAACGACGCCAAGTTGGAAGTGCAGATGCAAGAATCTTGACGGAGATCGTCAGAACCAGGAACGAAGAGTATGGAACATCACGCACCAATGTAGCCAACGTTGATACCATTGATGTTCAATGGAGACGAGACAGGTCCGCAGGTATCCGCCAGGGCAGACACGACAGCGCTCGCAAGTACAAGGATGGTTCGCTTGTAGTTCATGGTCAAGCAAGGGGGATCGGACGAGGGACTTGTAGATACCGTTTGTCTTTTATAACTCTACAGAGCAATAGAAAACTCTAGGGTCGAGATCTTCTCGATCAGGAGCCGTCGACTTCCGGGAGGGGGGGAATGATGAGCGTCGTTGGAGCTCATAGCTTGAGCGCGTTTGCGCCAGAGCATAGTACGAGAATGATACCGATTCTATCCAGGCCCAAGAATGCGGGGATTCGATCAATTTCTGTTACCCCGCGCGATCGCAGAGCTTGGCATTATCAGGGATAGGGAGGAAATGGAAGGGGGCAGCGATCAGAGTATCCAGCCTCCTCTGAGCTTCAAAGGAAGGATTGTGTGCGTCGACCGAGTCTCTGACGATCTCAACGGCTGGATTGAGCAGAGATATTCGACATGCGGCGACAGGGTGAAAGACCGAGTGCCTCGGTCTCAAAGACCTGGATGGTGAGCGTAGTTGTAAACAAGCGGCAGGGATTTGACACATCAATGCACCGCCACATCACAGACTTGATCACGCCTTTCCGGCATTCAAATTCGTCCAAGACCAAGGACTAGTAGTTCAACTTCCATTTCACAGCACAGTAGTGCCCGTTGTGCCCCCCTGTCCCTTCCAGAATCTCCTCACCACTTGACTCTGTATCGTTGACCACTCACCGAGTCACGTTGCGTCGGTCAAGTTTGGGAAATGCCCTTGCTCTGGCGCCCAAGTCCTGCTCTCGCAGTAGCTCTGATTGCCGGTGTGTAGACCCCACCTCCAAGCTCTGCCGTTCTCCTTTTGCAACCTGCGCCTAAAGCGACCCTTGAATTGCCCTCACAGCCCTTGCGATCATCCTTCTGAAACTCTGGGACCCGTCCGCGACGCCATACGCTTCTCGACAACTTCCTGGCCTGAAGGGCAGCAAACGCGACAAGTTTGGACAGGTGTACGAGCTTGTTCGGGATGAGTTGCTGGGAGGCGCATTTGCTCAGATGAACGTGCCGGAGGAGGCCCGAGTTTGGTATCAACGTGTGCGCATATCTCAGCACTGTCGTTGACGCGGACCTCAAATGATCGGACAGAATATGGACTACAACGTCCCTGGCGGGAAACTCAATCGTGGGCTTTCGGTCGTAGACTCGGTGGAAATCATCACAGGACGCGACCTTTCAGACGCCGAGTTCCTCAAAGCGTCCGTCTTGGGCTGGGTCGTGGAGTTTGTACGTTCTTCTCGAAACCAGACGTCACTCACACTCATGCGCGAAACTTAGCTTCAAGCTTCGTTTCTTGTTCTCGACGATGTCATGGACAAGTCCCATACGCGACGCGGCCAGCCTTGCTACTATCGCGTCGAGGGTGTGGGAAGCATTGCCTTGAACGATGCGATGATGTTGGAAGCATCGGGATATCGGCTTCTCCGACATCATTTCCGCGCAGAGCCGTATTATGCCGACTTGATTGATCTTTTTCACCATGTCTGTTCGACACGTTCATTGGTGTCTTGCTCGCATCTGACCTTTCCTCGACTAGACGACATTCCAGACAAATACCGGCCAATTATTGGACTTGATCACCGCGCCCGAGGACGTGGTCGATCTATCGAAAATGTCGATTGAAAAGTGAGATACGAAGAGCTCTATGTGTCTGCAGCTGACCGGAGCTTGCAGATTCCGACTCATCGCCAGATACAAGACTGCATACTACTCCTTCTACCTTCCCGTTGCGCTGGCAATGATTATGACGAACATTCCCTTCGATCAGGCTTCCCTCGATGCCCGACAGCCGGAGATGTCTCCATACGGTGTGGCGAAAAGCATCTTGATTCCGATCGGCGAGTACTTCCAAGTGCAGGACGACTTTTTGGACTTTGCAGGCGCACCAGAAACGATCGGGAAAGTGGGAACCGATATCGTTGACAACAAGTGCTCCTGGTGCATCAACACAGCACTTCAACTTGTCACTGCCGACCAACGTCGAGTTTTGGACGCCAACTATGGTCGGCACGACCAGGAGATGGAGGCCAGAGTCAAGGCCATATTTGAAGATGTCGGTCTCCGAAGTCACTTTGCCGACTACGAACGACGAACCCATGAAGAAATCAGTCTGCTCATTGCACGGATACCAGACGACTACGTCCTCAAAAAAGAGCTGTTCCGACGATTTCTAGATAAGATATACAAGAGACAGAAATGAAAACGTGCGCCCATTCGTGCCGAGACGCATTCCGAACAACACTACCAGTTTCACTCTCAGAACATTGGGACTCCCGACTTGCCATCCGAGCAGGTCCGAGTGCAGTGGTCCAGATCACGTGGGTGCGATCTAGGAACTCGAGAATCATTGAGATCACAGTCGCTGTCTTGTCCCTGAAAAACACTGGAACCGACTACGCGACAAAGTCCCGGTGCCTACTTTCCTCGTTCATCGCACAATATAGACGAAGATGTGGCTTGGGGCGCCGGCAAGGGCTGCACTTACGCCATATCCGAGGATCTAAATCCCACCCTAGTCCGTTTTTGCACCATTTTCCGCATCGAGGCTCGTCTTCTCTCCCCCGGACCGACACTTTAAAGTTATGCTATGACAAGGCGATCAGAGGCTAGATCTGCATTGGAACTTCGCGGGAGTGCTTCAAAGACGGCGCCGAAATCGTTGGCTCGCACATAACCCACGGCCTTCCTTGCTCGCGAGTGGGCAGCCTTTGAGTGGCTTCAACCCATTGTTTTTTCGTCGTCTCTCCTTTGGCCCTACGCCATCCGAATCCAACGATGAGCTCTTGTGAAGGACAGCAGCCGCCACCGCCGACGTATTCGCTCAACGGGAGCCCGTCTCCGCCACCGTCAAGCCCCAACTCGTGCTCGGAGCTGGGCTACGGAGAGTACAAGTTCAGATTCCACGACCACGCTGGGTCACGGTCGCGGTCGCCGTCGGTGGTGGACTCGGGGCTCGGGACAGAATGCTCGGTGTTCCCTCAGCACGCGCCAATCACGACCCCCGCGTTCCCTTACGTTCCGCCGCCGCCGCCGCTTCCGTTTGTGCTATCGCCGTATCAAATCGGCAGCCTCGGGCACAGTCATCCTGACGCACTGACACCGGGCCGGGGTGCGCGTGATCCGGCGCCCCCACGCACCGCGCAAGAGCGGCGGCGCTCGGTTTCTGCGTTCCCCGACCATCAGGTGGAAGTCACGCCGCGTCCGTCTATGTCGAGCAGTGCCGGGCGGCCGTTCTCCCGGGCGCACAATCCCAACACGCTCAACTTCGTGTCTGTGTACCGCAAGACCCACCGTCACGCACGAAGCTTTTCGCTTTCGCCGGTTCCGAGCAGCAAGTCGTCGATCACGGGGACGTTCGTCGTGGATCCGTTTCTGCGGATCCCGGGCCAGATTCTGACTCCGCTGCTTCCGGGGGAGATCCGGAAGAACCTCGTACTGCAGGCCGAGGGCGGGGGGATCGATGTCGATGTGCATCTCGCTGGTGCGACTGAAGAGCTCAATTCCGACCTCGTAGAGAAGGTGGATCTGCACTTCGAAGTCTGCGGCAGGATGGGCAACACGTATCCGCTGATGGTGAAACTCGTGAGTCTATTGTTTTCTGGCACCTGTATCGAAAGAAAAAAGCGCATGTATCAAACTCGTTTTTCCTCAGCACACCCCCTCGCTCTACCGCCCGCCACTTCACACGAAATTCCGGTCGAAGAACGGGTTCACCTCGATACACCTGCCGCCGTCTTTCCATGGGCTGCTCACCATCGTAGTCGAAGCCGGGGACCTGAATGCCCACATCGGTCTCTCAAGATCAATCGGCGCCCACGCGACGCTGCTGCGGGAAGACAGCACCTCGCGGCTGTATTTCATCGGTGTTCTGGACGACGAGTGGGACGGTGATCAGGCCCAAGTGGAAGTCGAAAGTGGGCGCGTGTGGATCCAGTTCGGCGGCGGAAGGGAACGTAATATGAACGTCTGGCGCCGAGTCCGGTGGGAGGTTTTGGGACTGTAGCTTTTTGGTTGCCTGTCGGGAATGCCTTTTGGCAATCCTTCAAATTAGGCTTTTTAGTACATCAAGTACTTCTGCAATCAAACGGCTGTGTTAACGGTCTTCTCGATCTGCCCGTCTTGGGTCACCCATTCGTTCTCGGGACCGGTCACTCCACCGACATTTCTGCCAGCGAAGAGCGGTGGCTGACTGCGCTTTCTCCAGAAGACGCGACCCCGGAAGAGCTCCTGTTTGGATTGTGTCCAGCAGCTTGCAGAAAACACCAGGAAGAGGGAAATCGCTTATGGCCTTGGTGCCAAAGATCGCGGCCGCCATGATAGAAACTGGCCCGACACCATCAGAACGCGCGGTAGTATGCAGAGGGCGCAAAAAAAACGGACCGATGGTCAAGCCCAGGTTCCAGAGAGGTTCTGTGCTGGACTGCAGCAAGGGGAGGGCGCTCAATCTGGGGATCTGATCGGTGACGACGCCGAAAGCAGCGCGGGAAGACAGACCCAACACCCGCCACAGACAGCACCGTGAACAAATTGACACGGACCAGCATGGACAAAGAGATGTTCGGGTCCGTATTGAATTGATCCGAGCGGCGGAACACAGCCCAATGGCGGCGCAGGACCACTGCGAGCCAAACCGCAGCGCGGCCGTCATACCAGTGAGAACTGGGAACGGCGGGGTAGACCGCGCGCTCTCAACTTCCAGCGGGACGATCAGGATTCCAGTACCGACGGCGATGCACGCACTGAGCCGAGCACTGCCGGGAGAGACGCTGTCAGGCCATTTGCAGCTTGCCTTCTGGAGGGGGAAGGACGCACGGGAAAGGCGATGTCAAATGGCAGTACAGCTGGGTGTCGACCCGAGCCACGTCCTCCGCTGTCCGGACCGGCTGCAGACGGTTAGCCAGTCCACCCTGGGCGACGAACACGGAAGCGGCGTCGCACCAGCAGGAAGAGCAGGAGGAGCGGCGCGAAGGCTGTCTGTGGGGCGTTGAGCAACTGTCGGGATGTCACTGCGAAGGCCGTCCGAAAGAGGGAATGCTGCGTACGACGCCGACCATTCGGGGATGGATCTTCCTCTTCCCATGGACCACGTCCGAAAGCCCGATATAGAGCTGCCAGATCAGCAGAATGCTCAGTCAGAGGCCGTCTGATGACAGTGCAGACTGACATCGATCACGAAGCAAAGGCCGCTCAGGGTCGGGCTCGAGAGAGGTTGAACTTCCAAGAATGGCGCGTGGATGGATGGACTCCCAACACAGGGACGGCATGGATGAGCCCAGCTTGCACAGCACATAGACCAAATCCAGGCGGCCCGCCCAGCTGGTTGCCGACCAACAGCGTGAACGACGCGCTGTATACGACCCAAGAGATCAGATGGCGAAACCAAAGCGGGCCCCGTTCGATGCTCGTCGAGAAGCGCACGATCAGGACGAGAGAGGACAGAGTGGCAAGGCCCGTGAACGAGAGAAGATTGAACAGCAAGACTTCGGCTTCCAGAGCCGCAGCCTGCTGCTGAGCACGTGTCACCGGCGAACCGGCTGATTCCGACATGGTCAGTCGCGGAGAAAAGAGAACGGAGATGGGAGAGTACATCTCCCACCACTTTAAGTACCGTTTTTGTTTCAAAGTTGGACCAACGGGTCACAAATCCTTAGCAATCTCCCGCAACGATTGCGGTGAATGTTATCCACGGCATCCTGCACCAAGGACTGGCTGGTCGAACAGATTTTCCGCGTGATATGTCCTTTTTTCAGTATCGAGTCGCGTGCATCTGGGTTGTCAGAACGAGCGGCAAGACGTACGCAGTACCACACTAATCAACACCACGCAAAAAAACTGGAGGAGGCTTCATGTCTGTTGAAACTGTTGGAAGGCCCCGAGATCGCTGATCAGCACAGTTCTGCAATCTCGCTCGAGCGTTCCATATGCCACGACTTTGTGTCGTAACCGTGTAGACGGAACTGAGAGAGACAATCTAACTCACCTTACTACGGTGATGCATCAGCGCCAGCTGTCACACAAACGCCGAATTCGCTAATGAGGTGAAGCGGCGATGTCCTGATTCCTGAGCGACTGGTACTGTGTATAGGATAATCAAATGCATATTGTTCCAACACGTGGTCTGAGATAATGGGAGAATGAAGATGCTGGGGTTAGGCACATGTTTCTGCAACGAAGCCCTGCATCGACGGGTACTAGTCAGCTCCATCAGTTCGGGCACAAAAACAAGACTAACAGGCCGAGCGAATGTCCAGCACACACAGCTGAGCAGATTCTGGGAGTAAGCCACTTCCATGTAGATAAACATGTAGTGCCACCGTCGCCTGAACATCTCCAGTCGGTGCGGATCCTTTAATTCGGGATAGCGGCTTTGTAGCGAATCGATCAAGGGGCCGTCCCATTTCTCGTCCAATCTTCGCCCCCATTCCCGAAGGCACCGTGGATAGTCTGAAACCTTCTCAGTAGTATACCGGACAACGGAAGTAGACGCTCACGGATTGCAAAGTCCTCGATACTGTCGATGCAGAATCTGCCTTGTAGAGTCTTGTTGAAGCAATCGGCCAAGGAAAGCGCACTGCTCAAGACAGTGTGCGGCCAATGATACTTTCGGATGAAGTTCCGTCCCCTGGTGTCCAACGTGATTGTTAGGGCAGGCGATGCACATCAAGGAGCAGACGAACTGGTAGCTAGTCTGGTATCGCTCCGGATAGGTCGTCGCGGTCAGCACGACTGCAGAATTCTTGCTTTTGAGTGCCCAATCAATCTTTGCGGCATAAGTGGGGAGGTATTCTGTGCCGACAGCCTGTGCTGGAATTGAATGGGGGTGTACTCTCGTACGAAGGAAGCAAAAGCACCGCCAGCATCTCTAGAGATACACATGCGTCAAAAGCCTTTTCGAATTCCGGTGGCATGTCGCGGTAGTCCATAAACTGGACCCTGATCTGGTCGGAAAAGCCAGCTGCGGCGATGCGCTTTTCGGCGAGCTGCTTCTGTTCAATCGAGAGAGTCAAGGTGTCGACTGTGCAGCCCATTTCAGTAGCCCGAGCGCGCGGTCAATCGAATCGGACGAATCAACTCCAAACGACAAGCGCACGGCAATTGCAATGCTTCCCCAGCCTGATCCGATTTCGAGCAGGCGACCTCCGGCTTCAAGTCGGGCCTGCCGAAGGATGCACTTGATCTTCGTGACTTGCGCGGCCTCTAGATCCCCCGGCTTACGGTGCCCGTCAAAATCGCCACGGACATCGCCCTCGTTGGGCGACTAGACGGACATGAGTACTGCATCTCGGAGCTCAGGAAGGCCTGTAAAGGAAAGAAGATGAGCATGAAACGCGATACGCAGCCACCGACTAACTGTATACAGGTCGTTCGACGCGTCGTAGCCCGCAACCTGCAGAAACCAGAGATAATACTCAGTACTCAGCTTGGGCCACGATGCGCACACCCCGTACGTTTGCGCATGCGAATGGCTGAGCATGTGACCGACGAAGTGCAGCGCCTTGAACACGCGAGAGTAGACCGACGAGACACCCGCATGCACGTTGGAGAGGTTGTCGATACACACCTGTTCTTTCAGCCAACCATCGGACGAGCGCGCACCCGCGCACCTGCAGCACCAATTTCAAGTCCGGCGAGTCGATCTCCTGAGCCATGAAGGCCTCGGAGACTGTACTGCGGATGAACAGGCTGGACACGGATTCTAGCAGCTCCCACACTCATATCCGACGTCGTACGAGCGGTAGACTCTCAGCCAGAAGCGGCTGTCGTTCACGCGGAACACAGCCTTCCTGGGGACCTTCATATCGTCTACATTTTCGCCGAAAGAGAGAACGGTCCCGTCCGCCTCGATGACCTCGAAACTCCCGGTCCTGACGCCGCGCTTGAGGGCAGCAAGCACAACCGTTTGCGCTGCGAGTCAGTCAGTGTTCGGCCGTTCCTACGATTGCGGGGGCCGGTATACCGTAATGCACGAGCTTCCTTTGGAGCCACGAGCTCGGCGGCGAGTTCAGAGTTGGACGAATGCATGTACTAGTAGTACATACTACTTGGGCGTTATAGCCACCTAAGCGCTATACGATCCATATCGATAACCCTTATCTTTGATTCAGATCAAGGTCTGCCCGTCAGGTAACTGTTACTGAGGCTTCTAAGCTTCAACTTCAACTAGGACTATGCGCCTTTCACGTCTGGGAGTCCTATCGGGTCTTTTGTCTCTGTCTTGGGCTGGCACAACCGTCCAGAAACCCGGACTAGTCGTCCCTCCCGTCTATGCGGCCCGACTTAACGACACGAAGGCCCTGTTCGTCGAAAGCTACGAGGCGTACCGGTCGGTAGAGTGCACGACTCCAACGCATACCCGAATCTGAGCGGCCGTATTCGCAGCAAGTATGCCTGGGGACACGACGACCTGGCGCCGTTGAGCAAGGGATTCGTGGACAGTCGGAGTGAGTGGTCGGTAGGTTGCGACGGGCGGTGGTAAACCTGGGTGTCCCAATAGATGGCTGGGGCTCGTCGGTTGTTGATGCCATGGTGTGTTTTCCGGCTCGTGAAAGGAATATTTGCTGACCCACTTGTCATATCCAGTCTACCATGGTAAGCAATAACTATGCATGTTCGGAAGACGGTTTCAAACCATCATGCGAAGGTCATCATGGGATTGAACGTACGTCCTCGCTAACACCCATGCGTCTTCTCTTTGATGCGTCTCCCCACGAACTGCAGGAATACATTGAAGAAGCTGTCAACTACACCAGCACGATCGACTTTACCCAGTCCCGTATCCCGGGTGCTGTCAGGTAGCTCGTCTTTGGCGGACTTTCATATCTCGGCGCCGACTTTATGACAGCGTGTTCGAGACCACGATCCGATACCTCGGCGGCTTATTATCGTCGTACGAACTCAGTGGCAAGAAGTACCAAGTGCTCGTAGACAAGGCTAGGGAGGTGGCGGACAAGATGGCCTTTGCCTGGGTCGGGGTAAGCATGTTGCCGCAATCCAGAGCTGCGGCCATTCCTCATATCTCTTCTCCCAGGACAGCGTCATTCCCTTCGGATTCGTCGACTTCGATTCCAACACCCCACTCTATTTCACGGTCTGATCACTTTCTGTTGCGACGTCAGCAGCACAAGCTCACTGAAAGACACAGTCCAACATTGCCGAGGCTGGGACCCTGAGCCTAGAGTGGTACCTGCTCAGCAAGTATACGAAGAACACCACATATGCGGATTTGTCTGTTGCACCCGTCATCCATATCGCGAATCTGGTACGCGAGAAGTGTCAGTCTTCAGGACCAGCAGTCACTCACCTGCTCTTAGCCCTCTCCTCTTCCTGGTGTGACATAAGTTCCGGATACCCATCCTCTCCTTTAACCGAGGTGTATGCAGGTTTAGCTGCTCAAGGCATCAACCCCGTCACTGGTGAATTTATCGGTGGATATGTGGTAAGTCGGGCTGCTATCTTTCGAGAGATGTAACCAAAGACTTGGGGCGCGTCAGACTTGGGGCGCCGCCAGCGACTCGTACTTCGAATACCTCGTCAAGTACGCGCGCTTAACCAACACCGACAATTCAATCTTCATCGACACTTGGAAGGCATGTCTCACTGGCGAGAACCGTTCTCTGGCTAAATGTTGCGTCAGACCGCCGTTGACTCTTCGATCAGGACTTTGCTCAAAGTGAGTTGGTCTCAATCGGACCAGCGTGTTGTCAACAGGGACGTTTTAGAAATCGACGGTTGGAAACTTTACGTATCTCGCTGATTACGACGACGGCAAGATTCGGCCTATCAGCTCGTATGTCCCCGGGTCATGTCTACGCTGTCGCAGAGATGGAGCTGAACGTTCTCGAGTCACTTGGCTTGTTTCCATGCCGGGAACTGGCTGCTGGGTTCGTATGACAGGATGACCTCCCTGCTCTCTTTTCAAAGCATTACACAGGCGGTCGATTGCTGAACAACCAGACGATTGTAGACATCGCATTGGAGCTGAATGAGGGCTGCTGGGTCAGTTCACATTCACGCTTGGAATAAGTGGAACTGATCTGTCGAGTAGAACTCTTATGCAAGCACAGCGTAAGAGAGCATTTTATGCACACGCCGCTCGCTCGGCTGAAGAAACAAAACAGGACTGGTATCGGGCCAGAAGCTTTTGCATTCATCAGCACCGACAGCAATGCCACCGACGGCAGCGTGTCAGAGGACCAACTCAAATTCTATTCTGAGCATGGCTTCTACATCACCAACAGCAAATATGTGATGCGGCCCGAAGGTCTGTGGCCGATGTATTTTGGGACCTTCTCACACGAATTCTATTCCAGTGCTTGAATCGAACTTCCATGCCTGGCGCGTGACGGGGGACACCAAATATCTCGACCGCGCAGGCGACGCGATCGACTCGTTTTTCAGATATCTCCCCGCGCCCGTCGCCTATGCTCCGCTCGTGGACGTCAACAACGCCACTGGTGGCCTGATCGATGACATGGAGTCGTTCTGGTTCGCAGAAGTGCTCAAGTATCTGTGCGTGTTGCCCATCCGCTCCTAGCGGCCAAGAACTGATTCTCTGCAGATACTTGACCTTCGACGATCCCGACAACATCAGTCTGGATAAGTGTCAGTCTCTGTTCCGTTGAATGGCGAGCAATGGCTCATGGAAGGCTCAGATGTATTCAACACCGAGTGCCAGCCGTTCGAGGCGCCTCCTGCGCTCAAGTCGTATGACACGCCGGGAAGACTGACTTTCGTGGCCCAACAATCTTAAGTCACTTTGTCGCGGTATATCATAGTATGTACTATATGTCGAATACTGGCATGATCCTATCTACCCTGAGATAAGATAAGGACTAGTTCCCGATATGGAACGGCTACGTCACTTGGTATTCCTCCACCAATATCCAACGAAAACGACACACGATGTCCCAGGTTCGTTTGTGTATTTGAGCAATGAATTTCTATCATGAACGACGTTCAGATGTGTCAAGACGAAGGTCTCTATCTCTGGTGCCATGCGCTATCCTCTTGTTCTCACTCGCCACGCTAGCTTGCGCACTCCAATCCTGCTTGAACAAAAACACGTACAAGCCAGAGAAATGTGACAAGCATCTACGGGCGTTATATATGTGCTGCCAGACAATGTACGATGCAAACGAAAAGGCGGAAAGCACCGCATGTCCAATCCCCTCTGTAGTCAAGAGATGGATCAAGGACCACCCCAAGAAACCCTAGCGCTACACGAGTCTGTCGACTGTTTTCTCCTGGAATGTGCCATTACGAACGATTTAAATATTAGTACAATGGTATACTGGGGGCTAGAGAAGGATGACAAGCAGCAAGAGCACTGCAAGAATTATGATCAGGAAGATGATGCAGTATCCACTGCCCTTTTCCTCGGACTGCCTCATGAACCGCTTCATGCGGTTCATCGCATCGTCAAGTTTTGAGTCGGTCCGGTCCACGCCACGTTCGAGATCGTCCAGCATTCTACGAAGAGTCAGCGATACTCGGGGGATGACAACAAGCTGGGACGCACTCGTTGTGTTCGAGAATCTCTTGGCCCATGAACCCAGCCTGTTGCGCCAGCGTTGTTAATGTCCCGGATATAGAGTCCATGGCTCGGTCTTGCTCTTGCATCATCATCTATGTGCCGACCTCGATCAGACACGGCGCACACGCATGGATGAGGACAACGCGCAAACACACCTGCTGCTCCTGCCGCGACCATGCCTCCTGGTGGTCTTCGCCTCGCTCAGGGTACGGAGAATGTGGTCTTGACGAAGGCTGCGATTGCGGCAACGGACTCGCTGAGTTGACTTGCGCTCTCATGTTCTGGACTTGCAGCAGACGGGTTAACGGGGAGGGATGTTCAGCCGCACGACGCGACGCACATCAATCTCTTTCCGGACTTGCACGACGTAGCGCCGTCGGTCCTGGACTTCCAGATCATCCAGCCCGAACATACGAGCATCCGTGGATTCCACGATTCTGCGAAAGTGATTAGCGGAGGTTTCATGCCAACTTTGCGAAGCAGTCTCACTTGACGCTTTCTTCAAGGTCCTCCAAGTCAGCTTCGAGCGCAGCCAACGTGGCCTTGAGCTGTGCAAGTCTAAGAAAGCCATCCGTTCAGAGATCGACGGGGGGTGCCCACACCTCGTTTCTCGCCCAAATTAACTCCTCATTATCCTCCCGAACGGCCATGTTTCGTATTCGGACATAGGACGCGCGGAGCTGTGTTGCTGCTTGCAATGAGTTGGAAATTTCGCGTTGGACTGCGTGATACGGGTCGATTGACATCGTGCGTAGTAGTCAAGTGGGGAATGCTGAGTCAGCGGGCGGGACGCGGTCACATGTGTTTATTCGAGCAGAGGTAGAGTGTGTAAGTTACAGTTATTTGTAAGCCAAGTACTTAGATTGGAGGCAGTACATACAGAAAGGGTATAGGTACTAATCAAGAATATCCAAGCAGGAAACTGTTCATTCATCGACGAGCAAAAGATCGGGCGGGGCGCCCGAGATGTCCACCTTTCCCTTTTCATTCATTTCCGCATCCTTAGTGCTCGCGTTGACACCGGCAGCATTGCAGGCCTGCTCCTCCTCGGCAGCGAGCCCAAGCGGGTCACGAGGGAACCAGACGACACGCTGAGGCCGCGATGCAGCGGGGTGTGAGAAACCATACTCGTCTTCCGACCTGAGACGGTGGGCGCGGTTCTTGGTGTCCTCTGTCAGACCCTGCGACTCTTCAGGCCGTTTGGTCTCCATCATCTCGTGGGCCTCGCCAGCCTTGCTAGTCTCAGCCCGATCGACCGGGGCACCGCCAGCGTACATCTTGTCCGCAAGACTGAGCGGCAGAGCGTGCAAGAGTGGTCCGTACGAGTTGTTGATGAACAGCTGGAAGATGATCGTGAAGATGATCAGTACGACCATCAACGCGCCCTGACCAACAGACGACGCCTTCTGGTTATCGTCCCGGGCTAGGAAGAACAATCCAGCCAAGCAGAGCTGAATATTGATGATTGAGAATCTGCTACCACCATGCATTGGCAGAAGACGCACCTCTTCAATGTAAAGGCCAACAAAGATGTGGCTGATGGCTTTGGGGAAAAACAGGCCACCAGTGTCCGACGAAGGTGGCTGCTCGAACTGGTACAGGAACAGATATTTGTACAGTTCATAGAACGCGTAAAAGGTGAAGCAAGCGAAGCCGTTGATGACTGGAGATATGACCGAGTATACGAGTCCTGGAAAATGTTCAAGGTCGGCACTGGCAGAGTTTCGACTGCAACGTACCGATAACGACAATGAGGGTGATGCCAGGGAAGGTGGTTCCCCATGCAACATTTCGAGCGCCATACTTGATGTCGTAGACCGAGCGAGGGGTGCTGCCCAGCAAGAAAAGTTTGACATAATAAACGATCAGAGGAACGATCTGCAAGAATCCACCAGCAGTCCCCGAGAGACCTTGCAGGAGAATATATCTGGAAGTTAGATCAGCGGATTGCGTCAGAGGCTCGGCAGGAATAAGCTCGCGTGAGGAAGAAGATCGAGGCCGTGGGTAGCTTTTGGGAAAGCAAAGTTGGAACAGAGCCTGGATTCTTCAATAGACCGGGAAGTGCACTGACGATGCCAGAGGATATCGTGACAATAAGGAAAGAGTGCTAGAGGAAGTCAATTTGTCTGCGCTTTGTGTGTGGTGACACGACACATACCACAACTTGAAAGATGAAGTAGCGGGTCATAAGACTGAGCTCGACAGCAGTGCGTTTGGGCATTCCCTCCATGACCGCAAATTGACGCAAAACAATAGGCAGCAGCATCATGAGCACGGCGAGCAAGACGGGTGGCAGTATACCACTCAAGATTCCAACGACAACCGAAGGTAACTTGCAGATCCAGGCCAACCAAGAAGCGGTGGTGCATAGCGAGTGGACATTGGAAACGAGACCGACGAAAGCGACGGGGATAGACCAGAAGATGATGAGAGCCGCAGTAGCCGCATACGAGATCAAAGTACGAATCTATGGACTATGAGATCAGCACGAATACACAGGAGACCACAACGCACCTTCATCTCGTAGGGGTTCATGCCCAAGTTCGACCAGATAACGTCCTGAGGGGCAACCTCGGAGAACTTCCCGGCTGGAGAACTGTCATCAAAGGTTCAATAACCTGAGAAACGGAGACACTCACTCATGCGGTAAGGCTCGTGGTGCAGCAAGATATTCTCAGCCATGTGCGCGGCGATCTGTTTGTTGAAAGTCACGAACGCGCTGTTCAGCACAGGATAGGTCTGCTCGGACATAGCACTGATTTCCTTGTCGGCATTCTCCTCTCCTTCACCAAGCGGGAACCCATCCTCGTCCTCGAACGGTGTCTGATTCGGGTCACTCAGTTCCTTGGCCATGGCACGACGCCCTTCGGCAAGCAGTCTGTTGCACATGGCAATTTCCTTCCGAGCCCAGTTGATCGAATCAACCTTCTCGCCGAAAAGTCCGAGGAAACCAAGTTTGTGAGTGGGTCGGTCGGCCTCAGCGACGACAGGAGCATCGCCACTTTGCTCAGCATCCTTGGTGCCTGCCTTCGTGGCTTTCAAATGCGACTTGGCAGCGATGGAAAGCAACTTCGTCTCGGCCGCCTCGAGCTTGCTGCAGGCAGCCGTGCGCCGATCGTAGATATCGGGAAGGGTGCGCAGGTTGCGGTTGATCCAGATACGCTTCACGCCGCCGGGGAGGTCTTTGAACATGGCGTGCAACGCGTCAATCGTGAGGTAACGGGCCGGGATCCCGGTAAAGAGCACAGTGTTAGCCTGCACACTTTTCGCATGGACCGGGCTGATTAAAAACTGTTGACGTGTGACGACGAAGTGGCTCATTTCTAGCCGGATGTTGTAGAACACCCAGAACGTGAAAACCCAAGCCATGACAAGATGTGCCCAGTACCGGTGCTGCTTGTCGGGTTGTACATTTCCGAAGCTCAGCAAGTCAAGCTTCGTGTTGGTGCCGACGTGAGTCTTGACTGCGGTGATAGGAAGAAGAATGGCCCATGACAGGATCCACATCGGGAAGAAGACGCGCGCCATCATGCGAAGGAACCGCACGAAAAAGTAAGCGTCGCCTCCATTGGCATTGAGGACATCCTTGTAGTCGGCTTTGAACACAGCTAGCGGCCAAGCTAGGAAGGATCCCGACCCCGTGAGTGAGGTGACTCGTTTTCTGAATTGAGAGCGTCAGCATTTCTAGAATCTTGACTCAAGGCAGGCGAATAAAAAGAGCATCGTTCGATCCCCTAACTAGCTTTCCTCGGATCGCGATGTTCCTCGGAATGCAGGCGAAAGGTACGTCATGATACGCAAGCTCCAATGCGGGAGGCGAAGATCAGCACCCCTACCCATGTGGAGTGACCTGAGACACCACAAGAGCTCTGCCCAAACTCGATCCACCACTCATCCCAGATCCAGAACCACAGCCCGCAGAAAAGTCGGCAAAAGAGACTCACGAGGGTACGGGAACGTAAGTTCGTGGTTCATAGATAGCTTTGAAATGGGGACGAATGATTGTGAAAACCGCAAGTTCAGCGCCAAAGACGATAGCATTGAAGACGAGCGCAGTGAGAAAAGTCGACGTCGACGCGGTCGTTGCGCCCGACGTCGAAGACCTGTGAGTTGTGGTCAGTCGACCCAGGGAAGGACTGAGCGAAGAACTTGCATGACGGTTGGTTGAAAGAGGGGGGTTCAGATCGGTTTTTATTGGCGGAGACAGCCGTCCAAATATAAACGTAACGTGCTTCGATGCACTCTGTTTGCAGGTATGTGTTTGCTCCAATCTTAGTTCCGCTTCTCACACACCGTCTTGTCTCGCCTCCTCAAGGAACGATCTTGACTCACTATGACTCCAATCACGTCCCTTCCGGTTCGCTTCCTCGTTTTGCCCAGCAATATCGTCGAGCGGACTTTGAAATTTCTTCTCGATACGATCCTTTCTGTCAATTGCCCATCGATGATCGCGGTGACTGTCAAAACCTCGGTGGCTGTACTGGTATCGACACGTGTTCGGTAAAAGTTATCTTTGTCTCTCTCTCGTACATAACTGGCAGATTTGAGAGTTGGCAGTTTTAAGCTTCGAAATCGTCTGCTCTCATCGCCTCATCGCCTCTGTCGATTCCTTCGGCCGCGGGAGTATCATTCCTGCTGCCGTATGTCACTAAAAATTGCTCTTTGATGACGATGACTGGATCTGACTTGATCTGACATAAATCCCTTACACTTCGATCCTAGCAGATCCTAGCATAGCCATCCTGAAAGCACCCGGCACCCGGTTATCAAATTGCTCAAGCGCTCAAGTTCAAATTGTTGTGAGGAGTAGTAGACCGCCGTCCTTGATGGAGCACCAATTCATCTTTGTCGAGCACTCAATTACTTCAGCCCAGATTCTAGCCTCATCCCCTACTACTTGGACTCGTGGACTGCAGGAACCTGCGCCTTTTGAATGTAGTAGAGATCTCAGTCCGCGTTTATATCAAGCCGGTTGAGCTGTCGATTCAAAGCAAGAACTCCGCACTCAAGTCAATTATGAAGCGGGTGAATTGATGCATGAGCTATATCCTGCCGCCTCACCAGCCTCATTAAACTATCTGTTCATCAATTATCATACGATGATACTGAGTAAACTGGGTGCAATGGCTCACCTATTGATCTTCGCTGAAAATTTCAGCGCGTATGGAGCCTGGTGCGAAGACAGAGACACGAAAATCGAGCACCCGGACTGCTTCTTCAATTTAATATCGAAGACAACTGTCGACTGTAACACATGCCCAGCTCGAGCTGAGGATCAATGGCACGTACAAACACCCGCGGTCGCATTTTGTCTCACGCTGAGACTCGTGTTTTCGACAGCGAATGCAACCACTGATTTGAGTGTTAGTTCTGTTCGGTCTTCCCCAGTGCTGACTCGCCCCTGCAGCCAAATCAGTCCACTCGCTCATCTATTTCCAGACTTCTGGGGCCTTGGGTGGCACTGCGCAGGGCGCCGAATTCAATACGAACGCGTTCGAATCCACTCCGCTGCGGTCATATGAAAATGACAAGGCACTGAAGGCCGATTGTATGAATTATCAATCCAATCCCAGACCTCAGACATCTTGACCGTCGTGGCAGACCAAGTAGACCGATCAAGGGCGCACACTGATTCCCATCGTCTCTTGTAAGTGTCCGCCGTGTCTAACGCGGATGACTCGAAGAGATCGAGGTACAAGGCGGCAATGCTTACGCGGCGCGTTCAGCTGCAACTCGGGCCAAGCTAAATCAAAGGACGCGGCTGTCAGAAAAGCCGTGCCCGTTTAATCCAGCGGCGCCGGCAAGGCCTTGTGTGGCCTTGAGGAACGGACCTGGCGATGGGTCCAGTACTCAGCTTGGAGGTGGCGGCAGTGCCTGTGGATCAACCTGTAGCAAGTCAGGCGAGCGTGCCTAGTGGTGGATCTCACTCAGCCTTGCAACATAGCATACACGCTCATTACATTGCTCATTCCCCGATTACACTCCTCATAATACCGTCTTTTGTCTCTATACTACATAAAACATCTTTGTGCCCGCAGACCAAGTACCATCCGACTTCGATCCATCGGGCTCATCCGGGCTTCTCTCTTTTCCTTGCGTCATCGATCGAACCTATCTTGTATCCATCTTCATCTCCCGACCATGAAGTACGTTCGTCTCGGAAACAGCGGATTGAAAGTCTCTCGTATCATCCTCGGGTGTATGAGTTATGGGTCGCGTGGATGGCAAACCTGGGTACTCGAGGAGGAAGAGTCGCTCAAGCATATCAAGGTGCCGCTCTAGATTCTCGATACCGGCAGTCACTCTGAGCCCAATCCATCCGCAGGCTGCATACGATGCAGGAATTAACACATTCGACACAGCCAACACCTACAGCAACGGTGTTTCTGAGATTATCCTGGGTAAAGCCATCAAGGAGTTTAACCTCCCGCGGGATGAGATCGTCATTATGACTAAGGTGCGCAGATGTTCAGCCTCGACGGTGATGGGCACAGCGATGAGCATTGTATCCTTGGCAGGTGTTCTTTCCCACCGGCCACACCGCCGACACACCCGCTTACATGATGGACCCGGATGCAAACGGCTACGTGAACCAACACGGTCTCAGTCGCAAGGTCCGTTGGATTTGTTTTTTGCTCTCGTATCCATCAATTCATGACGCGTCTCAGCATATCTTTGATTCTGTCAAGAGAAGTCTGGAACGTCTCCAGCTTGACTATATCGACGTTCTGCAATGTATGGTCGATCACAGCATCCGAGATAGCATCTGTTCATTGGCGCATTGATTCACCCCACAGGCCACCGCTTTGATGAAAACACCCCGATTGAAGAAACGGTAAGACGCACTGGAAGCCGCGATGTTCATGGTTCTCAACATCCACAGATGCAAGCCCTGCATGACGTCGTCCAAGCGGGATACGTCCGGTACATCGGGATGTCGTCGTGCTGGGCCTGGCAGTGTGAGTGGTTCCGTCGCGATGCTCGTGCATGCTTTTGAATCTTGAATTGTCTACAGTCCACGCGATGCAAAGTGCGCTTGTCCAGAGTCCTTCTCTCCTGCTAGTTTTAGACGTCCTTTACACAGATTACGCCATCCAGAACAAGCTGACCCCGTTCATCTCGATGCAAGATCATTACAGCATGCTCTACCGCGAGGAAGAGCGTGAGATGTTCCCCACTCTGAAGGTTCGCTCGATCTCACTTCAACTTACTGGCTACATATTTCTGAATCACAACAGCATTTCAAAGTCGGATGCATTCCGTGGTCACCCCTGGCTCGAGGACTCTTGACTCGCCCGCTCTCAGAACAAAGCAAGCGCGGTTCGGTTGATCGGTAGCGGCGTTCGATTGGAGGACACTAGCCAATGTTGACCGACCGAATCTAGGACGATTCCGGCTTTCCATAGTGAGGCCACGACCAACATCATCAACCGAGTCGAGGAACTTGCCAAGAAGAAAGGTAAGACCATGGCCCAGATTGCGCTCGCTTGGGTTTTGGCTAAAGATAGTACGTGCCATCGATTCGTGTATCTCGCGCAAATCCCGTTTGACCCGTTGGGACTTGCAGTGGTGACCGCTCCGATCGTTGGAACAACTTCGTTGGATAACCTCCACGAACTCCTTGGTAAGGAACAGAATCCAGAACCGGTCGATTTTGCGGCTGATTCGAGACGTTCCATAGCTGCCACCGAGATCGAATTGAACGAGGAGGAAGTCAAACATCTCGACGAGCCCTACCAGCCGGGAAAGGTTATTGGTCATTCGTAAACACTTGATGTAAAAATTCAATGAATAATTGTACGGTTGAATCTCGTTATCGATCACCCAACCAAAACCATCACGTGTTGTGCGCTATGGTTTAATTTGTAGCCTTAGGGCCACACTGCTTTGCATCGGACCGCGTTTCTCGAAGGAACACACGACCGTGTTCCTGTCCTGGCCGACGCTTAGTGGCCGACTCTTCGACAGTACGCGGTGGCTCACCCCGATCCGATTCCCCAAACGACGACAGCACAGATCCGCATTATGGATACAACTAAGACAACAGACAAAGGCGGGGGCCGAGCACGAGAACATCGCGAAATGTCAATTTGCAAATTTCGGCGCTCCAGGGATAATCAGGTAGCCCATGCGTGGCAGACCCTTACACAAGCGTGCCTGGTTGTACAGTCGGCCCTGCAGCATCGCATGCACGCTTATGACATCGCTCATTCCCAACTACATATACTTACTCTTTGTAACACCGCTTTTTGTCGCTGTACTATACACACATTCTTTGTGCTCGCAAACCCAGTATGTACCATTCGACTTGAACCCATCGGGTTCAGCCGGGCTTCTCTCTCTTCCCTGCATCATTGATTGAATCCATCTGGTATCCATCTTCATCTCCCGCCAACCATGAAGTACGTTCGTCTCGGAAACAGCGGATTGAAAGTCTCTCGTATCATTCTCGGATGCATGAGTTATGGGTCGCGTGGATGGCAAACCTGGGTGCTCGAGGAGGAAGAGTCGTTCAAGCATATCAAGGTGCCACCCTAAATCTCTGGCACTAGCATACTCTTTCTGAGGTGCACCTATACGCAGGCGGCATACGATGCAGGAATCAACACATTCGATACAGCCAACACCTACAGCAACGGTGTCTCCGAGATCATCTTGGGCAAAGCTATCAAGCAGTTTAATCTCCCGCGGGACGAGATCGTCATTATGACTAAGGTGCGCAGACATGCAGCCTCAGCGGTGACGGACACAGCGATGAGCGATGTATCTCTGGCAGGTGTTTTTCACCACCGGCCACACCGCCGACACGCCCGCTTTCGTGGCGGATCCGGATGCGAGCGGTTACGTGAACCAACACGGTCTCAGTCGCAAGGTCCGTTTAGAATCCCCGCGCACTTTTCCATCCACCGATTCATGGCCCGTCCCAGCACATCTTCGATTCTGTCAAGAGAAGTCTCGAACGCCTCCAGCTTGACTATATCGACGTTCTGCAATGTATAGTCGATCACAGCTTCCAAGTTATCTGTTAACTGACTCATCGTTTCACCCCACAGGCCACCGCTTCGATGACAACACCCCGATTGAAGAAACGGTAAGACGCACTGGAAGCCGCGATGTTCATGGTTCTCAGCATCCACAGATGCAAGCCCTGCATGACGTCGTCCAAGCGGGATACGTCCGGTACATCGGGATGTCGTCGTGCTGGGCCTGGCAGTGTGAGTGGTTCCGTCGCGATGTTCGTCCATGCGTTTGATTTTGAACCGTCCACAGTCCACGCGATGCAAAGTGCGCTTGTCCAGAGTCCTTCTCTCCTGCTAGTTTTAGACGTCCTTTACACAGATTACGCCATCCAGAACAAGCTGACCCCGTTCATCTCGATGCAAGATCATTACAGCATGCTCTACCGCGAGGAAGAGCGTGAGATGTTCCCCACCTTGAAGGCTCGTTCCATCGGACTTCACTAATTGGCTGCATATCTCTGAATCACAACAGCACTTCAAAGTTGGCTGCATTCCGTGGTCACCCCTGGCTCGAGGACTCTTGACGCGCCCGCTCTCAGAACAAAGCAAGCGCGGTTCGGTTGATCGGTAGCGGCGTTACATCGCTTGCGCAATAGCCAATGTTAACTCCCTGATTCAGGATGATCAAGTCTTTCCATAGCGAGGCCACGACCAACATCATCAACCGAGTCGAGGAACTTGCCAAGAAGAAGGGCAAGACCATGGCCCAGATTGCGCTCGCTTGGGTTTTGGCTAAAGATGGTGCGTGCGATTCGTTCATCTGGTGAAAGTCTGGTTTGACACTGTTAATTGCAGTGGTGACTGCCCCGATCGTCGGATCGACTTCATTGGACAATCTTCACGAACTTTTCGGTAAGGCGCAGCTTCCAGGACCTGTCGGGTCAGCGACTAATTGGAGACGTTGCATAGCTGCCACCGAGATCGAATTGAGCGAGGAGGAAGTCAAACATCTGGACGAGCTCTACCAGCCGGGAAAGATCATCGGCCACTCGTGAAAACTACCCAGATTCAATGTATATGTACAACAAATGAAACAATGTGGATCACAGAACTGTTCTAAAACTTGGCTTTCGTTTTGCCGGCCAGGAGCTGGACGCTGGTCCTCTCGAAGAAGTTGGCTTCGTCAGGGAGAACGTTCTTCGCGCTCATAAGTCATACACCGCTTCCGGACGCGGCGTCTCTTACCTGCTTGTATTCTTCCGATTTGAAAGTGCCGAGAATGTCATCCAAACTCTCCGCTTCAAACTCCGAGATCCCGTCGTAAGTAGCCACGGTAATCCCGGCGGCGGCGAGGTTCTCGCTCATCGCGGGATCCACATGGAACTTGAGGGAAAGTCAGAATCCCTTACCCGCTCCCGCAAAATAGCCAGCACACTCCAGAATCTCACCTGCTTGTATTTGACCTTGCCTGTCTGGACGGCTGAGAGTGCCGCAAACAGCGGACCGTGTATGTTCGCCCAATGGGCATCGAAGTCTTCAAATGAGATGTGCGGTAGACGCTTGACGAAGACGAGCACTCGGACAGGCATGGAGCAAATGACGGCACTGAGTATGCCAATTCGAGTATCGGGATAGTAGCAAGTGTGGTCACGGTCTGCCCGAGACGACTAGGCACAGACACAAGATGTCAAAGGAGCAGATGGAACGGCCGTGGTGGCTAGCAGAAAGAAGCATGGCGCTCGTGACTACTTGAAGGCTCTGAGAAAGTTCATAGAAGTCCAACCCCAAGTGCATGCATCGAATAGCTGGCACGATCACATGACCGAGCATGGGATTGGATATCAAGGACCATGAACAAGACTGTACCTACCACATTTCCAGAGGTCACAACGTTCTCGACGATTCTTAGATCAGTCTTAGCGTCTCGAATCGTTGCCTAGCGATTCATGTATCGGTCTTAGCGTGTCAGTTTGCTAGGCTTACATATAAATTTTCTGCAGTAGATCGAGTGCGCTACTACTCTAGCAACTCTGTACTTTGACTGGGTATGGGGTAGATATCTTCATCCCCCAAAACGTCGATACCATGTCTAAGCTGTATAAGCTTCTTGTATGAAAAAAAGAGGAGTCGGACTGACGAGGATTTCAGGTGCGACCGCAATCCGTTGACAAGTCGCTTTTGTAGCTTTCTACGCTCATGCCCATTCTTGGGATCGGGTTTTCCCTGAACACAGTGTCGGCATCCATACAACTGTTCGTCGCGCTTGGCCAATGGCTCGAGATGATCCCGCATGACCTTGAGTCCCAAGCCTTTATCGACCGGTGCTACGAGGATAGCGTTTGCCTCTGACTCGCTGAGAAGCGACATCTCCATCGCTTCGTGTCGATGGCTGTGGCCAATCTAGCAACATCTCAGTTTTTTTCAACGGAAAGAAAGATGGATCAAGCCCACGACTGCTAATGGATGCATGACGATTGGGACCGGGCAAGACAAGCAAAGGATACGAGCTCCGAAGATGTCCATCAACAGGGGAGCACTGCGGTCAGCTGCATCGATCTCGCACAACTCTACAGCTTTGGTCACCGCATTGACGGCCTGGCCATCGCTCAGTTGTGGACAGGATCGGAGACAGGATGCGACTGACCCGGTCGTCCTTGGCGAACTGCTCCACACTCCACGTCGAGTGGCCGCGCTTCCCAGTCTTGCTGCACTCATGCTGGCAAGCTCCGAAAAAGTCAAAACAGCGATCCTTGGCGTAACTCTTCGGGAAAAAGTGGCACTTGGTGCAAATCCAACGCGCAGTGACGCGCATGGTTGGATGAAGTCGATTGCTTCGCGCAGTTTTCCATTTTGAGAAACCCAGCATCGCACCGAACTGCTCCTGGACCTGAGCTCGCCAGACTTCCAACGCTGATGTGATCATCTGATTCACGACATTGTCCCCTTTCAGATTCATGTCGGCAGCTTTCCCCGTCGGACTGTACATCGTCTGGATAATCGGGAACGTCCGGAAATGGGCGAGCGTAGGAAGCGCTAGTCGAGGTGCCCTAGCAAGAGCATCCGTCAAGAGACGTTCATGATGCTTCGTCACTGCTTCGGCATTTGCTCTCCTAGAAGCCTCGACACTTCTTCGTTCGTTTCGTTCTTTGAAGTATAACATTTCGGCTTCGATCTTGGGTGCTCGGACGTTGTAGTCTGAAGAAAAAATGTTCACAAGCGGACAGCCAACGGCGAAGAGAGAAAGAACCAAGCGTGGTGATCAGTTCCAAGTTCACCCTTCGTTGATGATATAGGTTGTTGTATGTGATGGACGCATTCAGCAGATCACCGTACACATACCCTGGAGACTACATGAGCTCTGCCATGGAATTAGACGTTGAAAACCGCATGCCTTCTTTCGCGGCCAATGCCTTTCCACTGGTCGGTCCCATGTGAGAACTAAGATAAGGAGACATGTTCGCGCTCACTGACAATGCATCGTTATATATCTTGACATCCAGGGCTTTGTCGGCTCTCTTTTTCCTCCATTCCCATAGCGCCACAAAGAATGGCATCCTGAGGGACTGTCTTAAGATCTCATCCTTGTGTCTCGCTTCCACCACGTCGACGTTTGCCGAGCGAAGCTCCGCCAACGCAGTGTCCATGTCTTTCTTCAGGTAGGCCATCGTGCGAGGCCACAGCTGAGAAGGATGATGTGTCCAAATTTTCCGCTTGTGTAGGTCCAGACACGCATCGGATTCCAAGAGAGGGATCCAGGTCAGCGCTTTTTGCGACCCGCGATCCAGAGCATTGGGTTGGTAGGCTATCAGGACGTTGTTCTCGGCCCATTCATTCATACATTTAGGGCGGTTGCAGAATCGGGCGCGAATAGACCAAGAGGAGTACAGATTGAACGTGTGTTCCTCACAATTCTACGGTGCAGAAGCCTCCCTTGGTATCAGAAAGTCACAGCTGAGATGGAATAACGCACCGTGCAAGGCCCCCCGTCAAACACCATTGCCGCGTACACGGGCTCCGTCAGATTCATCGGCGCAGGATCCGGCAGCGCCTCGGGCAGACAATTGTTCCTGACGAAACGCCAAATGAACGCTGATTCAGGACGCTTGAGGGTGTTGTAGAGATATTTGTTGCATCGGGATGCGGACAGAACCGTCCTTGGGCACTTGGCGTATTGGAAAACCTCAGCCAGCAACTCGAACGGTAACTTCAGGAAGTGCGATGAAGGCAAAGGGGCTGCAGCCGCAGCTTGCGCGCGTTTCCTCGACGATCGATCCTTCCGCGCTTTCTTGCGCGGATGTGAAATACTCGCTGGATCTGACGCAGTCTCTTTCATGATGAAAAAGGTCAACGAGAGTAGTGAGGGTCAGGAGCAAAGATGATTCGGAATGTTCCGATCCGAGAAACTGACAGATACGATCGCAAGTACCTACCGTTGGCAAAACATTTTGGAAAACATGTGCTATCCAGTGCGCCAGATCGAACCGATAGGAGCAGATGGACACAAACGGCCGCGTAATTGGATCATAGACTACAACTTAGTACAGTACAAGGGCTGTACCACGCATACAAGTACATTGGTTCTTTCTCTGAAGCTATAATCATAGCCAATCCTCCCGGATCCCAGAGACTGAACGGGAGCGCCGGCTGTGATCCCTCCGCCCGTGATCGAAGCGGGGCACACCAAACGTAGGTTCGCTGCCAGCTCTCGAATGTCGCTGAGCAGCCATTGATGAAGCGCGCAGTGCGAAAAGGTGTGCTGGGTCCATCAGTCCACGGTGGTCCACAACGACATCGCTCGCAGGCCGCTCTCGCATGTCGCAATCCGAATCCATGTTGTCAGATTCCATCTTCGAGTTCGAGTCAGAGTAAGAGGATGACGAAGCCGACGAAGATCGATGCAGAGAGAGGGGATAATCCGATGAGGAGATTGAGAATTTGCTTCGTGGGTAGTTGCGTGAGTTGCGAGTGATATGAACGATTATCGAGTCCCGTGCTTTCTCAGTCAGCTCCGACACCGCGAGAGACTTGGGGCGCGTCTCTTCTTGATATTCACTAAGTTTAGACAAGGAGGCTCGATGTCGGCTATAAGAGAACCCAAAGATCGACATGATGAATGTGACTAAAGTGAGCACCAGAGCACCAACAAACACCAGTTTATGGTGGCCGTGAGTGCCGTCTCCAGTGATCTCGTGAGATGAGGGCGATGGTAACGCACTGGGCGAGGTCACCGGTTGAGTGGATGACTGAGTGGGAGCAAGCTGGGCCGATGAAGCTTCCATGACTGAAGTGGGGGAACCGGAAGCAGAGGCCGCGATGAGGGAGAAAACTTCTGCAATGGGTGGTAGCACGATTGCGTCTTGATTGACGTCGGAGACTCCAGCGAGCGACGATGCATCGTCCGGCAAGTCGCTGACAAAAGAAGTTCGCGCCAGAAGACGGTGACGGTCTTGCCGAGAGCGCGCAGTGGGAACACCCAAAGTCACACTTGCTCCGAGACCGAGAAGAATGGCGAGTACGCGGGTAGGGTGCATGTTGAAATTTGCAAAGGAGTGTGGTGCGAGGATTGCGTGGCGGATTAGGATATGAAGATGGCAGAGCGGAGGAGAAAAGCAAAGGTGGTGGCGGTGTAGCTTAGATGCATTTACAGTAAGTTGAACACCGGCGGTCGACCCTTACGCTCATGTCCTATGGACTTTTCCACACGCTCAGCACGGAACTCGAAGAATATCACAGACGCCATGATATCATGGAAAATTACAATTAATTTTACGGACTACGTGAATTATCTGGACAATCGAAATAAGCATAAGCGGTATGTATGTAGGGCTACTGGTATCAAGCATGAGGCGGCGGCATGTGAATGACACATGCAGGGAGAGCGATATTCGAAAGTAACACACACGGCACGTCGTTCAAAGAAAGCAGTAGATCTTGCAATCACAGGTTACGGTCTGAGATGCCGGCAGCGATGGCCTCAGGGAACCTTATGGTGGTGTTATCATCCAGATCGATTCCCATTCTCCTGGCACGATTTTCAAAAGCAAGCCTCTGTTCTTCGAGAGGCTGAGGCTCCCAAGATGCAGCCGCCCATGGATATCTGGTTGGCCCAAATCGGTAAGGACAGTTAAAATCTGTGATGCCACTTACTTTTTCCAGCGGACAAGGTAGTAATGCACACGCCCGTTCACGGTGTCAAGCTTCGTCCACCGTCCATAGATGCCTTCGGGTTCGAAGAAAGCCTCGTCGTTGGGACAATCTGGACGGGCGCATTTATCCTCCATGCTGACATCCACACCGAGCATTGGAGCAACTAGAGGAGATAAGCGTCATGATGTCATCCACAGCAATGCTCTCGCAAACTAACCGCCTCTGAAAACTCTTTCAGTGAATCGGATAAGATCCAGTGATCAACATCACTGACGCTATGCAGCATGGGCAGACAAACGTCCCATGCAGACGAGGGTCCTTTTTACTCGATACTCCCATACACGAATAGTGAAACCATCTTTCGCATGGCGCTCTCGATGAAAATCAGACAGACAGTCAACTGACCGGTGACAGATGGAATCTCACTGGTCACATCCAATGAACTTCCCGACATGCTATGCACCTATGTCAACACAGCAACACGGAAGACAAGGAGATGTACATACTTCATTCAATACTTTATTTGCTGGAGTAATGGAGGGCCAGATCACATCCTTTTCCGCCGTCTTTCTAGGGATAGCACGACCTCGTTTCTTCGAAACTTCGGCATCCTCTGGATGTCCAGTTGCCTTACGTTTTCTGGCCTGTCTGTGTACACTTCTCCGCGTCCCAGACGATTCAGGCTCCGTCAATTCCATCTCTTTTCCTTCGAAGTTCATAGCTGGGGGCGAAGCAAACGAGCTGATCGATGACAGTGGTGAATCAAACGAAACTTCAATCTTCCGGTGATCTGGGAGTGCCAAACGTGGTGGCGTCCGCACTGACGATAGTTTCCTTTCCTGCATCGTTGAAGAGGTGACAGAGGACGGGATAAATAGGCTATGGTGGGGCGGCGATTCCGAGGAGGCTGCGTCGACTTGGGTCATTCGAGCAACCGACATCTCTTCGTTGAGAGTCTCCCTGTCTCTCACCGACTCATGAGAAGTGTCGAGGGGCTGCAGTTGACGGAAAGCAGGTGGACCAGAAATCGCAGAGATATGCTGCTGTCTGTGAATCGGACCGATGGTGCGTTCTGGGCAACGTTAACGATTACGTGAGAAGAATGAGGCATACGCGCCTACCTTCCTGTTGCCAATGAACCGGACCGTGGACAGGAACAACTGGATCGGCACGAGAAAGGGACACAGAATCTGGATCGATTGATTGGTCCTGGCCTACATTCTTGAGGGAGTAGTCGTGGAGCATCTCTCCAAAACTCGAAGCCACTGATTAAAATTTGATAGCTTGGAACTCATCGCATGATATAGGTTATGAATCTCGTACTTACCCAGGGTCGAGGTGGAGCCTGAATGATCCAGATTAAATGAAGTGCTCCCAATCGGGGAGTCGCGTGGGCCTTGGGAGCGTGAAGCTCTGTCGTTATCCAAAATTGCTGTCCTCACAGGACTGGTGGCAATGTCGTGGTAAATGGGTGGTGAGGGTACTGCAAATGATCGGTAGGTCGAGATCAAGGCTATGCGTTGGGCGCTTACAGTTGGCTTCGGGGTCCTTCATCTTTTCCAACATTTCTTCTAGTGCAAAAGAAAGCAGATCAAATCTTTCCAGTAAGGTCTTTTCATGCGTTATCTCTGCCCCCATCCCTAGTACATGCTCTAGCCTCTTCATTCGACCCAGCTGGTTCACATGCGACTGTTGCAGTGCCTTCGCCAATTCACCGACGTGAGCTTGATGCTCTTCGCGAAGCACAACCAGATCTTTACGCAGCTCCACCATGTCTTTAGCTTGTCGGGCTTCAAAGGCCTTGAAACGCGCGTCAATGTGCGCACGGTGTGTATGGAGCGTGTCATCAAGGCATCGAGTTATCCTGTGTGCGAGGTGGTCGACATCGAACGGTGCAGGAGCAGGTGGATAGACCGGTGGCGGGAGATGATTCAGCTGATAATGGAATTGATGATAACCAGGCGGGTGTGGGACATGCGAATGTGGAGGAAGCGGCACGGGATGAGACAAAGGGTGAGGATTTGGGGGCATCTTTGACGGACGATGGCTATTTATGAAGGCGAGAGCGTGCAGCGGAGACTATTGCCGAAGAGAACAAATGGCGATGGATGAATGGAGAATTCAGGCCAGAGGGACAATCCTTCGTAGCGAAAGTGTGTCGAGGCCAAACAATCGAACGCGTACACAAGCCCAAATGTACCGCCACTTGGAATTTCATCGGGTCACCATGTCGCGTTTTCTATGGCAGCCTATCTGTCCTCTGAAAACAGGTGCTCTTGCAGAAAGAATACCATAAATTAGCGACCGAAGCGCTGAGGAACCTACTTTCGCATATCCCGACGTCAACCATACTTGGTCGCGGTGATTGCCGTGCCATCTCATCTTATCAGCCCAGGCCGTAACTTTCAATGTTCTCCCTGAACCAACATGTCGGAATCATCACAAGAACTCGGGACCATATGTATCATCGGTGCAGGTGCCGCAGGGCTAGCCGCTCTCAAAGCCGTTCTCGACTCGCCTCGTTATCGGGCTGGGCTATGGATGCCCACCGCTTTCGAGTCAAGAAATGAGGTGGGCGGGATCTGGTACACGGGCCATCGCTTTCGATCTGCGATCCTGTCTTATGCACCTCCTCACCAGGCTTCCGGACACTTCCGCGGAAGGTACTATCCAAGAAACACTTCCAAAGACCCCGTTGTATGATTCTCTGACAACAAACCTACCGCATCCGGTCATGGCCTATCCGAGTTTCTCCTTCCCACCCTCGACACCAGTTTTTCCCGGGGCCGCGCACGTTCAAAGCTATTTGAAGTCATATGCTGCGCATTTCGATCTTGGTTCCCATATCCGCTTCAATACCACGGTCACTGACGTGCTCCGGAGCAAGTCGGGTTGGTCTGTGAGTCTAGACACGGGTGAGATGTTGCAATTCGACCTGGTCATTGTCGCCAACGGTCATTATGCCATTCCCCGTTATCCTGACGTGCCCGGACTAAACGATTGGCTGGCCGCCAAGAAAGCCATGCACTCGATCTGGTTTCGGCGACCGGAACGATTTGGAAACAAAGTCCTTGTGGTGGGTGGTGGTCCCAGTGGCAACGATATCTCTGCAGATCTCGCGACTGTTTGTCCCGAGATTGTACGGTCCATTAGTGGTGCGACTGTCTCGGCCTCAGGCTCGATCAAGACACGAGGTCGGACCACTCGATTTGGGCCCGACGGAAAAGTCTTCTTTGAAGATGGCAGCGTCGAAAACGATATTGACTTTTGCATCCTCGCCACCGGCTATGAAGTGCATTTTCCGTTCCTATCTGAGGAAATCGTCCATCCGACTGCTCCACCCCCGTGTCCTCCACTGCCTGACGAACTGTACAACTCAACATACAATATCTTTCCTCTTGCACATCACATCTGGCCGTTGCAAAAGCATTTCCCACCCACGACGATGGCATTTCTGGGTCTTCCTGTTCGTGTCGCCCCGTTGCCAGTCATGGAAGCTCAGGCGGTGGCCGTTCTGCATGCATTTGAGCATCCTGAATCCCTCGATCTTGAAGCGGCAAGGACTGGCGTGCTGGACCGTTACAAGGCTGTCGGCGGCCGTGACTTCAGCGTTTTCCAGGAATCTCATGAGCAGTTTGATTATTCAGACGCACTCCACGCTTTTTCCTCGAGCAAAGTACGGGCTCCTATCTGGCGCAGGACAATGTATGAAGAAAAGACTGTATTGCGGAGATTTTGGGTCCATCTGGAGCGTACTGGAGAGGCCGAGGCATGGGTCAAGCACGTGGGTCGAGGAGACAAACCATGGGATGAATGGGAAGCGCTATTGTATAGACTTCTTGAAGCCGCGCGAAGATGGGACTCAAAAGATGGCTCTCTGTTGTAGACAAATCTAGATATCTGATATGTGTGGGCGAAGGGGGGGATTCGATCTCCGATCACGGCGATACCGTCCACGTGATCGCTCCGTGTATTACTTGCACTAGATTCTGAGCTGCTCAGCGTCCTCGACGCTCCCCCGACGCGTGTTTCTTCTTCAAACAGAAATTTCGACACATTCAATCGAGTTACCCGTTCAGAAGTCGCCGTGCTCCGTCACAATGGACTTTTCAGCCCATTTCGGGGATAGCACTGGATTGTATTCCATGAGTGAGGCTGACGATTTCTTGTACAACCAAGTCCCGGGGCCAGAGGAAAACGCCAGCTCCAGTGAGCGCAGTGAATGCCACTGCCCCATCTTGTGTACTGATCGAGGCACCGCAGGCTCGGAAGAAGAGTCCTCGGACGGCTCTTCCAATGGGGAAGGGAGCGGAGGGGAGGAGGACTTTGCAGGCCCCGTTCCGCTAGCAGAAATGCAGATCGAAGGTGATTTTGAGTATGCCTCCATTCGATTGCCTGCTGCCGGCCTAGATTTGCTCAAATCAGCGCAGACGGCTAGTGCAAAACATCCGCGAGGATGACAACTCTGGCGGCATTCTCAACAGGGACTGGGACTTCAATGTAAAGGATCAAGAGAGCCAATTCAGGGATGACCTCCGTGGAGCATCGGGTGTAGGAAAAACACGGCGGAAAGGCAAACGCGTACGTCTACATCCTTGCACGCGACCTTGTCCGATGCCATGTAACTCAATCACAGGGCCGGCGCACAGGGCCGGCACTTTCATTTGAGGTCAAAGCCCTCCTCGGGGACGCCAACCAAGCCTACGTTGATGGGGACCTTTCCGAGGCGATCAGGCTCATGCGCGAAGTCATTCGTATCGAGCCGCGAGCCGCATCAGCCTGGTCCGTACTCGCGCAGTGCCATGACGATCTGGGGAAGCCCGAAGAGGCACTTCAGCTACGGATCATGGCGGCGCATCTCAGGCACGAAGGCGAGGAATGGGATCGGCTCGCGAGACAGTCCAAGTCAGTCCGGCTTCCCGAAACTGGAGTTCCGTGGGTTCTGAGTCTGGCACGCGCAGTGATCTCGGTTTCAAGCAGCAAGCTTTGTATTGCTGGGGAAAGCTGGCTAGCCTTGATCCGACTAATATCAATGCACAGTGGGACAGGGCGTCGCTTGCCCGTGATTTGGGCGATTTGAAGACGGTGTGTGATCCGCCTCTTTGTCTGAGCTCAGCTCACAGTGCACAGACAAGGCATGCCTTTCTAGCGATTCTCAAGGTCTTTCCGCATGACATCCCTGTCCTTTCTGAGCTTCGCAATGTGCTTGTCGAACTAGGCGACCTCGAGACGTGTCTCAATCTCTTCGCTGCTGCATTCGAGCACTACCAGCGCGTATATCCAACAGGAGCAGGAGATCTTCCCGGTGGCGGTTTTGGACTGATGGAGCTGCTGGTTTTGGCAGACTTGTACAACACGGTCTCCGAACACCGGCCAGCTGTGGAGGTCATACGTCGAGGATGTCGTTGGCTGCAAGGTCGAGGTGATCAGAGATACTGGGATGCTTGTGACGACGATCGCGAATACGACTTGGAATCGTTCAAACGAGTCGTGGATGAAGGACCCCAGCCTGGATTCTATCCCTTGGACGTGAATGCGCGACACAGATTGTCCGTTGCGCGGATCCAGATGGGGTATACGCAAGAGGCCAAGGTATGTCTGTCCGGATGCCAAGGGTCTGAATGGCGCTGATTGGGCCAGTTTCACACGAGTGCTGTACTGGCTGAGGATGTGTTGGACTATGCACCTCTGTTCGCAGAGACGGCCGACGCTTACTTCGACCAGAAGATGTATGCTGAAGCACGGCCTATTTACGAGCTTTTGGGGACCGAGGAAAGCGTGAGTACGTTCTCCAGTGTTCACTACCGTTTTGGAACTTTCTTCCAGACAAGCAGCATGTACATCTTGCTACGAACGGCGATTTGTTTGCGCATGCTGAATGAGTTGAGACCAGCTGTGGATGTTTACGAGCAAAGTTTGTCTTCATCTCACTTACGATTCCGTGCGCTCAGCCATCGCCCTGCAGTCAGACTTGTGGATCCAACCAACAACGATGCCAAATTGAAGCTCGCTGAAATCTATGAAATTCTTAATGAGCCTCGCAAGGCACTTGACTTGGTTTACGAGGGTTCGTTCATTATTTCATTTCCGATCACAATCTCATCTTGCTCCAGTCATCGACAGCAGACGGCGAGGCAACAAAATCATCGACGACGACGCGGGCACAGCCAATACTGCACCGCCCACTTCGTCGCTTTTTGCCGAAGAAAGCAAGTCGAGCGCACGCATGAAGCGATCGCAACCGCAGAACCGCATGAGCCGTGAGGCCCTTATCGAGCTGGAGACCCAAATGGAGCTGGAGACACTGCGCAGTCACCAGCACTTGCAGGAACTGTACCCCCAGATCGATCTGGGCTTACAGGATGCAAACGAAGCCGAGAGAGATTGGGTGATCACGGCAGAAAGGCTACTGGATGCGTTCCGGGAGACAAGACAGTTGTTTACTACGACTGGACAATTCAAAGGCATGTTTCCGGGCAGAGAGCGCCCCTCGAAAGATCGCGAGGCAATGGAGGCCAGGATGATTTCACGGCTGCAGATGGAGCTGGATGGGGGCGGCTCAAGCGCGAAAAACAGCACCGACGTGTTCCGAGGCCTGAACTTCCGGGATTGGCTGAGTCTAACCTTCCAGGTACGTGTTTCACGCAAAGGAGAGCCTCGGGGGCTGATTCTTGCAGTACGCTTTCCTAAGCACCAAAAGGAACCAGTATGAATCTGCCGAAGATCTCTTGAAGCATATGGCGCTCTCCATCGCGTTCCGTTCCGCCGAATGCCAAACTTCGATCCGGCTTGCGTTAATCTGTGTGTGGCTTTCGATTGCTACGTAGTTGCTGCTGACGGGCCACCAGCTTGTGCGATGCTAGCGGGGCGATTTTCTACTGTTGTCGAGCATGCGCGGAAGATCATCACTACGTATCAGTTCAACAACGAGCCGCTGCGGATTCTGCTGGCGGTGCTGTCGAGTGGGCTGCATCCGACGGACGCATTTATCGTGTCCCCCCTCCAGAAGTTCTTGTATCGGGAGATGAAACTCGTTGGGGTGGCAAGCAAGAATCCGGAACTGGCCAAGTGGACTCCCGCCCAGAAGCGCTTTAGTTTGATCAACAACAAAGGCGAGGACGGAGATGACGAACCAGCGGATGAGGCTGTCCCCACAGCTGGGGGTGGAGACCATGTTCTGCCCGCTTACGCCCGGAAACCGAATCCTGTTATCACGGCTATATATGGTCAGGTCTGCGTTGCAGCCAAGAGCTACCAGAGTGCAATCTGTGAGGCTCATCGATTTGTCTTATCTCTATTTATCTTATCTTTCCAGTCTATCTCCTACAGGCCTACGAAATGTGCCCCGAAGACCCGATGATCTGTCTGAGCCTGACCATGGCGTCTCTGGGCCGTGCGATGCAACGGCAGTCCGACAACCGCCATCATCTCGTGGCCCAGGCCTTGGCGTTCCTCTCGCGGTACCGCGCACTGCGCACAGAGCAGACCCATGGCTTGGGTGAGATCGAGTACAATTTCGGGCGCGCGTTTCAGCAGATCGGACTGCACAGCCACGCTGCCAGGCATTATGAGGCGGTCCTGGCGCTGGCTGAGACGCAACAGGATAAGACTGACACTCTCGCTCAAGAGGCTGCTTATAATCTGGCTTTTGTGTACAACTCAACTGGCGCGGTGGAGCTGGCTCGAGCTCTGTATAGGCGCTGGCTGACTGTTTGATGACCCGCGCCGCAAAGGTGTATCCGTATTCTGTTAGGAATCGACTTCGGCAATGTATCCACATTTTGTTAGGAATCGACTTCGACTCCGTATCAGTTATTCGTGGTCCCATCATCACATCACGAGAGCAATCCTTGATATCAAGTTGATTTCTATTACATTTAGCTTGATTTAGGGCCTGATCGGATTCCACAGGATTTGGCCCGCAGAATACAGAATAGGGCCAAGCAAGCCCCACGGCAGGATTGATGGCAGAATAGCGTGACACGCCTTTGTCTTTCCTCTTCTACGATTATATTCTACTTTTTTCTTTACTCTACGCCGATAATGACCTGTAGTGGCACCCACTGGAGCGATATTCAGACGCAAGCCATGATCGACTGGCTTCTTGACCCCGATCCGCATCGCCAGGGTAAGCGAAGCGGCCACGGCCTCAAACCTGAAGTCTACGAGGAACTGGCAGCTGCAGCGACAAAGGCTGATCCCGAGACGCCTCGTAACGTATCCCAGGCCAAGTCGCGCTTGGATTATGTATGTACTCATCTTCTCTCTCTACAGCGCGCAATGATCTTCGTTCGCAGCTTCGTGCGCTCATCATGCTCTACCTTTTTGTACGCAACAAGAGTGGAGTGTCCTTTGACAGTGAGAGAGGGATTGCTTCTGGGAACACATCAGACTTTGTGCAGGAGTTTGCAAAGGTGCGTTAACACAAGTTCTACACTCCTACAAGTTACACCATACTCATACCACTCAACCGCAGAAGTACGGCGACAAGTACAAGACGTGTTTCCAGTGACCCTGTCCCTTCTTCCATAACCTCATCTCTCTCTACCGTGATGGGAGTGACCGTGCCACTGGGGAGAATGTTGTACATCTCCATCAACCGAGCATGATCCTCCTCAACATCAAGGCCCGTGCTGACAAGGAGAACAAGCCACCCTCCCCTGCCACCTACCGCACACTTTCCGAGATCATGTCTATCAATGACAGCAGCGATGAAGACACCTCTGTCACGGTGCCAGATAAGGACACCAAAGCAAAGGTCGGTGATGTGAAAGGCCGCAATGCAAAGAAGCAGAAGGGAGAGTGGAAGAAGGAGAAGAAGGCCAAGCAGGAGACTGCGCGGGATAAACAGTTTGATAATGAGCTGTTCTCGGTGCATCTTCATCTGACTATATGCGCTGCATCCGGGCTCACACAATCTAGTCACCAATCAAAGCGACTGGAAAACGTGCCTGTGCTGAAAGTGAAGAGGACGAGGATGATGACAGCGACTCAAAGCCCCTGCCCCACCGCCACCGTACCAGCACCAATGCCAATGCAATCGAGCTGGTTGCCAAATCAGTCCATACACTTTCAGCAGCAATCACAAAGCCCATTACAACTGCCGAAGACCTCTCCCACATTGACGCCATCATTGAAATCCTGGCCGACTCTACACTTCTGCCTGAGGATCCCGATGGTGACCTCTACACCACTGCTGTACAAGCTTTGAGCTGCGAGCCGGTCATGGCTCGTATTCTCATCTGTGAGAAGGATCACCAGCGCCGTAAGGCCCATATTGCACGTGTCATAGCTAATGCCGCCACCTCCACTTGACTACTTATCGCATCCTTGCATTATACACTCGCATGATCATACCTCTCACTGCTTTGTCCATTCCTTATCCCAGTCTCGCCTTGTCATGTTGTAATGCCCGTGTAATTCCTGTAATGATTCTTCCAGCTGTACTGCCATCCAATACATATCCGTTTGTATTCTACACATTGAGCTCTGGGCGATCTGCCACAAACTTGTGCCACATTGCCTCCGCTATCCGATCTTGTCGCGCATCAGCTCTGAGCTTCTCTGCTTTGTCAACTGCTTGAAGCAGGATCATGGGCCCAGCACGATTCCCAGGCCCTGCCAGATATGGATCACCATGTACATCGTAACCCTCCTCGTCTTCAATCTCTTGAAGCGATTGGTGAACACGCAAGAAATTGTGCAATGCTGTGCAGGCTCCAACCATCAGTGCCTGCTGTCAGTAGCCAAATTCTCGTTGCGATGTCAAAATGGGGAAACATCGCTTGATGACGCCAAAACTCCGCTCAATCACATTGCGCAGTCTAGCATGGCGAAGGTTGAACAGCTCTTGTGGGTTCCTCGGTCTGACTATGATGAGCAGCAAGAAATGAACTTGAGAAATCCATACCATTGATTTCCTGTGCGCCACTCTTTCAGATGGTACCTCACTCCGCGATATGGTGTCATCAGAATATCACAGTTGGGGAATCCGGCATCAGCTAGGTAGAAGCGACCAACCTCAAGGGTGTATCCATTCTCACGAGCAACCTGGAACAGCAACCCATCACCTGCAGTGCCTTTGTACCCAGGCATGACGTGCAAAAAGCGGAGGGAAAAGTCGCATGTGGCAAGTACATTCTGTGTGATGAGTCCATGTCGGTCCCGATGGCGAGCTAGGTGATCCGCAGATGCATATGCAAGGACATGGACGCTGTCAACAGCTCCTCGACAGTAGCGAAAGAAAGGGTAGTATCTTGGGTTCTTGCAAATGGTCTCCGGGGTTTCGTTGGCAGGGAGGCAGACATAACGTTGATAGAACACATCTGTCAGTGCAATCAGACCGCGGTTAACGTAGCGGCTGATTGTGTTGCCTGATGGCTGGAACCGCTCTTGTAACTCCCGTTGACTGCTGCCATGAACCATCCAATATACCATGATTGCGAGCTGCTCTTGGCCGCAGATGTAGCGGCTATCTTCAATAGCTCGCATGGACAGCAGCTCCCCATACAAGAGGCAGAACTGGATTGCGCTCATCCCTAGCGCGCGCGAGCACCGCATTGGATGTCCGGCCAAAATCTCATCCAGCCACGCAAGCCCACTGAGCACGGAGGTGTGCATGGGTACAGGAATGCCGAGAGAGAAAGCCGTGCTCGTCGAAAAGATCACTGCAAGGGCGGCCATTTGCAGGGCAGATCGCTGAGACTTGACTGCCTGGAGCTCATCGCGCTTTGCCGCAGCTTGTTTTTGATAGCGGTGGACGCGTTTCGTACGTGTTACGGGCATGGAGAGCACAGATACGCAGGCCCCGTCGTGGTATACAGACAGGTCGGAATCGCATTACATCAGTGTGACAACCTGTGACCTATTCTGCCGCAGAATAATTCTGCTGCAAACCTGCGGCAGCCGATCAGGCACTTAGGAGTAGATCGTTCGTATTTACTAAATAGAAGGCGCATGAATCTCCTGGAGACAGTTACCTTTTCAAACCTAGCTGGCCATCACACGCTGCCAGTGCTCTCTCACCGCAGCCAGCTGCATCTCTGTGTGTCAGATGGAGCAGGTGTAAGCAATTGCACGCATCCCCACGCAAATGCAAACGGTCACCTATCATCTTCGAACTCGCAGCTCCGCTTGTCATGGCCGATAAGACGTCCACGCCAGCTTGGTTGAACTGACGCAACATGTTGCGGCTAGCGGGACTGCCTCTGTGCTTCAGTCGCGCGATCTCCGAAACCAGGACGTTGATAGCGAGCGACCAGATCGTCTGGAATGTATATCATCAGGACCACGACGCGACCGATGAGGACAGAACAAAAAGCCTCACCCCGAGCACCGGATCGACATATTCCGCCGACGTCCAATCCTGGCTGCGTCCGAACTCCACGATGGCTCGGCACGAGCGCAGCATGCACTGCCGCGATTCGTCGTATCTGTCAGCAAACGGCTGATGGAGCAGCAGCGTCGCTGCATGCGCCAATGTATGCGCCAGCGAGAGACCCGGAGTGCGGTTGCTGGTGGCGAGTATCGCCTGCTTCAACGACTCGATGGAGTGGTTCAAGCCGATGTGCTGCGCGGAAAACACAGTCTGATCGGTGGCTTGAGCGCAGAGGAGCGACGCTCGCTCGAAGAGAATGGCTGATTTGGCTTGAAGCGCTGGAGTCGAACGGCCTTGGTCAACACGGCTCGACAGGAGTTTCGTGATCGTTCCACAATTTTGGATGGGAAGAAGGGTCGAGTCCTCGAGACGGAGATGAGCATCGGCCACAGAAATACAACAGCGCTCACAATCTCGTACGCCTCCAGTTCCAACGGCCACGGAACATCGACCACGTCATAGCTCACACTCGATCCAGACGTGGGATCCGCAATCGCGGACAAGCAGCAATTCTGTGCGAGGACAGCCCAGAACGCGTTGATCCGCTCGCCCTCCTCCAGCATGGTCACCGCGGGCGTCATCTCGGACAGACCGGTCCGCGCTGCCGTCGCCGACCGGATTTTATGGAACTCGGCGCCCAGGACGATGGACAGCGCACACGTCGCGTGGTAGCGCGCTTCCAGCAATCGTGCGCGGTGGAAAAAGTATTGCGACAGGAGCAGCGAGGCTTGGAGGGTCTGGAGAACCATGATCGCGCTGTGTGCGTTGGCCAGACCCGACGACACAGCCTGCACGGCGCAAGTAAGCATCGTGGACTCGAGATCCGAGTCGTTAAGAAGTGCGGCTCCCCAAAGACAGATTGCATTCAGAAGGGCAGGGTTGACCAGCTGGCTTGGGATCTCTCCAGCCAGAAGAGGGTCGAAAAGACGAGGATTCAGAAAGAATCCTAGGGATTTGGCCTGTGCCATAAAGGCATCGATTCTGAGGTGTTGCTTGAGGATGGCCAGAGTTGGGGAAGCACATGACGTACAACATTCCATAGGCTATTCCAGACGTTTCGGGCAAAGGATCTAAACAACATTAGACGAGGAAAGAACATGTGAGTGGCTTCACCCCAGTTGTTTTGGCTCTGTGCAGTCTCCGCGAACGGATTCTGCAGGTTGACCAGGTCGTTCTGCAGCTCCGGTTGTTCCAACTCGCGTATCCGCATTTGAACAAGCGCGATTTGCTCTGCTTCAAGACTGAGCTGGTCACACTCGAGACAGAGGTTACGAAGCCCGACCTTCAAGAACCTGCGATTGAGCCAAGCCGGTGTCCGAATATTCGCAATCAATGCATCCACCACCGGTGAATTTCTCGCACGGAGTGCAGATCGGTCTCCTGGCGTCGCATTTCTAGTCCGAAGATTTGCATTGAACAGGAGGACAACACTCGAGACTGCGTACGACTTTCCTGCGCCTGAGAGATAGTTTGAGTCGCGAGCGTTCAGGAAGCCAGTCGTACACACCGGCAATTGAGGCAAGCCTTGCCTTTGTTTAGCTGGCGCCTCTTGGGAGTCCAATTCAGCTGCTGCGCCATGTGTTAACTGGAATCGATCCTCTGGCAAGCGTCATACTTGTTTATAAAGGGTCCTTCACATTGTCACGACGACTCGGGCCTCAGAGGGTTCTGTCAGGTCTGACTAAGAGCCCCGGAGACTCGTTTTCTGAAAGCGCCGAGCATCGCTGTTTCTGGCGGAAATCGTGCGGCATTTCGACGCTCAGGTCTCAAGCCTCGTAGTCGCGCCGAGTACACCAGCCAGAAGGGTCTGAGAAACGCCCACCGGGACCCATATCCAAGATGAATGAGTGCGCTTCGCGCCGTGAGCATCCTACCGCTGAATCAGAGTCATGCATCTTCTGGAGTTCAACTCCGGCTTTGTGATGGTATCTGGGAACGCGTCTTCCATATTTGGCCATTCGGTCAGCGCGCTGACGCCCAGCACGTGATTTGCCAGATGTTTCAGCTTTGACCTGAGGTCATCGGGATTTGCGCTCCGTGACGAGGCCGCTATTGCTTTGTCCAGTTCAGGCAGTGTTTTCCAGTCGTCGGGATATGCCGTGAGCAGGACACTCGATGTGTCACGCTTACCTGATCGCCGGTGGCCATCAACCCGTCTGATCCGAGATAAGCTGGCTCCTGTTGGCCATGACCTTGACGCGGTGTAGTAATACTGCTCTGCTCCGACCATGGCATTTGGTTCGTACCCATTGAATGACGGGAGGGAGGTGCGTTTTCTGTTCATTCAACTCGACCTGCGTCTCTAATCTCATTCCGAAGATCCCCGCCATTGCATTCGGTAACCTTTCGACCACCAAGTCACTGCTCAAAACTTACTGTCACGCGGTATCGAAGGAACGGGGAGCATCTACAAATGGACCGATGTGTCTCGTCTTGTCGAGCAAGCGCTCGAAGCTGGCTTTTGGCATCTAGACACTGCTCAAGGTGCGTTGCTGCCACTTTCTCTAGTCGCATTGAGAATTCACGCGTAGTCGTCCAGCTTATCGGACAGAGGGTATATGATCCGCGGTACCCAAAGCAATCTCTCACCCCGCTGTTGCAGAATACGTCGGCAAAGTCATCCACGAGAGCGGCCTTTCTCGATCCGAGTTGTATGTCACAACGAAATATAGCGGAATTGGGGACATGCGCAGTGCAATCGAGTCCAGCTTGTCGAGCGTATGTCGTTTTCCATCGGGCCCGGGTCGCGTCCAATCTCACCTACTGTCAGCTGGGACTCAAATACGTCGACCTTTACTTGATGCACCAACCGTTCCCGAACTTCGCAGTCCTCTGGAAAGAGTTTGAGGCCATTCAGAAGGAAGGATTTGCCAAGTACGTGCTTGCAATACAGTCGCTCCTCGTCCGTACCGACACAAGCCATTTGCCTGCAGGAGCATTGGTGTTTCCAACTTCACTCTCCCCCATTTCCTTTCGCTGGTGCAAAACGCCACCGTCTGGCCGTCCGTCAACCAGATCGAGTTCCACCCGTACACGTATGCAAAGTACAAGGAGACCATCGAGTGGACGAACAAGCACGGGATCGTGACAGAGGCGTACAGCAGTCTTAGGTGTGTTGCACGAGCTGAACGTGGTGGAAGCAGCGCGTTGAAATCAAGCGTAGTCCGATCACGAAGTTCCCGGGTGGACCAGTCGACAAGCCCGTCTCAGCCGCAGCTGCACGTCTTGGCATCACTCCGACGCAAGTGCTTCTGCTGTGGGTCCGGGCTAAGGGTGTCGTCATCGTCACGTACGTTCGGCATCATTCCATCCAGTCTGTTCATCTATTCAAAATCCGCGCAGCACTACCTCGAACAAGGACCGGTTGAAGGAATATCTAGCCGTAGGGGATCTGCGTACGTTCTGGCCGTCATTCCGTAATGTCTCCCAGCTGACGCGTACCCAGCCCCGCTTTCGGACGAAGAAGTTGCAGCCATCGACGCAGCAGGCGCGAAAGGACCGCCGCGGTTCAACCTGGGATTTTTGCGGTCTTACGGGTCACGTGCCTTCATGCTGATTCTCACTCTCATATTTATCTGGGGCATACAAATGCTGGTCTCGCGTGTTTATTAGAGCAAAACAAATACCAAGGACTGGTTATTCCTCGTCTTTGTCTCGCACTCTGATCACGAGGCGACAATCATCAGTGTGTGTGTATGGTACAAACAATCTAGAAGAGTCCGCTTCCAGGAAAAACACCGAAACTGTCTCCGCCTGTGTTTGACCTAGAGTCCAGCGAATCCGAGTCCGAACCGTCCTCTACCGTGGGATAAGATGCAGCCGACGCTGAAAGCGCCTGAGATCGTGGCGGCTCTGCTGGGGGCGGGACCTTTCGATTCGCTTCCTCGCTGGTCCGGCGCATGCGAGCATAGACAGGTTCCTCGCCCTGCCCTCCGCTTTCTCGTCCAGCTGCCTCGGTCTGAGCACCACCGAAACCAAACGGGAAAGCGCCGAGGTTCAGATTGCCGATGTTGTAGCCACCGATGACAAGGCCTTGCTCTGGGTCTGAAGGTGCGTTCTGTGTGGGTGATGGATCGAACTAGACGCAGTGTGAAATCGACGAAAAAGATACAAGACTTTGAACGTACCGCATTCCAAACTTCTTGTCTCTCGCTGTCCCTGGTCGTGTTTCCCGTCGTCCGGTCGATAAGATGACAGATGTACAATGTGTCGGCACAATCTCGGACTACCCCCGCACAGAACAAGCTCACTGCGGCACAGACAGCACCAGCCAGAATCGCAGCTCCAATCGCAGCCCGTTGCTGATCCGCATAGCTGACGCCTTCTGTGGGATGTGTGAGCCAATGCTAATGGCGATCTACGCAAGAAAGCACACCTTCGCCTTCTCGATCACCAGCAGCTCGCAGGTATACCATCAGCGCAAACGGCAGCGCCAGCATATAAGGACGCGGTAACGGCAGCGGCGGGGGAACCCGCTCGCCTCCTGCCGCCTTCAACTCTCTCACGCCAGTGACAGCTTCCCACCAGCCACGGCCGTTCAACCCACAATACACCCCAGCATGAGCGCCACCACTGACGCGCTCACCCACAGCATGCAATTTCCCCAAAAGGAAGTCGGCGCAGATCGCAACGGGCCGGTACGGCAGTGCCATCGGGGCCCACCGCAGTGCCGTGCGCACCATATCGAGCAGTGTAAGCACAAGAGACGAAAGTGCGGACAAAACAAGTGGCCCTGGTGGTCGCTCGAGAGCAGCGTGGAGCACACGCAATTGGGCGTCCAGTACCGGGTGGCCGGTCGCCAATGCGTCGGCAGGGGCGGATATCGTGACCGAGAAGTACCAGGCACCAAGAGTGCCGGCAACTGCACTCCTCTGCAGCGAGCGCGCAGAGAAGTAGAGATGGAGTGTCGAAAAAACGACCACTGCACTGGCCGCCCGGAGATACCAGGTGTGTGAGAGTGGCAAACGGATCATCAGAGTGAGCAGTGGGAGACTGGCTATGAGGCCGCCGAGGAGGATGATTGGAGACAGCAGCAATAGAAGCGGTGCGCGGAAGAATAAGATCCTTGTAGCGAGTGCTAACAGCCCTGGTGACCGTGAAGCCCGACGAAGGTCAGCCGGAAGGGTCCGTACACTGAGCACGGCGAAGAACAGAGGGACGATGGAGAACAGCCTCAAGCCCCAACCAGCGCCTGCGCTGAACGAGCCCGCAAACGCCAAGACAGAGCTTAGGAACAGAGCGAGGGGCGGAGCTAGAGCCGAGAGCAGAAGCACTGGTCGTAAGAAAGCACGCACGAGCGCCAAGTGGAGGTAGGATAGGAAAGCGGATAGTACAGTAAAGAATGTGAGCAGCGGTATGGTGTGGAGCAGCGCGGGAGGTGCCGGCTGCTCCCCGGCCTCGTGCAAGACGAGGGATAACAATGAACATATACACAAAACCGAGTACAGGGCGAGAAACCCCGCGGCGGCGCGGGCATTAGGTTGTGGGCGTCGGCGCCGAGAATAAGGTGACGGAAGATGAAAGGCGTGGACGTCTGGTCCAGTCCGGGGAAGGAGGGATTCCGACAGGGCAAGTGATAGCGATTGGGGCTCGTGCTCATGTCGAGGTGGGGATATCGAACGCGGAGGCGCCCGCGGCGAGGGAGTGCTGTTACGTTTGGCGCGCAAAGGTGACGGTGATTGCCTGTGTGCGTGCGCGAGCCATCCGGCGCCTTCCCCCTCCTCATCTGAGTCCAAATCATCTTCTGGGTACTGCTCTACCGTCGGATACTGTGGTTTCCTCCCAAATGCGTTCTCTGTTTGAGTATCTTCGTCTACTTCAGGTTCGTCCAACCTCAGGTAGGGGTCTTCGTCGTCGACGTCCGGTAGCTCGGCACTGGAGCTGTATCTGAAATGCGGATCGTCGGTATCATCGATATCCATATCCATATTTCTACGATCCAGCCTGTCGTCTGCGTCGCTCGAGAACGAGAAGAACATGGGGTGCTGCTCGGTCGACGTAGAGGCTGCTGGCCCCGGTGGGCGGTTCAGGAACTGCGAGGCGTAGGTCGCAAAGGACATGGAGAACAAGACCAAGGGAGATCAACAAATTAGGCTTGCGTAAGTCTCGTGCTGTGTTGCTTTGACACGGCTACTAATGTACGTACGACTCATGTCTGCTCTACTCGCGACACAAGGTGGCACGCGTATGCACACGAACCAGAAGCGGCCATTTAAATTACTCCGACCGCCGACCACGAGGCATATCGAGACTGATGCGCATGGCTGGATTGCTTCTACATACAGGCAATCGATTCGACGGGAAAATCCGCTTGACACGAGACTCACAGAAAGGTATCTTGAATACATCCAGAGAAAAATCCGGGTGAATAGTACCGAAAACCTCCAAGGACTAGTACAAGAATCATCATAAATGCCTACAAGCTGTCAATCCCGCGCCGGTAGTATGCACTCATCTGGGTGACTTATCAGCACAAGTGAAGTTCATGAATAAGCGATTATATCGGAAATGAGACGATTCCATGAGACAAGAATGGGTTACCAGCAAACGTCGACGTTTTTTTTCAACAGTCAACCGTCCAAGCTCAAATATTCAGAGACAGATTGACGCTGTGATTGACGTCACCGCGAGATAGGGGTAGGATATCACGTGGGCTTAATGCCTACTAAGAATTTGAGCTTGGGGCAGGACGCAAGACCGCACGGTCACTACGCATGTTCGCGGCGCGCCAAAGACTGCGTTCTCGCTCGCCGCTCTCCAATCGTCGCCGCTCTTTCTCCCACTTTCTGCCCCCTCCATTCCGACTGACGATGCCCACCTCCAAGCCTCAGCCTGCAGCCCACTCTAAAGTCCTTATTTTTGGCGCGGGGAACTTCGGATCGTGTCTTGCTGAGCATCTGGGAGACTCGGACCATCGCGTATTTCTTTGGTCCCGCGAGGCCAAGGCCGTCCAACACTTTAACGAATGCCACAAGAACTTGAAGTACCTACCCGACCACGAGTTCTCCAAGAACATCAAGGCAGTGGGACCTGAAATGCCAGACTCCAAATTCTTGTACGAGATGGATGTTCTGCTGTTTGCTATTCCAACGCAGTATCTGAGGTATCTATCTCTCGCGAGTACGTTCGACGTCTGACGCCGCAACAGAGAAAATCTGACCATTCTCAACCGCTCTCTACACGACAAGACAAGCCTACCGCTACTCATCTTCGTCAACAAAGGCATTGAGATCGAGACGGATGCATTGACTTTGGAGATCATCGCAGATACTTGCGGGCCTGACGTAGCGAAGGCCGCGACTTTCATTGTAAGTTCACGTCCATCAATATAGCCCGTGCTGAATCGTCCAGTCCGGGCCTTCATTCGCTAAAGAGAGTGAGACTCGTGGCATGTCGTGCGGACTGTGCTGATCGTCTCAGTTGTCCGTAGGATGCCGACGTCGGTGTCTGTCGCGTCCTTCACAGAGGCAGAGGCCGACAAAACATCCGACCTCTTCCATCAACCTCATTTCAGATGGTGTGCACTAGACTTTGAGAGGGGGTTTCGCGTTTTGATGTTGCTTCAGCTATACAGGAACGGATCCAATCGGGTTGGAACTCGCTGGGGCACTGAAAAACGTGTATGCCATCGCTGCCGGAATGTCTGATGGTTTGGGGTATGAAAATAATACCAGAGCGAGTTCGTGCGTTCTATGTTTAGCCCGAAGAAACTCACCCAGCGCAGTGATCATCACGCGCGGTCTCTCTGAGATGACGTGCATTGGGACAGCCTATGGCGCATCGCCGCTGACGTTCATCGGCTTGGGTGGGGTCGGCGATCTCTTCCTGACCTGCTCGTCCAACAGCAGTCGAAACTACACTGTCGGCTACCGACTCGGACGCGGCGAATCACTGGAGGAGATCCTGGGCACCCTCGGAAGTGTTGCCGAGGGTGTTTCGACGGCTAAAGGTGTGAAACGCATCATCGACAAGCTGGGCGTGAATGCGCCCATCGCCGAACGGGTATTTGAGGTGTTGTACACCGGTGCGTTTCAGCATGCAACCTCACACAGGGTCAGCGCTCATCTTACAACCAGGCAAGTCCACGCAGCAAGCTGTCAAGGAGCTAATGGATATGCCTCCGACTCGCGAGCTGGATTTGCCCAATCCAGGGAAACCGGTCCGAGATCTCATAGCAAAATTGGGCCTGCAATAGAGGTTCGTTTTTCTCTAGGATTCGGGGTCATGAACTACATTACACGTGTCAATAGTGGGCGCTCCGTTGTTTAGAAAGTTATAATGGGTATGTGTATCCGGATGGCTGAAATTAGATTCCATGTGACTGAGATGAGATGTCCAGCGTCTCTGAGAGAAACTCATGCAGGCAAGAACAGAGATGTCACCAGACTGGTCCCCTCCTGAACTGCAACATTACGAGCCACGTTCCCTTGGCTTTCCAATATGAAGGATCGGTGTAAGGGACGCAGACTGTCAATGCAGGACGAAACTGCATCAGCAACTGGCCCACCGAATCGCTGTGAGGAAGCCCTCTGGAAGGCTGATCGCGACCACAGAAGCCGGTGTTATAAAATACCAGAGTCTTTGAGAGCGTTTTGCAAGATAGTCTCTTTGACTGCAGCGAAGACCAGGCGGATGTTTTTCGTATCGGTGGCTTGAGTAAGGCTAGACATGCGATGAGCAACAAGCAACATCAATATAGGGTCGTGACAGACTGTGGATAAACGCTCAGTCGCGCCCGGTTCTCTTGCATGAACCTCCAAAGGATATACTTGGCCGCTTTGTTGATGTCAGCGCCGCCGGTGTATTCCGAGAAGTATCGCTCAAGAGGAACCTGAGAGTTATACATACATGAGCAACGGCGTAGGTCAATAAACTCGTAGAAGATACCTTGGGAAGCTTCTCCCTGAATACGTCGATCTTATTTAGGAAGAGAATAATGGAAGTTCGAAGGAACCAGCGACTGTTGATGACGCTCTCGAACAGTACTAGGGACTCTCGCATCCGGTTCTAAGTGGAGAGACAGCCAAGTTAAATCGATGTATGCACAGTCAGAATGTCACGCGCCTGGTTCTTTTCTTCCAAAAGGACCTGATCATATTCGCTCAGTGCCGTGCAGAAGATGATACTGGTGACACTAGAAGCAGTTCAAATCACTGCAGGTGTAAGGGAAGAAGGCTGGCGAGTACCTTTCGAAGCAGTGGATCCATTTCTTCCGTTCAGAACGCTGACCGCCCACATCAAACATGTGGATGGACAGACCCCCCATATTGAATCGAGTCTCGGTGATGCTGGTGCTCTGCAGTCGGGCACGGAGAACGTCGTTTTCCGTGGGTGTATAGTCGGGTTCAGCCAGTCGGTGGATAGCAGTGATGAAGCTTTGGAACTCAGTATTGGACTGTAGTGCAAGGGTCCAGGATAGCAACTCACTACTTCGCACTGTCCATCAGGTAAAATTCACTGGCATGCTCATCAATGACCCGGGTTACCACCGGGTCTCGCCAAAAGACGTCAATCGCGTCTGCAGTCTCTTGATTCAGAGGCGCCTCCGACGAGACTTCCTCGATGACCTTGGGCAGATGACGATGGTCTTCCCGGAGCAGTTCCACCAGCCCAGTGTCCCGCAAAGCCTTTGCCAGCGCTTTTGCCGAGTCAATGGCGTTCTTGTGTATGGTGGGCCGGAAAGCCAAAAGTTCCTCCCGCGAAAATCCGTCCTGGTGAATGATCTTCATCTGCTTCACGATGGTGGACTTTCCGGATTCGCCGGAGCCGAGGAGGAGTATCTTGCACTCCTTCTTGTACCGCTTGGAATCCTCGTCGAGCATCTTGTCAATTTCTGCGCTCCGTGCTTGGGAAGCACGGTCGATCTGGGAGCTGCAGCCACCCATGGCGCCGCAGTCAGGGTGTGTGCAGCGTTGTGGAAAACAAGCTGATTAGAGCCCGCCCTAGACAGCGAGCGGAGCGACGTGCGGTCTGAGAGACGGAAGAGAGGCCGTCCTCAATGACGCCTAGTGAGCGCAGTTCTGACCAAGCAGGTGCGGAGGTCACCATATTTGGTCATCCCATCATCGATCATCATCAAATCAACATTCCGTACCGACGACAATCTTTCATTTTGGCACCCCGACTCCCGAGGACCCGACTCCGGACCCGACGGATTGCTGGAAAACCTTGGCCAGCACTTTCGCTTGCTTTTAGTTTGAGCAACCGATCCCTGATCGTCAACCATGAACCAGTTCTGATCATCGTGGCATGAGGATATCCAAGCTGCGTCCTCCCACACTCTCCGACAATCAGTCAGCTTCGTGGGCGTCTTCTCGGGGATCTCCATAGCGCCAATCTGTTTCTCTTCCCCTCCCCATGCTTAGCCATAGGACAATGCTCTCCTGCCTGCTGCGTGTCCTGTACCGGCCTTTCGTTGACGCTCTGGCAACTCCTGTGCCGCTCAATCTTCTCACGCACAGAGCAAGATGTCTCCTATCCTGAGATGACACGCTCAATCCAACTCCCGCCGCAATGCCTTTTCTTCCCGAACTGTCCCCTGATCTCATGGCTTTGCACCTGAAGAACACGAGAGATACGTCCTAGATGCCGCTGTGGACATGTGCTACTCATGCTGGCATTGCTGTTTTCGAATGAAGAACAGATGTCTTGAAATGCCTGTTGGATTCATCGGACTCACAGCCATTCTATCGTCGCGCGCGTTTCAGCACTTGATTGTCCTGTTTCTTTTCATTTGCAATCTGGAGTCATGCGCGCCTTTTGGTTGGACTCGCCGCCGACTTTCCGAAGGCGGACTGCACTTGTCTGCCAGGCTCTAGATAACCTGGACAGACTCAGACTCGGACCTGCTCATGGGCGGGTCTTGAATTTTGACGGAGAAAGCTGTGCTCGTCACGCAGCGAGATCGGACTGGCTGCGGCTCATTAGTCGTATCCTCTTCGAAGCGCCTGTATAACCTGTTGAAGAGCTGCCCCAGGCTTGCATTGATGGCATAGCGAGACAGCGCGACACGGCTCACAACCGCGGGCGGCGGCACTGAGGCATACGCACTCAGCGACGGGTTTATTGCACAACGCTTCTGAACGCAAATCCAATCTCCCTCGCCGTTGAACGTGCGGACAGTGTAGGACAAGTGATCCCGCATCGTTCCCCTGGTCGAATATCCAGTTGTGTTCCTACCTTGCTCAGCGCTGGCGCTGTGGTTGTTGTGGAACTTCTTGCTCGCTAAATGCGCTCACAGACAAGACCACTTTGACTCAACTTCTTCCGGTGGGCCGCTGACATCGTCCAAACAGAGAATTTGCCTACACGTTCTCCAGACTCGCTACGACACGAGAGACAAATGCAGCTGGACGGATCTTTGATTGCGCGTCATCTCAAATCTGCTACCGCATGCCAAGTCCGTTTATGCGTGCTTTGGCCTCATCAACTGGTGTACCTCCTCCTCACCATCTGATCAGGGCTGTCCTGTTTCTCGTCGCCTTTCCTTTGCAGTGCTTGCAAGACTCCTACGCGGCCCTTGTATTCTCATCATGACTGTGTCGCCCTGAACGGATGCCGCAAAGCCTGTCGATTGTGTAAATGCATAGTTGGATCTCATCTCCACGAAACTTGCACATGATATCTGCCACAGCCTGCAGTGTTCCGATATTTATCGCCTTACTCTTTAGGCTTTTCCGCCCTCCCGATGACCGAATTCTCATGCATTTACATCTGATCAGATATCTGACCAGTGGTTCAGACGAAATCAGTCGAAAGCTCGCGCAGCAGAGACATCAGGTCTGCTGAAATCTGGGCTCAAGATCGGGTTCATGTCGAGGTTTTGATGAGCCCGACAGGTTTTGGGAATTGGCATTCTGCTTACAACCACACCGAAAGTCGAATGACGGTAAGCGGAGACATTTCCATTTGGGGGAAGATACGAACATTTCTCCAGCTGCAGGGCACAACTTCATCTGAAAACGCGGCCATTATGTAGAGGAAAGCACGGAGAAACATCTCAAAATGTCAATGATCTGGGCCTTTTTGTAACATATTCGAGGATCCTCGTCAACTTTGGGAGAATGCATCGAGAAGCGGGCCTCAATGTTTATGGACACTCACTGCAAAACCGTGCTCTTCTGTCCAGAAACGGAGATCTCCCGCTTGCAACTTGAAGGTGCCACCAGTCAATTTCAGCGGAATGTGATGGCAGCTGCCAGAATCTGTCAGAGTCGTGAAATGACCGCACTTTATCATGGCCGCGTATCGGCCGAAAGCCCGAACCATCGGCTTCCCAGGCGCTAACCCTGAACTTGTATTATCTTTGCCTACTTTTCACGTCGCCCACCCCGTTTCAGTCGCCTCGGAGTTCAGCTATGAGAGGATCGGGTAGAATTCCACCTCATAGGTGCTTCTGAGCCACTTCGACCGATATCGACAACCTCTACGATTTGCGATTGCAAGCATCTGCGGACGCCTTGGTGTCATCAACACGAAGCCGCAAGCGATAGCCGTCCGGCCGACGATACAGCTATCATCCAGAGTTGGAGGAGCAATTTCGGTGGCTCAGGCAGGAGCTCAAGCGCGGGCGCCTTGCAGGCGCTCCCATCAGATGTAGCGGGAGACAGGCATCCAGCCTCGTGGCCTGACGCATTCTACATCGCACCCGCACCATGCCTCCCCCCGAATCCCGGTTTCGTGCCTTTCTTTCACGTCTCCGGGCGTTTCTGGTCAACAATCGCTTCATCAGCGGGGCCAGGCGGTCTCTGTTCTTGTTTTTCGCGTTCATCTTCGCCCGGAGATCCAAGTCCAAACCTAAAGCAGAAAACAGCCCAGAGCACACCCAGGATCATATTCGTTACGTATTGCCAGTCGACGTGGGAGGGGGAGGATATGCGTTGAACGATGTCCATCCATCCGAGGTTGTCTTGCCCAGCACACTTCCGACTTTTTTCCCGGCCCCTCGGACTTCCGGCCGAAATCCATCTCCAAGTCGTCTTTCTGTGCAGGCTTCACTCCGTCCGTCTCGACCGTCGAGTGTCCATTCGTCCCGCGTATCTTTGCCCATGGTGGAACTTGGCCAACAGGCGTACAGTCTGGTAGACCCGTCTAATCAGCACCACCATCTAGTTCGGCGCTCTGCCTCGCGTCCCTCTATTTCATCCTCCAGAGAGTCTGTCGACCGTCTCTCTGTATATCCGAGTCGCGGAGCCTCCCCCTCCGATATGATGCCGAGCCGCGGTCCTTCTCCTCCTGCTGAATTCCCGGACGTTGTACTGTCTATCCCATCGCCCGACGGATCACCTCCAGAACACTCCCTCGGCGGCGGCCTCGAGCCCATGCCGCTTCCCCAGGAACTCTGCGATGACACACTGTTGCCCGTCGTCCCTGAATGTTCTGGAAGATACAACGTGAATGATATTGCGTCAGTGGTGCCCTTATCCCCGCCTCCAATACTGACTGTAATATGCTAGCGTTGACGAACCCACTGTCTTCCCGATCTCGCGATGCACCTTCGCTCTCGTCGAGTCAGTCTCCTATCTTTCCGTCCCGGCCTTGTGTCTAGATTTTGAGCAGAAATCCTGCGCCAGACGGATGGATCAGACACCAGCATCCCGAAGGAGCACCCTATTTCTACCACAAAGAAAAGGTAATTGTCTCGCGAGCGCCTTGCTTCGATGGGCTGAAAGTTGCCCGGCCGACAGAGAGTCTACACTGATGCCAATCTGTACGATGGCGAACGACTAGAGTATATCAACAACAAGATCAAAACAATCGAAAATTGGCATCAAATTAACAATCTCCAGTGGGCCAGCGATGTAGAACTCGTGCTGGACGACGGACAATACCCAATCTGCCGTTACTATTTTGTCAATCACCGGGATCGCAGTGTGTTCTGGTTGGACGATGTGACCTCGGATCTATTTCCCGTCATGAGCGAAGTCAGAGGCGTCACTTCCGCATCCCATTTCCGCAAGTGCCACTCTTTCTGGAGGCGGCCCTCACTCACTTGCTTCCAGGGCATGAACTCGAAAGCCAGTACTGGTATGTCGTCCATCGTCGCTGAGATCCATCTTGACGCTTCATCAGGTATCACTGTATTCTATATCCAACTTCTCTGCATGTCACATTGCCCCTGATCAGCGAGATCCACGATATCGTCGCACATGCCTTGTCCGGTGAGCAAACAAATATCCATGGTTGTCGCGACATTCATTTCTTCTCAGACATTTTGACATCTCCGACTTCAATCGTCTCTTGGAGCGAGCAAGAGCTGGATCGAATGCTCACAATGATTGACGGAGTGAAAGGTCCGCATTGCATCCCACTTTTCCAGCCTTTCTGAGTCGGAGTTAGGGAATTTGATTGCCGAGGAAGCATTGCTGAGCGGTTCGGTATCTCTTCTCAGCAAGTCTTTCTTCTATCACTTCTACCTCTACTGAGCAACCATCAGGTCGAATATTCCAGGTTCTAGGTAAATGGTGCCCTGAGAGTTCTTTCCGACTGATTGACGGGTCGTGCCAGTTCGCAGCCGGGTCTACAATTTCCACGGAGAAAGCTGCGCTCGTCTCGATGCGACGCAATCGGTCTATGGGATTCCTGCGCCATCAGCGTATCTCATCCAATACACCAGCTTCATCTTCTTTGGAGCTCCCAGATACCATCACGAAAAGCTGAACAAGGCCTATATTGACGGCATTGCCCGCAAACGCGGTTCGACAGAACTTCTCCGGCAACTCATGACCGAGTGGAATCAAGTGACCACCTTTGTCAGTGCACTCATCTTCCGTCGACACAAATCAATCCTGATGTTTATCGGTTATCCAGGCGACTATTCTTTTGAACGCGAATGTGGCTTTTCTGGCGATTCAAAGTGTCGACAATAATGGGATCACGCTGGTCGATCGCTCTCCTGCTCAATTATCCAGCTACGGCTCGACTTTGATGAGCATCGGCGCTGTCATCGTTTCGCAGTTGCTTTCGAGGCAGAATCGAAACCGTGACCAAGCTACTGCCTCTGAACTGGTGAGTCGCGCATACGTCCAGGGCGCACGCTGCTGACGGTAGCTCATAGGCCAGGTATATGGGCAATCGAACGAAACAAATGAAACATTTCGAGCTGCTTGCTCTCTTGTACGCGCTGCCGTATGCAATGTCGCTCTGGGCGTGAGTGACCAACGGATTGCGATATGCATACATATTCATCCTCTTCCCCCAGAACCATATTCTTCCTTGCCGCCTTCTCTTTCTTGTGTTACGAACGGTCGGGTCTCGTCACTCGGACTCTTGTCACCATTATATGGGCTGCGATTGCTTTGATCACGTTGTGGTCAATCCTCAATGCCTGGGATGGCTCGTTCCAGGACCTGTTCGGACCACTGTTTGCGCCATCAGACGAGGCAGAAGCTGGTGAGACTGGGGAGCCAGAAGCGGCCGCCGAGGATACCCGATCAGAGACCGGGTCGCCGTCCAAAGGCAAGCGCTCGCCGTGGCCATCGCCTAAATTGCCCAGGTTCATGAGTCGGAGGAGAGGGACAGACTCGACGGATGTCACGCTCACGAACCCTTGACCCATGTATTACCATCTAACCCCACTGTATGTTTAGAGCCCATTGTTTTCCTGTACTGTGTATGTACCCTTCTATATAAAGACGACAGGCGTTGACCTGCTTGCATGTCAACTTAGGCAGGTGCGTTCGGTGATTTGTCTCCGTTAGTCGATGACAGAAACGATCGCCGATCGTGGAGACTGGGGTGTGGAGTCTGCATCTGTCTGCATCCACTTGTATTCGATTTCAATCTTCGACAGACACTAGGCGGAGGTAAACTAACTAGCTTGAGAATCACTCCCAGTGCCAAAACTCCTGGTGAGCGTGTATTTTAGAGAGAGAGGCAAAAGTATCGATAGTCAAAGCCAAAGTGAAAGAGCGGGTAGATAGATACACACGGGGAGCCATTCAATTATCATGCCGTCAAAGCCGTTGTACAAGTTCGCGAAGCAAAGAATCATGGGTGCTGCGGCCCGCCAGCTGAGGGTGTTCGAAGCATCATCGCAGGCGGTGCCGGATTGCTCAGCATCTGAGCTGATGGAGCTGCAGAAAGCATGACAGCTGGAGGAGACAATACGACAGACTGAGAGGAGAGGGAGCCCGTAGGCGGAGTCGAATGTGACGAAGAGCGTGAACTGGCCGTATAAGACGGTCCAAGAATACGTCGGCGACCCTGCAGAAGGTGAGTAACCTGCTGGGAGTAAAGCAATTGACACACATTGATCATCCAGTTCGAGACTTGGCTCATACTCAAGCCCGTGGCATGGCACATCTGCTTTTTCTCAATCTCACTCGGGTACGGATGCGCTGAGTGACTGTGAAGCCACGCCTTGAGAAAGTCGGTCGTTTCCTTGGGTAGCCGCCCGCGCTTGCGACTAGACATGCCTTGTGGCGTTCTTGGGCGTGAATCTTCGTTGGGCAGCGAAGCGACAACCGGGGGGTATCGGTCTGGCACTGACGCGGCGATCTGGGGCGTAGGGGCAGCGGGGGGAGGGGGAGCACCTTGCGAAGGAGGCCAGTCCTGCCGTTCACCGTACCCCGGCATCCTCGGCACTTGGCCCTGCGGACCGTCACGGTAAGGCTCAGTGAGCAAGGCCTGGATGGAGGGAAGGCGGACACTGGAATGTGCCTCCATGTCCGGGTGCGGGGGGTGTGCAGGATATGGGCCTGGATGGTAATGAGGATGAGGGTGGGCTCCGGGATGAGACTGAGCAGCGGGATGAGGTTGAGTCCCAGGGTGCCAGAGATGCGGCGGCGGAGGTGGGTGAGGATGCTCGCCGTGGTATATCGGACCCTGGGGCGCGTCATGGCCCCTGTACGCCCATGGTTGCGGCGGATAATGCATATAATGTTCGTGACCCATCGGAGCATATGGATAAGGAGGTGCAACACCATGAGGAGGTCCTGGAGCGTGAGGCAAAGGGGAATGGGAAACGGGGGAGGCTGAGACGGGTGAATGCGACGAGGACGATGTTCGGCGACTCGGCACTGCGGGGGGTCCGGGGACTGACTGATCTTGCTCGCAAGAAGTGGAGCCGTTGGATTTTACGGGTTTGATTTTGAGAACATCGTCCGTGGGACTGGTTGTAGGCGAGCCACTTTGCTCACATGGTTCGCTTGCTGCGGCCGATTTTCGAGGCGCCGCCGATTGCGCCTCTGAGGTATCCTCTTGTTTGGTTTGACTAGACTCGCCCTCGTCGTGATTGGCTTTCTCGTCCGCGCGAAGCTCAGCCGGACTGCTACGCGTAGCTTTCACCATTTAGGGCTTCTTTCAGGACACAGGGAGGACTGCGACGCGCAAGATATGAGCATTCACGAGCCATGGCATGGCAGGAATCCGTACCGAGAGTGAGAGATAGCGTTCGATGCAGTGTCGAGAGTTTAGGATGCTGTACGTGGGGAAAGAGGAATCAACGACACCAATGCAAGAACCCTGTCAATTTTATCCCACGTGCTCTTGAAAAGTAAATTCCCACCCTGTCCAGTGTCAATTACGACTCCGATGTCCATGTCAGGCCTGTCAACTTTTCGTCCCTCTCATCTGTGCTACCAGGGTTCTTCCCTCTTGTAATTCATCCGTGCCCTTCTGAGTAGGCATCTCTGGCCACTCAAAGCTCAGCCCAGCACCGTCACATGTGCTGATTCGTACTCAGTGACACACACCAAATCGGCGAGGAACATGGGCCGGCGGTTTCATCAGTCCAGTATCAGCCAGTATCCTGGTGCTCTGGGCATCACATGGCAATTGTTTGACGGATGGCAGAAAGCGCTGCTCAGCCGATGGATTGAAGGCTCCGCCTCGGTGTGATCCCCATGTTGCTACCTTTCAAAAGCCCACAAAATCCGTCTATCAGCGCATGCTCGACCTTGTAGATAAGCAGGCGGGAAAGTTCAGTTCATCAGGGCCCGCCAACCGCATTCAATACCCAGTTGCATCACCCTTGCCAACTCCCGTGCCTCTTTCAGGCTACCTCGTACACCGACGAGCCACATCGGATTTAAACATGAATGAACCACCTTGACCCCAGTAGCACATGAGACTTTCATTGTACGGCATCAAAGAGCGGGACAGGTCGCATCACGATCATGCGCCGCTTGATCCGATGCGATGAATCACGCCCAGTGAAATAATCACTTACTTCATCCATGATGCCGATTCCCTTTTCGTCCATGCATCACATCCTGTCCTAACCATTGGCACCCTGGGGCACAGCACTCACAGAGGCGCTACTGAACGGCAAGCAGTATGGCTGCCTCGTATCCCTCAGGCTCGGGACTCGACGATGAGCTGATCACCCAATGGACCGGCTTTCTCCAAGATTACGCCAAGGGCGAGGATCGGCCGCGACCCCCAGCTTTACTGCCCCCTCATGCGTCGGTGCACCCTCCATCCGGATCGAATTTGTCGTTGCCTGCCTTCGACGTCCCGTTATATCCACCTGGGAAGATCTCGAAGGATACTGCACGCGTTATAGCCGAGTTTTACTCCCAATACGGATTTTTGCCCCCTCCCCGAGCAGAGGAGGAGTGCCTCAGAAACCAGGTCATCGAACTTTACAACCTGTTTCGCCCGGACCAAGTCGAGCACTTTCACCGCTGTTCTTCGCTCCTCCACGCGTTCTTCCCCATCGCCCCTGTGGTCACCATCAACCTCTTCCACAATGACTTTCAGATCGTGGTTAGCAAAGCTGGAGACTTCCCCTTGCGACAAGGTTCTCGCTCTTCCGTCTACATCGCTTTCAGCTAAGCTTTCTCCAGGGGAAAATCTGTTGACTGAAATCAGCATCTGCGGACATGTTATCTTAAAGAAGGATCGAAGTATAATTGAAATGCTTGAAGTGAGCAAAGACTGGTGTGTTTTCAAATTCGAATCTCAGTCTCAGTGATACAATACGTCATGTGCAGGCGCTTCCTGGGGAACCCTTGGTGTACGGCTGAATCGCTCCCTCGTGCGTGGCATTCGGGACTTCTATTGCCGCTTCCCTGACCCAAGCATCGACAGTCAAGGGCTATGTGGGCATTCCACTCAGTCTGAACGTGGATCCTTCCGATCCGAACAACCATCAAGTGGTTAACGTCGGAGTCTTGGCTCTACTATCACAGACTCCGTTCCCGCCGCTGTTGGACTCTCAGCGAAAGGTTCTGTCAGAGTTGTCCGCCATACTCTCCATACAATTGCGCTCGACGTGGGAAGTTTGGTCTCGGAACAAGGAGACCCAGTTACGAAACGCTGTCAGCACGCTCCTCGAGAAAGCTCTGGTGCAGGAGAATACCGATGTTGTGACCACACCTGGCGCTGCGATGGCCGAGCCTCCCGTGCAAGGCTCCATACGTTCTATGACTCCTCAACCGAGCGTCGAAAAGGGCAAATCTACGACAAAGACTATCTTTTCGGATGCAGCCGAGCAGCTTAGAACACTGTTGGAGGTGGATTTTGCTGTCATCATCGACCTGACGGCCATCCACGTGACCCATGTGCGTGCTACGTTTGAAATCAGTGTAGTCATTCGCGCTACAGCCATATCCACTAGACACGTTCTTCATTCAAGTCCAGCCACAAATGGGCCGCAGATACTTCTGAAGCCCGTATCCAAAAGCGCCTTGCGCAGCAGATACTGGGTAGCAGCATGTCTGCCATGCCCAATGCTCCCGATTTACGAGAGAATTTCTCAACTATCAAGGCTATGGATGCTATCATCCAATTTCTTGAGAAGTATACGGAGGTGAGCCGTTCCCCTCTGCACGAAAGAAATTCACCCCGTGCACCCAGTCCGAAAGGTCCATCTTTTTGAACGGCGAGGGCTTTCCCAAGTCTGGATTGGAAGGATTGTTGGAATGCCCGCCCTTACCCCTAGCAGGTCTAGCGGCTCCAGGCTTACCGCCAGCTGGTAGAGGAGCGCATCACTCTGGAGGAGTGTCAGCCATGGCACACATTGCACTGCCACTCTTTATGTCGCAGCGGCCAAACTTGCTGATTGTCGTGGCATCGTCGACGCCATATTTTGCATTCACGTCGGCCAATGTGACGTTCGTACGCAACATCGGCTCTATTCTCTGTGCCCGTCTCGGCCTGGATGCCATCGTTCAGGCCGATGCCGCCAAGACAGGTCCGTGGATGTCTTGACCTCTGCCACCTGTCCTGACTTTGCACAGCCTTCGTCTCGCAGATAAGATAAGATTCTCACTTCTACAGATCTGGCTCGCACTGACGGCCTCTTACCCATGAGCTTCGGACTCCGTTACATGGCCTGCTAGGCGTCAGTGATCGTAACACTACATGGTTGCCTTGACTGACTAAGACTAGCACTTGGATCTCATTCGTGATTCCTACAAAGCCGGCGAAATCTCCGGCGTTCCCACGCTACTGAGGTTTGTCCGGTCGACATGTTTGTATCTGTGGCTCAGAAACACTTTTAGTTCTGCGGAGCACTGTGGCACTGCACTGCGTGACATCGTCGATGACGTGTGAGTGCTCTTCTTTCGCTGCGATTATGTCCTCAACCTGCTGGGGCCCAGGCTCGACTACGGGAAGATGGCAATGACATCTCCGGCAGCGGCGAGTCCCGAGACAAAACAGCATCTTCACTCGCAAATCGACTTGCTCTATGTCACCGTGGAAACCACGAAATCATGCTATCTCAGACGATTGCTAGGTTTGAGAGCGAGAGGAGAGCTCGCGCCTAGCGATAGGAAAGGACAGGTCAAACTATTTGTGAAGCACGAGCTCAGATCGAATTGGCTCGTGAACATGGATGTACCTGGATTTGTTCGGTGAGTGTGATGATTCTCATCAGACCTGGTAATCTGACCGTGCGGATAGAATATTGAACAACTTGATCACGAACAGTCTGAAGTGAGGATCTCGATTGGTCTACCGTCCACGCGCTGACGCGGAAAAGATACACGTCAGAGGGAACCATTACCGTATCGCTCTCTCTTGAGCTAGAGCCGAACCTCAAGCCGTGCGCTATCGTGCAAGTCCAGGATACCGGCCTAGGGATGGGCTCGGCATTTCTAGACAGGATGTTCGAACCCTTCACGCAGGCAGATTCCTTTTCCCCCGGCGCAGGTCTCGGTAAATATTGCCGTCTTTCATCTGAATCTGTGTCTCACCAGTTGAGAAAGGTCTTCACATCACCAAAGCTATTGTGGAACGGATGAACGGCAAGATATCTGTCCATTCCCGCCCTGGGTCTGGCTCCACCTTCACTGTCACTTTACCAATCGAGGATCCCTCCTTCCACTCTGAAAACACGACAAATAAGTTGGAAACCGTCGAGATCTCGACATCGCCGAAGAATGACAGTCCCCCCTCGATCCCCCCGCCGATGCCAGCCAAGCCAGAAGCGAATGTCGTCGACCCATCATCTCATTTGACGATCCTAGTCGTCGACGACAGTCAGTTGTTGGATCACTCGCGTACGACAAGGTCCTATCGCTGACCGTCTTATCAGATGCCATCAGTAGAAAGCTGTTGGTGGCCATGCTCAAGCGGATGAATGTCACGGCCCACCAAGCCGAGGACGGGTTAGTTGCATTGGAGGTCTTCCAAGCCGTCAAGCCACACGTGGTCTGGACGTATGTCTCTTCTCGCTCCTTGTGCCCGCATATACTCAGTGGCTTCAGTGACATTTCGATGCCTCGGTGGGTCTCGTGTATACTTCATGGAACGTCTGACTGATGTTCTGTTCATTCGAACAGAATGGACGGTGTTGTGCGCAGTATCTGCTCTTGTTCTTTCGATTGCTTGACTTTTATAACAGACCGCTGCGAAGGAGATGCGTAAGGTGGAACGGGCGCGAGGCTGGCCTCCTTGCTACAGTAAGTTGATCTCCTCAGGTCAATCCAGCATCTGACGTGCACAAGTCGTGGCTATAACTGGCCTGGGACTGTCAGACGTGGGTGCTTGTCTTTGTCTTCTTGATACCCGTGGCTCACTCGTTGCTCTTCCTGCCTCAAGGAACAAATTCGACGCGAAGCACTGCACGGTCCCGCTGCATTAGATGCTTGGCTGGTGCGTGTCCCTGAATCTCGAGAGCTCGGTGCTCATGCCTCTCAGATCAAAGGACAAACGAACATCAAGTCTTTGAAAGATAGTTTAGACGTTGTCAGACAACGTATGAGGGCTAATCTCGGGGAATCATTGTAGTATTCGGCGTTTACACACGAACACGCTTATTTTGTATCATCTGAATGTCTTATCTCTATTTCTCTGGGCTATAGCTTGCAGTCTGTTGGATTCTCTTAGTTTGATCTCTTACATGGCTGGCCAAGGCTTGGATCTTGACATCATATTCAGAACTTTGATCATCGACCTTCCGTTGTGCCAGTCGTCCACTTGCGCGATTGGCATTTCGTAACAAGAGGAGCTCTCTGTCGACTCGTTCATTCGTTCATTCACCGTTCAGCAAATCTCCGTGGGGCACATGTCCCCTATTTCGGGCCAGCTCCGAGTCGTGCTTTTGTATCCATTAGCATAGACCCGAGAGTTCAAGTGGCGGATTTGGATGCTGAGATGATGCATGCAGTCGCTTGAGTCGCTATCTTCTGGTATTAGGAAGAGCTTCGAGGCAAACCATGGTACATTTGACTGTCCATGGTAACCGTAAGAACAAGCAGTGCTACCCGCCTCGAGCGACCGTTTGTGGCGACCACGCTTGTGTTTCCTCTGGAGGGGGAGATGGTCGCGTATCTTCCATATCCCGGGACTTGCGCCCGGAGGGCGCAGAGGCCGTCTCAGAGGTCAAGACGAGCGGTTCCGAGTGGTCCGGATGTTCTGCAAGAGGCGGGGCATTGCGCGGGGAGGGTATTTGTTGTTGCAGAGAAGCTATTTCGGCCAGACGTAGCTGGTCTTCGGCCTTGTCTCGAGCTTCTATCATTGCGACATTTCTCCTCAAGCGCTCTCGCCGAATAAGATCGGCTTGCAGTTCCTGAGTAGGCCTTGAGAAGGGAGCACGGGGGAGCGCAGTTTGGATGTGAAATTACCTCTGGTGTCGGGGGGTCTGGTCGTGTATGCGTTAGCCAAGCTGACCATTGCACTTGATCACAGTGTGAGAACATTTAATGATGATAAAGAGGTGTAATACCTGAAAGTTTCCTCTGTCCGCCGATGTATTTCCAGACGTCTTCGGATTCTCGGTATTTCACAGTTCGTCGCGGACGGGGGTCTTGAAGAAGTTAAGTCGGAGGAGTCTGATTGGGGCAGTGCGTACCGTCCAGCAGACTCGGATACTCATAGAAACGATTGCCTAAACGTAAGCTGGGCTCGAGGGTCAAGATGCAGGGGGTTTACCGTCAAAGTCTTGGCCAACGTAATAAGACTTGAGAGTATAGAGCTCAGCATGATTCTAGAGAGACCGCTGAAACTTTACTGGGCGGCGCAAGCGCATAACCAATCGACGCCATAGAGAGATTCCCGCCGAAGACATGATGGAACGCGTGAAGGCAAAGTGTACACGTGACCCGACGCGTCACCCCCACTTGTTTCTGCCTCACTCATCCACCATGCCTGACGTCGAGATGCAGTCTGCTGAAAAGAAAGAGGAGAAGAAAGAGGAAGAGAAGAAGGAGGAGACACCCAAAGTTCCCCCGACCCCATTACAAGAGATCAAGAATAACGTCCTTCTCATCGAGCGGGCAGTAGCAACACTCGAACCGCGCTTTTCGAACCGCATCCTCCGAACTCTCGCTGGTCTACGGAAACGGGTCGATGCGTTGGTAATCCGCAATGCTGTCGATGAGCTCTTCGTCAAAGGTGCGCAGATCGGCTGCTGCCGCGTCTCTTTTGCGCTAATTCGAGAGAATAGACTCTCCTGCTAAACAGTCTTTGTTATCTTGGCTGCCAGATGCGCCTGTTGCAGCGAAAACTCAAGACATGGAAGTCGATGCGACCCCGTCGACGACACCTGCTGCACCCGCCGCTGAACCAGCTCCCGAAGTCGACATGTATCTGCGTCTGCTACTCATCCACCACTTTGACACGTCCCCTTCCACCTATACCAAGGCTATCGAACTTGCAAACGAGACTGTGGAGAAGGTGCAATTGTTGAATCGTCGAAGCATGGACCCGATCGCGGCGAAGATCTGGTACGCGTTGGAACGTGCATATGAACTAGGCGATCAACTTGCCGATGCGCGCCCGTGAGCACTCTTCCCTCATTGACCGACTCAAACTTAACTGTTACTACAGATTGTTTCTTGCCGCTCAACGCACAGCGTCACTTCGACATGATGACGAAACGCAAGCTTCGCTCATCAACCGTCTGTTGCGGAGTTACCTCCAGTACTCTCTATACGACCAAGCCGACAAGCTCGTCTCTAAAACCACTTTCCCAGCATCTGCTGGGAACACTCAGCTTGCGCGTTACCACTATTATATCGGCCGTATCAAGGCCGTGCAGCTAAACTACAGTGCTGCACACTCGAATCTCCAGCAGGCCATCCGTCGAGCGCCGGCTGCAACTCGTGCTCCCGGGTTCTGGCAAGCTGTGCACAAGCTCTTCGTTGTAGTGGAGCTGCTTATGGGGGATATCCCAGATCGCAGCTTGTTCCGGCAGCCTGTCCTTGAGAGGGCATTGACCGCGTACTTTGATATCGTGAAAGGTATGCATTACTCGAGCTCACAGCACATGAAACTGACAGTACAAAAGCTGTCCGCACTGGATCCCTGTCCCAATTCCAGACCACGCTCGCGAAGCACGCTACTCAGTTCGAGGCCGATCGAACTCTCACTCTCATCATTCGGCTGCGTCAGAATGTGATCAAGACTGGGATCCGCCGCTTATCGCTGTCTTACGCCCGGATATCTCTACGCGACATATGTGTCAAGCTTCACCTGGATTCAGAGGAAGATGCCGAATACATTGTCGGCAAGGCCGTGCGAGACGGTGTGATCGACGCTCGGATCGTGCATTCCAAGGGCTGGATCGAGTGCGGTGACCCTGCGAAGGGTGCCTATGGGCCAGAGGTTGCTGACGTTTACTCGCGGCGCATCGGCTACTGCTTGGAGCTGCATAACCAGAGCGTCAAGGCGATGCGATACCCGTTGAATGCCCACCGAAGGAGTTGGCTGCCGCAGAAGGTGCTCGAGAGCGGGAGAGAGAATTGGTCAAAGAAATCCAGGAGGGCGATCTCGATGACGATGACATGGGTGACTTTTAAGTACATACTGAGTGGCAATTTGACTCGTTTTCTGGAATCACTCGATCTCCGTTTGCAAAGGTGGCAATCGGTCATTCGCATGCTGGTACAGCACTACTATCTCTTAACAGAAGAGTGCTGAGTCTGCTTGACTGAAGCCTTGACTGAAGCCTTGACTGAAGCCTTGACTGAAGTCTTGACAGTGCCAGAGGCTCGGCGCCCTCGACCCTTCCACGGCTCACGTCTCTGGAATCGCTTTGAGATACAGCCTGTGACTATGGATGAACGCCAACTGACTGTGGTGGCTGTGGAGGGCGCATGTATTCCACTTCTTGGTCGTCTTCTTCGTCTTCGTCGTCGTTGAAGTCCCAGACGGTCGGCGATGGATCGGCGATGGGTTTGGCCTTGGGAGCCTTCTCATGCCCATTATCTGTTCCAGTCTCGGCCTTCTTAGGATTGTTTCGAGAATGCCTGACGACGCAGATGTCAACGAAGAGCAATGATCGTCTTGCAGTCAGAGTGCTCACATTCGCGTTGTGGATCTCGGTGTGAGTGGTTGAATTGCAGAGTTCGAGTCACTCAGCGTCACTTTATATGTGCCAGTTGGCTGTGCTTCGCTTCCTCAGCGAGTCCCAACAGAACGTAAGTCGGTGCCGTTCCACAGCCTGTACTACAGCAGTTTCACGAGCGCTGTTGCAAGTTCGATTGGAAAGCGTAGATGCAATGCCTGTCCCGCTGTGAGCACTTTCTAATGGAACCTGTATCAGATTCTTACCAGGAACCGAAGTAGTATCGATGTCAAAAGAATACAGAAGTTGTTATGTCCAGGACGCTAGCTGGCGCCACAGGCCGTGTACTTGCATCTCGCAGAAATCTGTTATTCTCCAGTCACGGGCAGTCTATAAGCAGGACTTCCAGAGGTGTGTATGTAAGATCTAGTGTTCGATAGGATGCCTGACTTGATGGACTCTTTGCAGTTCTGCGCTTCCGACAGAGACGCGCATCCCTGATTCGACAGAGAAAAGATCACAGAGCACTTCTGCGCCAGCTCTATATATACTTGATTTACACTCGAAAAGCTGTGCAAGATAATTATCATATAGCTGCTGGAGCTGTTACGGTGCAATTAGACGCTGATGATGACATAGCTATAGCGCTCTCAATGAGCTGGTGAGGCTCTGCGAAAAAAACTTGGAGGTGCACAGTATCGATTTCGGATGTCGGGCCGGATCTAGTAGCCTTATTTCAATTATGATGCACCTGCCCATCATTTCAGTGTCCGCTGATGTTCAATCCTCCGGCCGGCGAGCGCTTTGGTTGTATGCACTTGTGCATCCGACCCAAATCGCAGTCTGCGTGCCCAAGGTTGCGCTTTGCTCTGGTCTCAGTGTCGCCCAGCTCTCGACATCATTAAACTGGTTACACACAAGCCCACTACTGATTATAATTTCTGAGAAAGTCCGGCAAAGAGCCCAAGTCCAAGTATGAAATTCGGATTTCAGAGACCGAATTTAAGATTTCTTAACGCTTCCCTTCCCACCTGCGGTCGGTAGGTTCTGCTTGCCTTTGTCCTTGTATGCCGTCTGCGAACTTTGTTCTTCCGTCTTATCTTTGCCCTTCTCTTCCTTGGGCTTTCCCTGCCCCTTCGGAGGGTCTCGAGGCTCCTTTCCAGACCCAGTCATTGCGATCGACTTGGAGCGTTGCTTCTCGGTGGGCTTTCCTCGAGTCACATCTCTGAAACGACGGATTGAGTTCAAAGAATATTCGTACTGGGGAGAATATCACCGTGGTGCATCGTTGATAAGCTTGTAAAATTCGTAATCGATAGTGGCCCCTTCGTCATTGTTGTGTTCGGCTACACGACACTGCTGTTCCCCGTGTCGGATGACACTAGCCTGATCTCCGTCGACCTCTGGGTTCTCAGGGCCAACGTCTGCTACGGCTTCTGCTCCGTTGTCTTGTTGGTTGTATTGGGCCTGTTAGGATAAGTTTTATGAGCTATCGTTTGATCGAACCTCACATTTGTGGAGGAGGGACTTTCTAGCTGGGTCAAGTTGGCGAGCCGTTGACTTTATAAGGGATGGCCTATTGAGATTTCCCTAGGAGATCGCTGGTCTTTTACAGCGGCACACCTATTGCTCTATGGTGGAACAGCATTTCGCATAGCTCTTGGGCGGCTGCACAGGGTTTGCTGTCCGGACATGCAGTTTGTCTCCGGGAAAGGCATGTGTGTCCAGGACAAGTATGTTGTTTCTGATAGTCCAGAAGAATTAAGTTGACACAAAGATCCCGACCAGATTGCTCCCATGAAAGAAGTAGGAAACTCTCCTGCAAGAATGACAATCAAGAGAATCCAGTCGAGGTCACGAAGGGGACCGGGCGCTCATCGAAGAAGCGTTACGTTCAAAGCATCACGCCATGTCAACGGAGAATCCGCATGGAATGAAGTGGCCCCGAAACACTAGGTTCGTCCAGAAAGACAGCTGTGAATGCTATACGAGCGTTATTGGGTTGAACATTGAGCCAGCAGCCATCCATCCAGTGCATCTCTCCGATATTGCGTTTCTGAGCCGTAAGAGATGTTAGATCTGATCCCGTTCGCTCGGAGGTCTAAAAACGTCAGCTCTCGGTCATCACTGAGCTTTCAAGCGCCCGGGTACTCGAATGAAGTGTGATCAACCTCAGCCAAAGTTTAAGGAATGATCTGATCTTATCTTATCTCTCTGACAACTCAATGGACACTGCCACTAAAATCGATAAGTATTCAGCGGGGCCAGTACTTATCTGAATGCACGCTCTTGAACATCGTTATTGTGTGTGCACTGACGAGCATCCGGAATCTTCGATAATCTCCTGCTTGACATTTCATCGCGATTTGAACTGTGCTGGCGATAAGCAGTCACCCATATCGACTTCTATGGACGATACAGTCCAACCCCACTAGGTGCCTCCTATCGAGTCGGCGATGACTCCGAGTCGACACCTGCTCCAGCCACGTTCGCCATGGCCCATGCATGATCGCTCTGTCGCCGGAAGGGATCCATTCGAAAGACGAACTTCTCGGACGATAGGTTCACGACACAGAAGCGAGGAGATAGAGGCTCGGAGGACGGCTGAGAGACGGCGTTGGGTCATGGTTCACTCGTGAATGAGATTGATGGTTTGGGATGGAAACCCAGGGAAGATGCGGTTGGCAGACTGTATCTAATCTCTTGGCAGCCAGAATCCGACGACGAACATGTGCAGAAGACGCAAGAAGCTTGTGGCAAGTGAACGGTGAATTCTGGTTTCGATTTTGGCTTTTGTAAGGGATGGGCCGCCAGAGCAAGACCCGAGTCATTGCAGCCTGTCTACGCGAAGGAAAATACTAGATCAGCAAGGA